ACCATTCTGTTAGGTAGTGTGGTGGGATCCCATTGAATACTTGGCTCTTTAGCATCTGCTTTTTTTCTTTCTATACTTTCATTGAGATCTCTGACATCATCTGAAGCATGCTGTTCATGTGTAGAGAGAAGGGGACATAGTATAGAAAGTAGGGATATGTCGTGACATATCTATGCCTCTCTGATCGTGTAGGTGTCATTGGGTTTTCCTACAAGGTCATAACCCCCAGTCTTTCTAGAACCTAGCAACTCCCCTGCATCCCACCACATTTTTTCAGAAAAAATTTGTTCTTTCCTTCAAAATGAAGGCACAGATTGCGTGGGGCCACTGATCTTCTAACAGAGCCAGATTAAGGTCACCAGATCACTGGGTAGGCTGCTAGATTGCAGCTTCCTCATAAAGACCTGGGCTCTGTTTCTCTGACTGTTGTGTGTGGTAGCTCAGTTTTGTGTGTGTGTGTGACTGTGTGTGTGTAGTGGCTGAGTCTTGTGTGTGGAGGAAACTGAGAATGTATGTGAGGAGGGGCTAAGTGGTGTGCACCGATATTAGAGGCAGACCACTTTAGGATCTCCCTCACAGTGCAGCGCTTAGTCACCGACTCAGAGAGCCGAGGTGTTGTTAAATTTTCACCATAATAGCAGATCTGTGAAAAGGATGTTACACTACAGTAGTATTCATGACGTTTTAGTTCCCAAGTACATCCTGACATCTAGACGGTTATTGTTACCTGCCTTAAGGATACTAGTCTTAACAATGGAATGATGAAAAGCTAAGTTGACTTTCCAAGAATTAAACTGGTGAATCCATCTGTAATGCTAACCACCAAGCTATATGTCGAGTTAACAGCAACACTAGGGTTAGTGAAAATATATACATATGTATAGTGTCTACAGAGGGATAGGTAACTCTCCAACCCTAGTGTCCATATTAAGTGCTTGGGGACAATCAATGCTAGTCATGGAGTACACCTTCATTCAAGTTGCATGTATGGAAAGTACATCATTCTTAGCCAAGTGAACTTCTTAGTTATTCAGTGCCATCACTGTACTGATACGTGTTCTATTTGAAACCTGATATTTAAATGGTGGCTTGGCTTCAACACACCTGTAATTATATAATATCTACTTAAACCTCTGGAGAGGCATTCAGTCCAATTGTCACACTTTGGTGCTGTTAAACACATTTCAGACAACTAGTCAGGGCAGTGGACCATTTTGCACAATTTACATCACCTCGTTACAAGATCATCAATAGCTAAAAACATTTTAAAGGGACTTTCCATTGTCAGGAAAACAAACATGGTTTCCTGGCACTGCAGAATCCTGCAGTGCCCCCCTCCCTGTCACCCCTCATCCCATGTTGCTGATGGGGTTAAAACCTGTTCAGTGACTTACCTGAATCCAGTGCCGATGTCCCTCTGTGCTGGGTCAGGCTCTGCCCACGCTCCTCCCCCGCCAAAGTCAGCCGGCGGGGGAGATCTAATGCGCATGCGCGGCAATGGCTGCGCGCATTAGACCTCCCCATAGGAAAGCATTATTCAATGCTTTCCTATGGGGATTCCGGCAACGCTGGAGGTCCTCATGCATAGTGTGAGGACGTCCAGCATCGTTTAAAACACTTTTTGTGTTTTAAGAACCCGGAAGTCCATCTAGTGGTTGTCTGATAGACAGCCACTAAAGGAGGACTTAACCCTGCAAGGTAATTATTGCCGTTTATAAAAACTGCAATAATTACACTTGCAGGGTTAAGGGTGATGTGAGTGTCCCTTTAAGCACATATTTTCAAATATTCAGTAATATACAACATCAAACACAACTGCAAATATTCTACAAAATGTGCATATTTCTAGTGAGAAATGTGTCAAACCCACTTTGTTACTTTGCAAATGACCATCCAGCATACTATATTTGATGTATGTTCTGTCTCCTCACATATTCATACATCAGGGCAATTAGAACGGCCTTCTGAATTTTTGGTGCTCTTTACAAACACACTATCCTCTCCCACCACACACATCTAGACACAGATACAGACACATAGATGGGAATACCACATACAGACACACACATAGATATACACTCACTGACACGTACTATGAGACATAAACGCGGCACACAGAGTTTCCTATTATATCTGCTGTGTTAGGACTTGTGGTACGGCACTGCTGACTATTCAGCCACAGGTAGCATAAAACTGGTTGGTGGGCCAAGTTCAGCCCACAGATTGAAACCCAATGTCTATCCAAGCCTAACAGTTTGAGTTTTGAAGATCATGAATTAAAAGGGGTGTGAAGATACTATCAGATTCTATGCTTGTCATGCTGGAAAAAAGTCTTCAAGGACTAAATTATACCAGAACATACTTTATCATCATAAAAATAAATAAAAATGTTGCGCCAAAGAACAGTCAATAAAAATTAGTGGGGATAATGTTTGCCCCCTCATTCAACTTCAGTCCAGACACGTAGCGCTTAATCGACCCTTTACTTTTTGCATATTTTATCTTAATTTTTTTCAGCACTGGGAGGTATGAACCTGGAATAGTAGGAACCTTGAGAACTCCCAAAACATTCGGACTATCCTCTTGGAGCCAGGTTTATTGGATAACATGTTAAATTGGAGATTTTGAAAGAAATCCAAATTTTTTAAATTATTTTTTTTAAGTTATAAGTTGCACCTTCTGGGCTGTATAGCAGACATCTGGAAAGGTGCTCATCCTCACACACTTTGAGTGGGGCGTCTCATAGAGAAGCATTGCTTTCCATCTTTCACATTGAGAAGCAATTCCGATGCAGCACAAAGATAGCTGTGTGTACAGTAGGACTCCAATGTTTCAAATTAGAAGTATTGGATTGGTCAGGAGATCACTGGTGGCTGTGGCATACACAAAGTAAAAAAAACAATTCATATTATACTTTTTGGTGCAATGTATTGGTGTTCTCTTTCCACACAAGAATGCATTTATTATATGTTAATGGAAAGTAATATTACAGGATTTCTGCAATGAAACCCGTAAATGAGGCAGCGGAGTTCATATCTAGTCTTAGCATCTAAGCATTTCAACTTCTTCATGGATTTGTTTCCTGTCTTGGACGTTCTCACATCCTATTGAAATCTGGGGAGCAGTAATCAACGGGAGATTAAGTGGGGTTTGGCATGGCCATTGGCAACTCGCAAGGAAGCTGAGTAATTTTAGTAAATATTTAGACCAGTTCTGCAAGAGCATGGAGAGAAATATCCGTGACCTGGCTGGGCACAAATACATTATCGAGGTGGCAACAGAGTTTATTTCAAAGCTAGACCTCTTGTTTCAGGAAAGACAAAACATTAGTCAAGAATTGGGAGAGGATGACGTTACGGCTGAGCTGTACCCAAAGTGAAACTGTCTCGTGTTATTTTACATGCCCTGTTAAATGTCATTAATGTGGACCTTGTGTGTTCTACACTTTGCAATTCATTTTAGTGGGTTTATCCATTGGCCTTTCGTGTGCAACTTAGTGAAAGGAGCCTTGTCTTCGAATGGTGTAAATGTACAGGTGATAGTGTGTAATGTGTCTCTGGCCCCTGCCAAGGTAGACGTCATTGGCTTGCTTAATATGCACTTGAGCTTAATGATAAACATAGGGCAATTATAACTAACCCTTGGCGCTGCAGCTGCGGTTCATGTTTCCCAAAGATGCTCAACCAGCCAACAAAAGGAAACAATATGAATCACTTTTGAGAGCCTAGAGATTTGGGAGATTATATTTTATGGATACACCAGATATATTGTCCTTTTGTCAAATCTTGGCTGTCCAAGAATCTCTGGCTGAGTATCACGGCAAATACTGACCACAACAGCGCCAAAGGATCAGTCTTTATTCACAAAGGCCAAAAGAATCAACTAACCCATCAAACAATAACGAAGATAATGTTTTATATCATTGTGTCTTCTTTATTGGCATTGCAGAGTATTATTGGTAGCAGGTATGCGGTATTTTAGCAGAAACATAGAGAGAGCTTTCTTTCATATGAAATTAAAATGCTTCATAAGCAAGAATTCCCAGCCATCGTGTCAATTTTAAATATTTTTATAGAAAGTTAGCTGTTTATATGAACACAGATTACCAAACGATGAATTGTACATGCCTCTGCCCAGCAAGGGGTTAAACCTGACAATTTATGAAATCTGATATAAACGTGTCAATCTTAAATAAAAGCACATGAGAAATTTAATTTTTACTTCTAGAAAGACAATTCTGAATTATTTTGATCACATGCTGACATAGGCTGCAGTGCGGCAGGTTGATGCACCTGATATGATGAACCTGTAAATTGCTTCAATAATGTATCAACGTAATCTGAAAGGAGAAATTGGTAGGGCTCTGAAAGCAATGTTTGTAGCAGGGAGTTTTCTGACTATCACAAAATATGCAGAAAATGCACGTTTCTCCATACAGAAATAAATAGAACAGAGCTAAAACCTTAAACATGTTGGATGATCAAAAGGTTACAGTTTCAAATAGTACAAAAAAGAATGACAGATTTTCTTTCTGGGCCTCCCACCCCAAGAACAAGCTCTGCTATATACTTAACAATCTGCTTAAACCATACCGTCTCCGCTTTCTCCCCTTTGCAAGTCTTGCACCTGCACTTTTTCCCATTGAAAGTAATGGGATGAGTTCATTGACAAATCTGGACGTTTCTTTGCCCTAGTGTACAACCTAACAGTAAAACTTTGATAAATCCTCTGCGAAGAGAAAGGGAAGAGACAGACAGACATAGAATGAGAGGGAGAGACAGATAAACAGAGACCGGAGAATTCTGTTCCCCCCCAATCCCCACCCCACCACTCACTTCTGGCTCTGCTCCCATGGCTATTTCAGCCAGAATAGGAGGACGTCAGCCAAGAAAAATGAAAAAAAAAGAAAGACGAAAAAAAAAAAAAAAAGCCAAAAAAAGGAAACAAAACAAAATAAAATATCCCCCCTCCTCTCCCGATAATCATAGGGGTGGGAGGGGGTTGCTGGCACTGTTAGAATGACGTCGTGTCTCTCACTGTCCCTCCCTCATTGGGGATGTGAGCTGAACGGCGGGATAAAACCCAGCATGTGTGAGGGGACGTGGGCATTGTGAGACATGGAGAGCATACGGCCTGCCACTCCAATGTGGAGCATTATCCTGCTGCTCGCTTTCTGCCAAACTACTCTGCAAGGAGGTGAGTGGACATGCAAGCCAGTGCACTTTGACCCCTGCTCTCTGTAACATGCAAAGCTTAGACCTGACTCTACCCTACTCTGTACTTACCTCTTATATAATCATGCTCCCACAAGACAACAGTTTTATATTGTTAGTTGCTTAAACAGAAACATTGCTGGCTGCATCATAGAGCACCAATTGAACTTACCTTGTTTTCCATTCTTGTAAAGCACTTTATCCTTGTTGCACAAAAAAATTAATTTTGCCCATTGGTTTGCACAGCACTGTACACTGGCATTGATCTTTTGCATTATGCGCCATTGCGACCTAAATTGACACAAGTGTTCCATGACAATATTTCAGATTACACTCCATAGCAGGGGCTAACCAAGAGGTAGATATCCAGCTGTTGCACAATTGCAACTCCCATGACACTTTGCCAGCTTGAAATACCTTTTGGCCACTTAACATCTTCAGCATCACATATTCCAAATACAAATGATTAATGACAGCTGTGCATTTTTGTGCAGACACGATATCTAAACCCTCTGAGATCCAGAGAGTGCGGAAAGCACACTATAGCAGACTCCAGTGGGAATCAAAGGGTTATGCAAAGTAGACTTGTCTCTTCTTTTCTGAACGGAACATGCAGGGGTTTTTTGTTCCTCAAATCTGCACAGAGGTTTACACCTTTCCTTGCAGAGAGCATCCTGCTTTGAGCTCACTCCGGTACTGTATAACAGTCCAAAAAAACTAACTCCAGAATAGGAAATCACACCCTGTCTGAATTTCTGACACTGCTCATTCAGAACGTTGGATTCCCAGAATATTTCCACCACAGCTATGCTTAGTTTAACCTTAACCTTGGATCTGTATATCAGGAGCTTGCAATCTTAGGGATGCATTCTCTAAACAGGCAGTTGAGGTGTTCTTGAGAATTAACATGCAGCATCTTACCTCCAATTCAGCGGAGTTAAAAGAGTATTTTTCCATTTTGGATATTTGGCCTTTATTCTACAAGTCTCCATGACTGCAGCCTAGTAGACAGATTTCATAGACTGAGATCTATACTATACACCAAGTAACTAATGCATTTGCAAAACACATGTGAAATGACTCAGTTTATATAAGAAACAGATATTCTCTGCTTGGGCAAAGAAACATAAACAGTCTGGGGCCCTTAGCATAGAGTACCTGTTTAAAGAGACAGTCATGCTTTTTGTTTGTTTGTTTGTTTGTTTTGCTGTGTCTATGTTTCCTTAACATTATTTTTACTTTTTGTTGTTGCATTATGAAAACAAATGTTCTGACGCTACGATGTGCAGAAATATAGGTGTTGGGTTCTGGGTTTACCCTAGAGGTTATCAAAGTTATTTGTAAATTGTATATTAACTAAAAATAAGTTGTTATTTGGCCAGAATAGTTATTGCTATAGATAGTTGTATGATTAAGAGTATAATGAAGAAAGTGAAATTTAGAGTAGTTGCTTTGAGTGTAAAAAGATGTTTTCACAACTTTTACAAAATTAAACCGTTACCTGATACACCTTTAATTTGGTCACAGAGGAATGCACTATGGGAATTGCTGTGAAAAGTGAATATTTACCAATACAGCACTGAGTGATAACTCGTATACAGTCTTGTAAGGATTGTGTGTAACATGAAACTATGGAGTTTACTCACTAAACATTTAATTGTAGTGAATTAAAAAACAAATTGCAAAACTGTAACTCTAGATGAGTTGTAGAATGTATTCAAATTTGTGGTTCTTGCCGAAATTATGCAGTTTGATTTCAAATTCATCGCAATTTGGTGTTTAGTGAATAAAGTTCCTATCTATCTCTTGATTAGCTGGGGAATTACATTATATACATTGTATGGAGGTGGCCTCTTGGTGATGCAATATTTTATAACATATTAAATTGTTTTATAGTAATTTGGGTGTGGAAAAGACTAGACATTCTACGGTAGTAAATATTAATGTAGCAATGTATTTAGTACTTCTGGCAGACTGACAGACTGGCTGACAGGAAAATATATGGGTAGCTTTAGAAAACACATTTTTCCAGAACAAGTTAAAGAGATATGAAATTGCTTGGCAGCTGAGGTGGGAGAGACTAATGGACGTAATAATTCAAAGAGGCTTGGAGTGCATACATTACTGTGCTGAAGAAGAACCTAATTAAGAATAAAAAACATTACATTAAGATAGGAAATTAGGAGGTTAGATGGGCCAAATGACTTTAATCTACTGATAAAAACATATGCTCCTATATAATATAGCTGGATAGCATGACCCAGCCAGGAAGGACACAGATCAGTAAAACAGACAGAATAATCTGCATATTATAACATAAACTGCGAGTTTATGAAGAGGGTGGGTTATTGAAAGTTTAATTCCTTGAAACTGACGTGTGTGTAAAATAACAAGCTTACATGGATAGTAATAAGCGATGGAATACAGGTAAAAGCACTGGGTTTGACAGAGAAGTCTTCTGGATAAAATGATTGAAAACAATTAACACAGTCTTCAAAATGTGATTCTGCAAAGTGTCAATATCTCCTTATCTACATCAGAGCTTTACTACCTACAATAATAAAGTGTGTTGTTAATTGTCTTCAGTTACTGGTATTTGCACCTACATTCAATACATTCAATAGATGCCAGTGTATATTTTATATTGCACACCATTAAACATAATGGGTTATATGAGTGTGTTATACAGAGTCTCAGCTGTAAAGGGAGGGGTGTGCTCTATAAAGAATGTCATGGAAAATAATGTCTTAACATTCTGTTTGCAAGGCACTACTAGTGAATGTAATGCACATTAATGTTTCTTTATACCAAATGTTAATAGTGCTAAGCATGCTTTTTAAAAGGTAAGATAGTGGTATATTAGTGAAAGTTGTACATAGCATATGGTAGAGTAGTTGTATATTTTAGATAGGGCATGTCTGAAAATCGTATAATTAAGTTGATGAGTTGTTGCTATGTATACCACAGAATATTTTAGTTGTTTATTTCAGATTTGTGGCTATTTATCCTATAGGATTAGTTTAGTTGTTTATGTTAGAGTTGTGACTATGTATACAATAGACTTGTTTGCTTGTGTAGGTTAGGGATGTGACTATGTATACTATAGAGTATTTTAGTGTTTATGTTAGGGATGTGACTATGTATACTATAGAGTATTTTAGTGTTTATGTTAGGGTTGTGACTATGTATACTATAGAGTATTTTAGTGTTTATGTTAGGGATGTGACTATGTATACTATAGAGTAGTGTAGCTGTTTATGTTAGGGTTGTGACTATGTATACTATAGAGTATTTTAGTGTTTATGTTAGGGATGTGACTATGTATACTATAGTGTATTTTAGTGTTTATGTTAAGGTTGTGACTATGTATACTATAGAGTAGTGTGGTTGTTTATGTTACAGTTGTGACTATGTATACTAGAGAATAGTCTGGTTGTTTAGGTTAGGAATGTGGGGGTGTTAACCATTGTTTAGTTGTTATTTTAGTTATGGGTGTGGTTTAGTTAATATTATCGGTTTACATAAACACACTAATCAGTTGTTTAAAATCATGGTTGTGGTTAAGCCAAATATATCATTAATGTAATTGCTAAACATACTACACAATAAGTTGTTATTATAGCTAAGCAGACTATAACAAAGTTTAGTTGTTACTATTAGGAGTGTGGAAGCATGTTGTAGAGTGTGTTAGTTGTTAATGTTAGGGGTGTGGAATCATGTTGTAGAGTGTGTTAGTTGTTAATGTTAGGGGTGTGGAATCATGTTGTAGAGTGTGTTAGTTGGTAATGTTAGAGGTGTGGAATCATGTTGTAGAGTGTGTTAGTTGTTAATGTTAGGGGTGTGGAAGCATGTTGTAGAGTGTGTTAGTTGTTAATGTTAGGGGTGTGGAATCATGTAGAGTGTGTTAGTTGGTAATGTTTGGGGTGTGGAATCATGTTGTAGAGTGTGTTAGTTGTTAATGTTTGGGGTGTGGAAGCATGTTGTAGAGTGCGTTAGTTGTTAATGTTAGGGGTGTGGAAGCATGTTGTAGAGTGTGTTAGTTGGTAATGTTTGGGGTGTGGAAGCATGTTGTAGAGTGTGTTAGTTGGTAATGTTAGAGGTGTGGAATCATGTTGTAGAGTGTGTTAGTTGTTAATGTTAGGGGTGTGGAAGCATGTTGTAGAGTGTGTTAGTTGGTAATGTTTGGGGTGTGGAATCATGTTGTAGAGTGTGTTAGTTGGTAATGTTTGGGGTGTGGAATCATGTTGTAGAGTGTGTTAGTTGGTAATGTTAGAGGTGTGGAATCATGTTGTAGAGTGTGTTAGTTGTTAGTGTTAGGGGTGTTGTTGTAGAGTGTGTTAGTTGTTAGTGTTAGGGGTGTGGAAGCATGTTGTAGAGTGTGTTAGTTGGTAATGTTTGGGGTGTGGAAGCATGTTGTAGAGTGTGTTAGTTGGTAATGTTAGAGGTGTGGAATCATGTTGTAGGGTGTGTTAGTTGTAATGTTAGGGGTGTGGAATCATGTTGTAGAGTGTGTTAGTTGTTAATGTTAGGGGTGTGGAATCATGTTGTAGAGTGTGTTAGTTGGTAATGTTAGGGGTGTGGAATCATGTTGTAGAGTGTGTTAGTTGTTAGTGTTAGGGGTGTGGAAGCATGTTGTAGAATGTGTTAGTTGTAATGTTAGAGGTGTGGAAGCATGTTGTAGAGTGTGTTAGTTGGTAATGTTAGGGGTGTGGAAGCATGTTGTAGAGTGTGTTAGTTGGTAATGTTTGGGGTGTGGAAGCATGTTGTAGAGTGTGTTAGTTGGTAATGTTAGGGGTGTGGAATCATGTTGTAGAGTGTGTTAGTTGTTAATGTTAGGGGTGTGGAAGCATGTTGTAGAATGTGTTAGTTGGTAATGTTAGGGGTGTGGAAGCATGTTGTAGAGTGTGCTAGTTGTTAATGTTAGGGGTGTGGAATCATGTTGTAGAGTGTGTTAGTTGTTAATGTTAGGGGTGTGGACGCATGTTGTAGAATGTGTTAGTTGGTAATGTTAGGGGTGTGGAAGAATATTGTAGAGTGTGTTAGTTGGTAATGTTAGGGGTGTGGAATCATGTTGTAGAATGTGTTAGTTGTTAATGTTAGGGGTGTGTAAGCATGTTGTAGAGTGTGTTTGTTGTTAATGGGGGTGTGGAATCATGTTGTAGAGTGTGTTTGTTGTTAATGTTGGGGGTGTGGAATCATGTTGTAGAGTGTGTTTGTTGTTAATGTTGGGGGTGTGGACGCATGTTGTAGAGTGTGTTTGTTGTTAATGTTGGGGGTGTGGAATCATGTTGTAGAGTGTGTTAGTTGTTAATGTTAGAGGTGTGGCTAACATACTTAAGAACAGTATGATTATTTACATTTGGGTGTGTCTATATAGTATATTAGTTGTCTTTCTTATTTGGTTGTTGGCCTGAGCATTCTATAGTTTGATTAAACTACTTATTTTACTCAGGGCGTGGCTGACCATACGATGTACTCATTACCTAGTCATATCAGATGTGTTGCATACAGGCTGACAACGTTCTCACTGGATGAACAAATCATTGTTTCCCACATTAAAGGGACGCTATAGTCTCCCAGACCACTTCATTGTATTGTCTGTCCCCTTAACACTGCAAAAAAAAAACAGAGAAACTGTTTACATTGCAGTGCTAAGATTGCCTCTAGTGGCTTTTTCCTGCAGTTTCAAGGAGTTTGACTTTGCATGAAAAGATCCAGCGTGTTGAAAAACCACATAGGAAAGCGCTGAGTCAATGATTTCCTATGAGGAAGGTCTAATACGTGTTCACCGTGCATGCATTGTGCTGACATCAGTGGAGGAGGTCACTGATCCAGCGCCAAGGGACATCAGTGCTGGAATCAGGTGAGTGGAATGAGGGCAAAGGAACTCTATTCAGTTTTGTATTCCTAAGACTATGGTGTTCCTGTAACTGTTATAGTCTTGTTTATACTCATTTGGTTACAATAAAAAAAAAATCCAAAAACTCTTTCTGCTGCAGGGCAACTCTTCTCTCCTGGATTTAAATAGAAGATCTCATCTTTTGTGATTTATTTGTAAAAACTGTAGAGATTACTATTTTCCAGTGTTAATAAATGCAAACATTTTTGCTATTTTATAAAATGGTGTGATGTGGTATATACCATTAATTACAAGATTCCCCCCAAAAAAATTTATCAAATGATTAATATCTCAAGGTACATATTATTAAGTTGATCCCACACATCAACCCAATAATGATGCAAACCTGTGTAGAGCTTTAATACTTCAATATTATACATTCATTTACTTACCATTGTTGCATGAACGTAGGTGTTTCCATGAGATACAATCAAAGCAGACTTAACTATTAGGTGATCTTAGGCAGCTGCCTAGGGCCCCAGGAAATAGACAGGGCCTTTGGAACCATGAATTTGCTTGGCCACCATTACCATCCCTATGTGAACAATAGAGGGTTGGAGGCACAAAACCGGTAACCTTCCTAGAGCCCTGTTGGATCTTAAAGGGATACTATAGGCACCCAGACCACATCATCTCATTGAAGTGGTTTGAGTGAAGTGTCCCTGTCCCCCTTAGCCCTGAAATGTAAATCATTGCAGTTTTTGAGAAACTGCAATAGTGCTAAGACTGCCTCTAGTGGCTGTCTACCAGATAGCCACTAAAGGCGCAAGCTGGCCTTTCACGGAGTTTGATTCCATGAAACAACAATGGACGTCATCACACTGTGCGATAGAACATCCAGCGGCTTTTAAAACCCCCAGAGGAAAGCATTGAGTCAATGCTTTCCTATGGGAAAGACCTAATGCGCGCGCAGAGCTCGTCGCAATTGCGCATTAGGTTTCCAAATCACTCTGACATCGAAACTGAGGGACATCTGCGGTGAGTGACTGAAAGGGTTTTTTAACCTTCACGTGGTAATAAGGGGCACTTTAATGTTTGGAATACATCTTTGTATTTCTAACACTAGTGTTCATTTAATCCTTCTCTGGATACAATAGGTCTACATTACTTGCATGCATAATGTGCCATAAAATGTAATCGATTAGTTCTACATGCAAAATAGAAGCATATTTATGTAGGTTGGAAGGGAAATGTAACCCCATTACTGGGGGGGTTTCCTTATTTGCTATAATAGTCTCTCTAAGAGTGTTATCCTGTAGCATTGCTTCCCATGATTCATAGAAGGATATCTGTCTATAAATAAGGTTTGCAGGCAATATTGAACAGGCAGTGCAGGCCTTGTGATGGGAATGCTCAGCACATTCTGGGGCGGGCTGCCCATGTTATACTTTGGTTTAGCTGCGCGCGTTGCAGAAATGAATGCGAAATGTTGTTGATTTCGTTCCCCAGAAAATCCAGATGTTTTCTGTCAAGGGAAGCAAAAGCTTTAACTCACAAGTGAAAGCTGACACATTCCCATCTGACACGAAAGCAAAGGCTGCAGCTGTTAACGCCTTCCTGACAGTAAAGACCGACATACCTACAGGGCTGGCCTCCCATCCTTTCACTGACAGAGACATCAAAACCTAAGATTTAAACACCTCCTGGTAGAGCATCAATACAGTTAGCATTCCACAGACATGGCTGTACAGCATGGAAGGGGTTAATAATGGTTTTCTCGCTTTTAGAATAGTTAGATAGTTGTTGGTTGCAGAGTTTGTAATTCCTTCAAATGGGGGCGTTATTAGTTTGTCAGGTAAGGGCAGGTAGAATAAGGGGGGTTGGGGGCGAACTCTGGTCTTTCTGACAACCACATACAAATGGTATTTAAGGGACCCTGCCAGGTAAACTGGGAGATTTAGAAAATATACAGACCAATATAAAATTGCATCATCACAGAACCGCATGCAATATAATTGTTATTCAGTACCTTATTAAAGGAACACTATAGGGTCAGGGATGCAAACATGTATTCCTGACAGCAGGGTGGTAAAAGCACTGTTTAGTTGTCCAGCCCATTGCCTGACTTTAAAAAGGTATTTAGTGTACCTTATTTCCAGCGCCGTGCTGTCCTCGCCCCGTCCTGCTTCCATGGGTGAGATAATCAATAGTGAAGATCTCAGCCAATCCAATCCTTTCTCATATAAAAGTATTGGGAGGCTATTGTGCATATGTGCTAAATGCCGCTCTGCGCCAATGAGCATTTCATCATAGAGATAAATTGACTCAATATACATTTGCTTGCAGTTTTACTAGATCACTACATTGAACTGTATGCATGCTTTCCAATGACACATTTTATTTGACAGAGTCCAATGAAGTTAAATAGCGTTCTGTATGTCACCCCCTCGCTGTTTAACAGGGCAGTTAGGGTAGGGTTAAAAAGGCATCTGTAGCTCATTAAACATCTTTGTTAGATTTAGGCAGTACTAATAAGTACTACATGTAATGAATCACTTCCTTCGGTCAATGGATCAAGTGTCTTTAAGTTTCGTTACCATTTTTCATGGTTCATAGATCATTATGTTGTAATGGCAAAGACACAATAATAAGTAAGGCTAATGGAGACACGTTCAATAGAATTTGCTAACCCTGCGGTTAACTCAGCAATCGTGGAGGTGGAATTAACCCGATGAAATACATCTGATTAATAGAAAATGACTGTGGAGCCTGGCCAACAGACACTGACATGGGTTAACAGAGAAATGTGGAATGTGTTCAAGGAGGGTGTAGTGTGAACATTCTACAAGTTAATTGTGTTTTCACTAACATATACAGCATATATATAATGGTTTTACAATAAATTGAAGACAGATGAGGATAGGTTTACACTTGTAAACCTGTTTTTACTCGTCTACTTAACCCCTTTATTTGCCTAGAAAGGATCCTAAAAGGGATAAAAAAAAAAAGAAAATTGAATATCTGGGACTGAAACATGTTTCTGGCTCAGTATTCTGTTGGGGAAAAAAAAGAAGTAGTAATTAAAATATAATGCAAAAGTCGAGAACTCTCACAGTTATAAAATATGGTTCCAGCATTGAAATGTCAGAATTTCTGCCCAGTCCTGGTGGTTTATTAAAGTTCTAGACTCCCTGACGGCTATTTATCAGTCTCTTCGCTGCAAAAATACTGGGCCACATAACCAGTATTTAGAAATGTATTCTCATAGCAGCTAATGCAATCTTATACTCTGACAGATCTGCTCCATGCTTGTATTAGATATGGATCCAGGAGAATCAGATACATTATCCTTTTTCCCAACTGTGCTTTTAAAAGACTTCAGGCATATCCTTTCCAAGAGATTTGGAATGTGGTTTGGCAGGATTTTTTTTTTTTTATGATTTTTTTTATACTAAGACACAAGGAAGTGAATTGAAGAAGAAGTTCAAAAAAGTGGTACATTATTAAACTTATTTTTAGAGATAGGTTTAGAAAAAGAGTCTCCTGGGGGAATGAGAATGTAGAGCATCTTATATATATTCACATTCTCATTTTCTTTCATTATTTGCTGCATCGCTTCACTGTTAACTGTTTTAGCAAATGCTTAACCTTAGAAAGCAAACTGATGGCAAATCCATTCTACAGATGTATATATCAGTCAGTGCAGCTATATAGTTTTATTTTCTTAAAGGAACACTCAAGCATTAAAACTGATATTCGGTTTTAACCTTTGGAGTGTTCCTTTAACCCATTACAAGCCAGGCGCACCCTTCACTCCTAAAAGGATACACAATAACCAATAGGCCCTCTTGGCTGCCATTTGACTGCTAGGGCATATGAAAGTGAAATTTTTTCTTCAAATCTGCACTTTTGTCCACGGGGATAAAGAGTGTGATGCAGTTATCCCATAAAGCATGTTATCAATTCATTTATTTTAGTAAATTCCTTTGCTTAATCAGAATCCAGGCAAACACTGAGAACATTGGGGGAGATATAAAGAATTTTATAAACATTTGGCAGGGACCTGGAGCTCTCTGATTGCTACTTCCAAATGGATTCTTGCTTAAAGGAGACTAAGCATATGCAAGACTTGCTGAAACAAGACAGATTTGAAATTTGTCCCATATTCTTGACAAACTTATTTGCTCTCAAGAAAGCTTCTCCTGACAGCCACCTTTTAAGGAGAGGGTTTCTGCAGGACTGAAACCTATTACAGACATATACTCCAGAATATATATATATATATATATATATATATATATATATATATATATATATATATATATATATATATATATCTGTGATTCATATAATACACTGTAATATGGTAGAATTACCTGGGCAACTGTGTCAGTATATAACAGTGGCACCAAGGGACCCCAGACAGGCACAATAACCACTTAAATAAGATGAAGTTGTTACAGTGCCTACAGTGTCCTTTTAAGGCAAAAAAAAAGTCAAACTGTAACTACAGAGTTGCATAATTGTTCAAAAGTAGCCATTTTAATTTACTGCAATTAATGTTTAGTGAATAAACCCATTTTTCCCACCTAGCTAGTGAATGAAAGAAAACAAGATCACATATGGTGGTATTCTTTAAACTGAGAATTGTGGAGAATTCACAGGGGGAATTTTTAGGGTATTTAGGATAAAATAGTTTAGCTGGATAAAAAAAAATTAACTCTGCCACCTTCCCAGCTATCTAAAATGTACAAATCCCTTGGCCATTCCCTCTACAGTTGCCAGTTTAGTGAATGAATGTTCTTTTCAAGTTCAATCCATCACATGCATGAGAAAGATGTAAAGCCATTCTGGCTTTGCTCTCTCTGCATGCCTTGAATGCCTGTCATGCTCAAATATCTCTAAATAAAGATAAAAAAAAAAAAATACATCACGAGTCAATGTGTTTTCAATTCATTGGTATGACATCAGTACAAAAGTTAATTGGGATAAGAGATTGGCTAAATAATGTTACTAAAATGGCAGGCTTAACTCACTGAAAATAATTTATTATATGTTTTGACTGCGTGATGTATTGTGTGCTCTAAACCCTATTTAGATGTTACTTTAAATGAGGTTTTGAGACAGTACTGATGTGCAGTTTAGTATATTTGAACATAATATTACCTAACACATGGGTCTGGGTGTGGATTACCAAACTGTTTACATATTCTTCTTAAATCATGTTCAGTTTAATCACTGCGTTTGTCTGCTGTGGTTAACATGTACCAAAACAATTCTGACGCTGATAGATTTATGCAAATGTCCTGTGGAGATCATGAACAAAGGATGATTTGACCAGTGCAACTGTTACCATCTCTAAACCCAACATAGGTTAGAGTGGCAGTAAACTCACAGCTGTGTCTTGGAAGCGGTTCAAATGGGACACATGTCACACAATGGTATATAGAGATTACACATTTACTTATTTCCCCAAAGTCTCTTGTATCTAAGCACTGACAGGGGTTATTTACTAAATTAGAATTCAAAGTGAATTTCAAATGTAAGGCCAACGATTCTGAACTGGAAGCACAGCTGAATTAGATAATTTTTTCATTTTGCCTATTTTTACCTTAAAGGGATACTCCAGGCACCCAGACCACTTCTGCCCATTGGAGTAGTCTGGGTGCCAACTCCCACTACCCTTAAAGGAGCACTATAGGGTCAGAAACACAAACATGTATTCCTGACCCTATAGGGTTAAAACCACCATCTAGCCACCCTGGTCCCCTCATGCCTCCCTAAATATAGAAATCTTAGTTGTTTTCAAGTCTGGCGTTGTAACCCTGCATGCTGTTTGCCTCAGAAAAACAAGCTGTCTGCTGACATCATCAGAAGTGGTAGCCTGAGCCAATCACAATGCTTCCCCATAGGATTGGCTGAGACTGTCAAAGAGGCAGATCAGGGGCAGAGCCAGCATGATTCAAACACAGCCCTGGTCAATCAGCATCTCCTCATAGAGATGAATCGAATCAATGAATCTCTATGAGGAAAGTTCAGTGTCTGCATGCAGAGAGAGTAGATACTGAATGTTTGGATGCATTTTAGGCAGCCATGACCCAGGAAGGATCTCTAACAGCCATCTGAGGAGTTGTCAGTGAAGTTATCACTAGGCTGTAATGTAAACACTGCTTTTTCTCTGAAAAGACAGTGTTTACAGCAAAAAGCCAGAAGGCTATGTATAATGCTTTCCTATGGGGAGGTCTAATGTGTGTGCGCGGCCATTGCCATGCATGCACATTTGGTCTCCCCCGCCGGCTGACGTCGGCGGGAGAGGAGAGTAGGCAGAGCCTGACCCAATGCCGAGGGACATTTTAACCCCTTCAGCAACTTGGGATGGGGGGTGGGAGGGAGAGGGGCACTAGAGGGTCCTGCAGTGCCAGGAAAATATGTTTTCCTGGCACTGGAGAATCCGTTTAAATTTTAAACTCTTTTTGAATTCTCACCTTAGTAAATAATCCTGCAGATCTCGGACTCGGATATAAAATGAAGTTGACGCTAAGCAATTCTTTCCTGAACATGAGTTGTATGGTTATTCCGAAGGAACCATGCTATCAGAAGTTAGGAAGGTGTTCTGAATTGCAAAGACCGGGTTTTATACACAAAGACAGCTTCTCCATCACACTTGCTCACCAATAAGATTTTCTGGGCTTTTTTCATGTTGATGGGCATCACGTGAAGCAATGCTAATATGAATCTATTCTTTTCTTTCTTTTGTTATGTTGCTCATGTTTGAAAGGAAACTGATGGATTTGGGGGAATGTAGATTCAGTAGCCGCTGTTGCATGCAGGGGAGCTTGACACTACCCCTGGAATTTGACTCTGCCTTCCGACTTGACTCTGGGCTATGCCTCCTTAACCCCAAGTACTCAACCCTTAACCCAATGAAAGGTCATGCCCTCCAACACCATAGACCCGTAGATAGATGAACTTGGGAACATTGTTACCCAATGACATTCCCAGAACCCAGAACATTATGCAGGCCTGTCTTTTAGAGTGTCTGGGATCTCTGACAGGCAACAGCCAATGGGTGAAATTTTGACATGGTGATTTTTAGCACCAGGGGAGCGGGAAAAGGGGGAGCACTTCCCAATTGGCCCTTATGTAAATTTCCAAACTAGCATGAGACAGTAAAACCAGCACCTACTTTTCAAAGACAATGAGGTGCAGAATGCTTTTAGACATCCATTTTTAAAATTATTTGTTAGCTATTAATTATCTCTTATGTGCCCCAAATGTCATTTTTAATGACTGTTGCAGGTGTATTTAATTATGAATGAGGATTTCTGTAGTTTAAAAAAAAGACATTTTTTAAATAGTTTAATAAAGCAAATAATTAATCTAACTAATCGTGTTGTAAACATTTCTGCCATTCTGACCTTGCAGCATTAATTTGTTGTACAGAAGAATGCTAAATGGAACTTGTAAGATGGAAAATATTAAAGCTTTAAACCAAAGGGATTAGGTAACATATGCCATCTGATTGCTGCAAAGCTTTCCAGTGCCAGTCACTAATTTGAAATAAATCTTAAAATCCCCCCTCTATGCATTTCTAGAATAGAGCACAGTGATGTAAAATAAACCCATTCTTAGTTTATTAACCATTTTGTGTGCTGATTTAAATGGACAAGCTTAAATGGTGAATTCACTAAAGCAGTAGTTACTGGACCATCAATCCCATCATTCTGTTCTAAGTCATGATTGCCCGCAAATTATTAAAGTTGTAGACAGGCAAAGGGTACAGTAACAAAACAACACAATTTGGAAAATAGTCACCTTCGGCTAAGATGGAGTTTTCTACAACTCAATTATTGTTGGCTACATTTTCTTAAAACATTTGTCAATTCAATACAACTTCCAGTTTAGTAAGCCCCCTGTGAATGCTTCACACCTATAAACACAATAAAGGAATAGTTAAAAAAAAAATGAACCATATTGTGTTTGTGAAAGTTTTCCGTTTGATGAAGCGTTTTAGTTAGTGCACTATATTTAGAAAGAAATGCCAGACTTTTCTTTTTAAATAATTTTCCGTGAGTTACTTAGACTTTCTTTTCTCTTTTTCTAAACTTAGTTTATTACTCTTAATATAAATAGAGTCAAGTTTCGTCTGCAGTGATTTTTACACCATATAAAAATTAAATTAACGCAAGACTAAATCTTGTCCTAACTGCTCTACTAAAATTGGAAATAAGCTGTGGGTAGTGATTTTTTATTTTTTTTATTTTTTATTCTTCTGGCATTTAGTCTATCAATTATGTAACAAAAAGCGGAACAAAATGGAACTTGGCAGAATTCGCAAACGATTACCATATGAACTACATGACTTGTTTTCCTGTTAACATGTCTTCTGATATACATTTTATTGTCAGACGAATGCCAAGATAATTTGTTCCGTTTAAGCCAAATACTTTAATGGCTGTGCATTTGTCAAAGTGTAAATGCTGCTGTCATTTGTAAGCAGCCTATGGATGGCTGGTAATTAGAACAGAGATCAGTGGATATGAGAAAACGTCATCTCATTTGCATGTTTGCTTTTTTTGTTATTGATACCACTTTGTATTTAGTTAACTGAGTTCTTCGTCACGCTTCAAATGTAGAGTGACGCTATAGCTAAATAGGGTTGGAAAATACAACCAGATGTGTGTTTTTACAATGTCTCTACTAGCGAAACAGAAAAGTCGAGTAATATGCGAAAACGGCATTTATGCGCAAAATTGAATTTCCTTTATTTTAAAGGAAATCCTTTCATTTAGGGAGTTCCACAGTACGAATTATTAAATTTGTTTTTATGGCCTTTCTAGGGAGGCTCTGACTGCTGCGGTGACATCATATAGTACCAGATGGCCATGTGTATATATAAAACATGATGAAGCAGAATCATATTTATTTAATTTTTTTTTATAGAAATGTTGGAAGGTATTTAAAAAAAAATACAGAATATTAGTTACAGACAAAGACAGTTTCATACTGACATAAAGTTGTACATATGTTTCATTCACATATTACGATAAAAAATGTTAGTGTACAGTTGCAAGAAAAAGTATGTGAACCCTTTGGAATGATATGGATTTCTGCACAAATTGGTCATAAAATGTGATCTGATCATCATCTAAGTCACAACAATAGACAATCACAGTCTGCTTAAACTAATAAGATGTCATTAGTCTAGGGGTTCACATACTTTTTCCACCTGCACTGTGAGTGTTTACATGGTGTGTTCAATAAAAACATGGCAACATTTCATTCTTTGTGTGTTATTAGTTTAAGCAGACTGTGATTGTCTATTGTTGTGACTTAGATGATGATCAGATCACATTTTATGACCAATTTGTGCAGAAATCCATATCATTCCAAAGGGTTCACATACTTTTTCTTGCAACTGTATGTTAAATAATTGATGCATAAAAAGTGGGATATGTGCTATGTTATCCTATTAAATGACACTTGATGTCCTATTTTGTGCAACGTCCTGTTCTTCATTTATGTCAGGGGTAAGCAACCTTCGGCACTTAAAATGTTGTGGACTACATCTCCCAAAATGCTCTCACAGCTATAATGCTGGCAAAGCATCAGGGGATATGTAGTCCACATCATCTGGAGTGCCGAAGGTTGCTTACCCCTGTTATATATTGTACCTGGGAGCTTGGTTGCTCTGGATCAATGAGTATGCTATCCTATTATTTAAATTCTGTCCAGTCTCATAGGGAAATTGTAACTTAAACGATTGACAAACAAGTTGAGGAAACTTGATACCATACAGTGTACACAGCTACATTGTAATATGACTTAAAATAAAGTTCACAAGCTCTACCTGTCACTCAGCTGTTTCTGCTTTTTTTCAAAAGAAGGACAAATAAAATATATTTAAAAAAAATATATTCTATTTGCTCGAAGGCTTCTTGACTTGAAAATAGCACTCACATTTCTCCACGGATAAACAAACCTTTGTTGAGTAGATCATTAAACTAAAATAAAAGGCATTTGTTTCAGAGGATATAAACCTGAGTCTCAATTTAAGTATTGTTCTAAAAAGATCAGGAGGTCCACTTGAAATGATACACTATATTATCCCTGAGGGGTTTATTTCATTGGCAGGCCCTTTGGCTCATGCTGTTCCCTGTTGTTCTTCGTCATTAACAATGTATGACTTGAGTTCCTGCAAGCATTGCCTGTTGCAGAGAGATCTGGCCATAGCTACAGACTTTACATATCCAAATTGTTTTAAAACTGCGCACTATTCAGGGTTTGCCAAAACGTAAACAGTGTTGACCAGAGGTTTGATATGTTCATAGCAGATACAATGAATAATACTTTAAAAAGTAAAAAAAAAAGGTTTAAAATGTAGATTTACGACGATTTTGCTTTTCACTTTAAACCATGAAAAGTTAACATGTGCCGGGCAAATATTTTCTAATTGTGTCACAGAATTGCAGGTAGACGTAAAGTACAGTGTGCATTTTGGCAAAACGAGTCAAAATACCATTGTTTTCTTGGAATTGCCAGCAACAGGAACAGCTAGTGCATGTATCATCAATGTCAGAACCCTGGACAGCTGCCCTGGAGGAACAGGGATTACAATGGCCAAAGGAGACTCTCAGGGCTGTCTCCTCTAAGTCCTCTTACACTAAAACTTACGATGGCAGGAGGCTCGTAGCACCAGGAAAATGTAATGTTAATACTATTTGTACTGTGACTCCAGCTAATTATAACATCTAATAGACATTAACAGGGTTATATGCTAAATTATTTTAAAACAATTTCAAATTGAAGGCCAAAATAGCCAAACAACTTTTCTAATTTAGTTATTTTCAACAAAATTTTGAAATTCACTTTAAATTTCCAGCAATACTCACTTATTAGTGAAAAACTCTGTTAGTTTTACGGTGACCTGAGTTCTTGTAAAGGTATTCAAAATTATTGCCTTGTGTTTTAACTGTATATTCAAGTTATAGTTCCCTCCTGCCTGCACTACCAAAAATGTTTAATCTACAGAAGAACCATGGATCTATCTGTCTCTTTATCCACTTGAACAATTGAGAATATTAACACAAAATATATAATATTACCACCCTTATCCCATCATACCAAGAGTACAAGGATTCATTTTTAAAAATGGTCTGCCCTCTATATATAAACATTGTATTTGGCCATAAAGCTGCACCAAGAAAATGATGGCAGTGTTCATTTCTTTTCAATCTGCAAAACAAGGAAATATAAGATTACTGGATTTGTATCTGAATTTACAAATTAAGAGACTATTTGAGGTTGGTGCAATGTCTGATAACTCTGAGTGGAATATGCACATTTTCAAATACCAATTATCTGCAGTACTGATTTAGAACAGTGATGGTTAGTCTTTCTTAGCTAGATCAGATGCATCTGGGGTACTTTGCAGAGTTCTTTTTCCCTTCCCTTTGATGTCTCTATGACCCACAGCAATCTGAGGATTTCTATTGAAATTAGAAGAGCCAATAAAACTAAGATTCCTGTAGATGACTGTTTTCTGTATATATTACCAAAGGACACCTTTTTGTTGCCTTGCTCCGTAGATCCCTCTCAGCTGCAATTCCTTGTACCCCTTCTCAACTGCAATTCAGTATTCTTCCCTCCCTTACCACAAGTTTTCTTATCTTTAAACTCCTCTCCACCACAATTCTGCTAGCCATGTCCAAGTCAGAGAAATTTTATACCAGCTTGGATTCATCATTTACATACAGTTTAAATTACTGTGCAATTTACATCTTTGACTTCAATAGTTCTTTTTTTTTTTTTCTGTATCTGGTATAAAGTCTCGAGTGCATTTTGTTTACCAGTTTGTTTAAGCCATTAGAATTTGATGAATTAGTTTGCCACCCTCTTTGTTCTTCATCCTTTGCCAGTCTTCTCATTGGACCACCTTACAGCACTTAGCATGTCTCCCCCGCTGCACTTTGTTTACTAAACTACCCTGGAGCCAGTACTGTTGCAGTGCTCTCCCACAGCCGCCAGTCTTAGTTACACTGAGATCTGGCGCTCTTGTATCAGATACTGTGCTCTCCAAAATTCCTCTCATGCTGAGATCAACAGTTCTGGAATTTTTAATTCCCCCAGGGTTTTGTTAATCAAATGCACACCTCTCGTATGGGGCTGTACTTATTCTTTTTTAACCTCATTCCAGCAGAGGAACCTAATCCACATCACTGCTTTAACTCTTGAGCCCTGCTGACTGGATTAAACCCCTGTCAAGAGATTACAACTAAAAAATCTATTGTCTTCTCTACTATTGAATAATCTAGCAGCCAATATTTAGAATACTTTGCCATTATAAATTATCTTGAAATCTGATATATATTAATGAAAAAATATCAGTTATTTTATGTACAGATGTTATCTGCTTATCTTATCCTGGTTCACTTACAAATATATAGCATTTTACTATCAGTTAAGCTAGTTTGTGTATTTGAATTTCATTTAGCTGATGAGATGGTTGAGAAACATTACTATCTTGAGAGATAGAGAAGTGGTCTAACAGAGGTCTGAAATATTGACCTACTTCTGAATTCCCCTACTTTCCCCAGGCCAAGGCATTTACTATTTGTCAGCTTAAATCTATACCATGTATTCCTCCCCTAAACAAAGAGCATTTGATTATTCTGGCACTATATCTTCCTTTCCTAGAGAGACATATGGAGTTTATTGGAATAAATCTCTTTCGTTATGCAGCATTGTTTCATTAATCCTCATATGTCTTGAGTTATTGTAGTCTTGCTATGTTAACTCACTAAAACCCCAGAGAGCTAATATGTGATAATGAAATCATTCTGGTATATCAGGGAAAATCAACCTGACCAGCTTTAGTTTCAGCGGAACACCAGTATTCACAAGGTAGAATATCAATGATGGGGTTGATAATTCAACCACAAATGCAGTCCTGTGTTACTCACATCAATTCAAATAACAATCTTAAATGTGAAAGATATTTCTACCATATCTGTATGGGAGTGTATTATGGGATTGGAAATTCCAAAATATCTCTAGAGCTACCTGTTGGGTACCCCTTGAATACAATAATCCGGAAGAATTTAGTGCTGTTAGTGATGTTGGTGTTAGAAATGGACAGATTGAGGTCTAAGAAATTACTGAACAGTGATTACATTTCAACATCTGAGAATCAGCTATTGCATGTCAGGCTATATTCAGAAAGTTACATAGCTGAAAAGAGACATGTGCCCATCCTGTTCAGTCTTTTTCTCATTTGTTTTTGCTGTTGATCCAAAAGAAATGGCAGTCAGATATCTCCTTGGATCATGAAACTATTACCCCACTAATTAAAACGTTTATCCCTGTGTCATATGTTTTTGTAAGTATTTATCTATTTGCTGTTTAAACATCTGTATATACTCTGCTAAAACCACCTCTTTAGGCAGAGAATTCCATATCCTTATTGTTCTTACTGTAAAAAAAAACTTTTTTTTGCCTTAGACTAAATCTCCTTTCTTCCAGTCTAAATGCGTGATCATGTGTACTAAATATAGTTCTGTTTATGAATAGGTTTCCAGACAATGAATGCCTATTACTAACTAATTTGTAAGAGTCTGAACATTTCTCCTGGGGGGAAATCACCATGGCTGAATATCAGTATCTCTAATAGAGTATGGAGGAATAGAGAGCCTCTTTTCTTTTAGTATAAGAGAGAACTGGGACTTCTGCTGCCCAGCTAAAGTACCATTTATACCATCCTAAGAGATATTACTTTAAATAGCAGTTCTTAATCATTTTAAAAGAAACCAAAATTATTCACATTGGATCAGTTCATCAGAACATGAAAGCCGTAAGCTTTGAAGATTCACTGAAATGCCCAAATTTGGGTCTAAACATAGTGGTTAAGAATGACTGATCTAAGTCGTCGACTGCAAAAAATATTACTTTAAGAATTCTACGTGATCAACTTTTGAATTTGTTTGTTAAAGAGCTACAAAAGTGTGTTAGTAGTAATGAACATAAAACCAAAGAAATGTAGCCTTACGACTAAATACTTGAATTCATGAAAAATGTGGTTACACACTACTGCGTGGGAGGCATCTGCCATCTAGTCATAGGATGGAATTCATCCTTTGGAGAGCTGGACAAAGCTCTAACAAACACATTTTCCCAGCAACACCGATTATCTGCACATCAAATACTTCTGCTCATCTGCTTGATGTCTTTATAATGACATAACGAACTATAACCAGAGTGATTCTGCATTCTTATGAGAGACATTAGGTCAAGACTGTAAACGTCTTAAGTATTTGTCTTGGAAACATTACAGTTTATTTCAAAACACTTATGGTAGGTGTCAGTCAGCTCTTGTTATGCACCACTTGGTTTTGATGTTATGTGCGGAACATATGTTAATACTGAGATTTTTCATGATACTCACCCTCTTGGCTTTGAAATTCAGGAAATACTTTTCTCAAAATGTTTTATTATCCTCTGTTTCTTTTGATTTCAGTAGGAGTAGGGTTAGTTTATCAACACTATATTTATACTTTATTTGCGTTCCTCGTTCATTTGTCTCTTGTTTACTGTAAATCTCTTTACGCCACCATTAAGACTATTTTAGAACATGCTAGGCTATTTTCTGCTGTTTAAGATACGGCTAGAGGTATACAGATTGTCTGTTTTATCGTAATGAAAATCACCCAATATCTTGATGCATTCATTTTCTTTCTGTGCAAAACTTTTCCTTAATGTAATATATCAGTCCATAACCCAGCCTTGGCACTCTTGATCTTTGCATTCTAAACCAAACTCCTCGCCAACTGTTACACTTCTTTCCTTAATTTTCCTACATATCAATATTCTCTACCGATCCATTTTTCTCAAACTTTCTATAATTCTCCTTCATTTTCCGCACTCCTCTTTATATAGTTATCAAAGCTAAAACTTTGAAATAGGGTCTCATGGTTCTGGTAGCATGTTTTTATGTGAGCCCACACTCAGGTCTAAAACAAGTGTTAGCTCACATAAGCCATTGCGTAGGTAATATACACCATTTGCATATCAGTCTAATGCCACCATGAAGACAGCTAAGGAGAGGCTAACAGATGCTCTCAAGCAAGAAATGGCCCTTGGCACACCCCATATAAGAAGTCAAACCATTCTAAAATGGTTTGACTACTTACAAAGGGGTGTCAAGAGCACTGTAGAGGTAGTAAGGAGTATTCCTTTAAAATTTCTGCCTGATCTCAGAATTCTTTTATATCGTATGTTTTGAACTTGCATTACATGGGCTATGATCCAAAAGGATCAGTGACTATAATCCAGCCATGTACTGGATGTATATATAGGAAAACTTGAGGAGAGCACTCATTGGACTTTCAATCACCTTCCACCTTTATTCACAGTACAGTTATGTTACATCAATGTTTCAGTCTCTCCAGCCTTTCATCAGGAAAGGATACTGATACTGATATATATTGTGCAGAATTGACCTATTTATTCTGTTATGATAACTGGTATTGCTACCAGATGTCTTGCGATTTTCCATGCAATCTACGTATTTCGGTACAGAGTGCACAAAAGTTCCAATTTCGAAACTCCGGTTTGGAGAGAAGACTGGTGTGCTGCCATTGAAACCTAAAAACAGCAAAGTTCATGATGCATGGGTCATACATTCATTACTCTGTGTACCCTGGCTGTAATCCGTGAAATTCGATCTGTCTTGGCGTCATGGTTAGCACATCCCAGCAGAATAATTGAGGGAAGACCTTGTTTTTACAGTTTTTTATCCTTGTAGTCCTGCCCTTTCTCTGCAAGGTCGCCAAGTTACATTCCAAAATAGAACATTTTAATTGGGGATATCCTAACCTACGTCATTTCATCCTTATTTTAATCCTTTTCTAACACCCCCCACAATTATACTAGCATACTCATGTTCAGCTGAGTTCTCAAGGGCCACTGGCCAGCCAGGATTTTGGACTAATTAACAGGCAAACTATAAATGATCTTATATTACTAAGTAATATAACTTACTAAGCAAAGTGTTTCAATATGTGCTGACCTGAAAACCTGGCTTCTTAGTGGTCTTAAGGGATCTGCATTAAATAATCCTGAAACAATATTCTCCTGCTTTCTAACAGAGGTGAGATCACACTTTTATTCTGCTGGCGTTAATGTTATGTATATTAACCACTCCGATGCCAACTATGTATATAAACTGTATACTTTGTCTTGCTATGTAAAGACACAAATGTATTTTCACTTATAAGAGCAAATATACTGATCCCTTGTAATGCCAATCCCATAGATAGCCGTATCACAAAGCCATATCAATACTGGACATTTAACTGTTTGTGTAGTTTTTTGTAATACAACTGAATTTAACTGTAAAATGCTTGAATTTAAGACAATTATTGTTAGTATAAATATACATATTTTACAGCATTCTACAGCAAAATTAGGAATATAAAAAATAAGAAATAATATAATGTTACCATCCAGTATTATTTGATTGATAACATCAGATAGTATAGTCGAAAACATGTGGTTTTCAGTATCAGACTTCCACCTATTAACACACTACATATCCCATTAACCATTGCAACATCTTTCTGTGATTTTACTTAGCAGTGGTCCATGAGACATAATTCAGCTAGATGTCTATCATTTAAATCCCAATAGTCTACATTAGCTCTATGAAAAGATAGAGGAAAAACAAGAAAATTTATTGCTTTTGCTGTTTTTTTGTACTGCTATGTCTTATTCGATAATATGACAAATAAAATATTCTGTGAATTTTTGTGTCTTTTTACCAGGAGTCCCTGGTGCCGGGGCAGGAGGCCAGTTCTACCCAGGAGGAGCGGGTGTGGGCGCAGGAGGCGTATACCCTGGTAAGCACGCCTGTCATAGTAAATCTGACTGAGTGCAGTAAAATGTGCATTGAGTAAGAGAGGAAATCACGGTTTTAGCATTACCACTCAGCAGTTGAGAAGTCCAACGTGTCCATCAGTAGCTGATTAATCCCTTTACTCCTAGTAAACGTATTCCATAGAATTTAGGAATCCATACCCCCAGCCCTTTATATACACATATCTCACCATTTTAATAACGTGCAAATAAGATAAAAGGATATTGCATTATTGTCTTTGACTCCATTATTCTGTTATGAGGATCAACAATGAAATGTTGTTTTGCCATAAATTAATGGTCTATATGTACCGACTGACATAAAAATGAACAAAAACACATTCTGGATTCTAGTGGTAATCTGCATTTAACTTTGTAGTGAAGCATTTGATATTAATCCAGTTCTGCGGTAACCCTACGACCCAAAGACTACGTTTATTTTCCCTTTTTGTTTCAGGCGCAGCATTAGGAGGAGGTGGAGTACCTGGAGCCGGAGCAGGTATGTTTGAACCTTCAGTATGCTAAATGACGTTAATAAAACAATAGCAGACATGAACAATAGATAACGGATTGTATATGTACGCTGCACTACAAATTGAAATGTTTTACTGGAGATAATGATAATTATTCAAGGCGAGTTTTGACCTCTTAGACACCCAGCCAGTTAGTAAATACTGCTTGCATGTAGTTTATACTGGTAGACAACAGGCAGCATTGAATATATTGTCAGACTGCAACTCATGCTGTCATGTTGCTTTGCCATATAAAATGTGAATGTACTTTCCAAAACAATCCACTTTAAGAATTTCAAGCTTTATTATAGAGACATTATATGTCCATAAATTGCAGGGGTAAGGACATATACCCTTAAATATCAGGTTATTGGAGATAATTTGTATTGTCACTCCCGACATTCACATCCACAGGATCATGAATGCAAGTGCTTCTAGTCATAAATCATACTTAACCCTGCCTGACCTATGTCTTCCCTAATCTTAAGTACCCTTACCCCAGTGCCAAGAAAACCCAACCCTAAGTCCCCCAGCCTTATCGATTGGTTCTCCATAACATTAAATCCTTGACCTTAAATTCTCCTTAGCCCTAACCCTCAGCGACCATTAATACTAACCTCTGATTCCAAATCTCAATAACCTTAATCTCAAGTACCTCTTAATCCTGAAGCTAATGGTAGCATTGAAAACATCACCAGTGTGAATGGAACTGCTATGTTATAATGATTAGATATGACACTTGTTCTTAAGGAGTAAAATAGCCCTTGTCATGAAGAACCAATTCACAAATTGGAAAGACCATTAAAGGACCAATCCAAATACTTTTACACCAGAACATCTGAGTTAGAGACAAACATCTGCATCCATAACTGGCTTATTCTGTCCTAATATTTGTACATTTGTTCTTAAATACATATAATGAAAATACTTTGTTAATTATTACATATTCCTTTCAACACAACCAGACCTAGAGTGTTGTTCTGTGCACTAGTCTCCTCTTTTTTTCCCTAACCCGCCACAAGTTCTTACAGGGACAGTACAGACCTCTAAATCACTTTAGCTTGCTGAAAGTTTTATGTATGAAGAGTGTGTCCAATTCTTTCATTTTGCAAATAGTGCAGATTTCAATATAAATTGACACTTTTATAAATTAACCTGGTTACACTCCCTGGCTTTCAAGCAAACAACTGGTCCTGTTACTTCCTGATTTGGTTAGCTAAATGAAGCTAAACTCAAGAGGAAGCAATTGGCCAGAGTACCTGACTTGCACAGACTTGTCATTGAGCTACATTGGGAAGTCTGTGATTGGACAGCCACAGAAAGACTGGGCAGAGTTAGAAGGGGAGGATTTGCAAAGGCAGCAGACAAGAGATCTGCATATTTTGCAAGCTGTTTTTAGATAAATCCCAATGAAAAATACATAATTAAATGCATGCAAGTTTTCCTTTGGGGCATATCTACTAAACGGTGATTTTTATTTATTTTATATTTGGGCAGTGGAGTGGCCCTTTAAGGTAACTGACTTGCTTTCTTTATCACAAACTGTTAGAAAAATTTCCACAACCATGATCAGTTTTACTGATAATCACACCACCGTACCTCCTTTGTCAATATGTTATTGTAACCTTGTTGCAACTCTTTTCTTTTGCTTAGGGTTATATCCTGGCGGAAAACCCCCTAAACCAGGTAGGTGCCATATCTATATTCAAATGTGAATTTACTTTGATATTCTGTTGATTGTACCATTTAGATTAGATTGCCTTTAAAATAGTGCATCCTAGTGGCCTTTTGACATTACATGTGCTTTTAAAATGCTTTCCCAGTTAATGTGTGCATGTGAGCTCTCTAGATCAGGGCTCAAAAATTCAAATAGAATGCCACTATCCAGGTGAAAATGTTACTCACCCCTGCAAACCTCCTATTGCAACTTGACTGTTGGAAATGAACAGCAAAGCAGTATATATAACATTTGCTGACAGTAGGGTTTAATTAATAACTCACAGACCAAATTATAGGCCAAAATGTGGCAATTTACCACTATAATTTACAATTCCCTACACAATTCCTCAAGATTCTCAGCTTAGTAAATAAGACTAAAATCTATTTCTAAAATTATAGATTACAAATGAGAAAGTTTCATAAAATTACAATGTTAATTTACAGCCCTTCTTACATATTCACACACTGTTATATTCCCCAATGGACGATATCAGAGAGCTTGAAGAATGCGTTGCCTAGATATTAAATTCCAGCCAGCATATGTAGTTCAGCCAACAGAAACACAAATGACTTCAAAATAACAATAATGCATTAATATAAAACTCGCACAACACATTTCGTAATGTCCACAGATTATGGTTGTAAAAGAACTATTTCCCAAGAGTATTACAATAATAGCCTCTGGTTCTAAACCCATCATAGAACATCTGGTGTTCCATTGATGGCATGAGATTCACGAATCTTGGAGAAATGTTTCTCTCTTATATTTTTTTATAAACTATGTTTTCTGGCTGAATTTCTATATTTTAAGGTATGTTTGAAATGAGTCACTACTTACAAAAAGCACTAAAACTAAGTAATGTTTAATTCCTGATAATAATGGATTTTATAAAGAATTAGACAACAACAATTATGACTTTCTGGCATGGTAGAATGTAGCAGTGAATTAGCCTACCACATAGTTTATTCACTAAACAGTTAACGTTGGGGAACGTACAAACTAACTAAAGATTTAAAGCAAAGAATAGCACATATGGAAACCCATTACAAACACACTTAACAGTATTCTTTTTGAACAATAATCAATGGGTCTTCATTAAATATAGACAGTTATTAGACAGCTCCAGAAAGCTTCATGATATTATCATTTACACAGAAACAACATTCCTGGTATCTTTAGAAGCAGAAATTTTTCAGCTGCCTCAATAGGTCATATCTAACTGAAACATTAAGCGCATTTGGCTACCGTAACCATCTGCATATCTTACTCTGGTTTCCATTTAGATTCTTTCTTAGTCATAAATTAAACCAGACAAGGATGTCCCTTGTTCCTGTTTTTATTTGGTTTGTATTTGAACCATTAAGTTTATCAGGGAAGACATAAATATTCATAGCATTTCCTTTAGATGACAATATTCCTTGAATTTTTTTGCAGAATGTAAACTTAATGCAGACTATGGATTTATTTTCTACTATAAATTAAATGAAACTAACAAAATAAAACTAAAAGGCAGTAGGAACCTGCATTGCTGGTATAGTAGCTGATGCTGGATTTGCAACCAATGCAATCGCTCTTTACTTATTATTATTATTATTATTATGATATTTATAGAGCGCCGTCAAATTCCGCAGCGCTTTACAATGGGTGGACGAACAGACATGTAGTTGTAACCAGACAAGTTGGACACACAGGAACAGAGGGGTTGAGGGCCCTGCTCAATGAGCTTACATGCTAGAGGGAGTGGGGTAAAATGATACAAAAATGTAAGGATAGTATTAGACTAATGACAGTTGCAGAAGAGGAATCATTCAGGAGCTATTAACAGTTTAATGGATACTTATGTTATGCTTAATTAATTCAGTACTCACCTATCCTTTATAGGTGTAGGTGGCCTTGGAACTGGCAGTCTAGGCGGCGGTGGTGTTGGACCTGGTGGATATGGACCTGGTGGATATGGGCCTGGTGGTGCGGGACCTGGTGGATATGGACCTGGTGGCTATGGACCTGGTGGTGTAGGACCCGGTGGCTATGGACCTGGTGGTGTAGGACCTGGTGGCTATGGAACTGGTGGTGTAGGAGCTGGTGGAAAGCCTCCAAAACCAGGTTAGATACAATGAATATTAAAAGTCAATATATAAAGCTATATTCAATCAATAATATAGGTTTTGTAGGTTTTAACATTCCATAGATCAGTGGTCCCCAAGCCAGTCCTCATGGACCACCAACAGTCCAGGATTAATGTATTTCCCTTTTTTATTATAATGGAGATACTGACAAAACCTGGACTTTTGGTGGTCAATAAGGACGGGTTCGGGTGTCAGTGCAATAGACAATTCCCCCAAGAATGCCATAAGGAAACACATGTATTATATGTGTCACACCCTTGTCTATGGTTATGTTTATAGCAAAGCTTACCTTTCATCTACTGTTGTTACCTAGATAAAGTCATGATCGGCAAAGAAAAGTCAATATACAATCTGGGTGTTAATCTAGGGCTAATACATAGAAACATAGAATGTGACAGCAGATAAGAACCATTCGGCCCATCTAGTCTGCCCAATTTTCTAAATACTTTCATTACTCCCTAGTCTTATCTTATAGTTAGGATAGCCTTATGCCTATCCCACGCATGCTTAAACTCCTTTACTGTGTTAACCTCTACCACTTCAGCTGGAAGGCTATTCCATGCATCCACTACCCAAAATTTTGAAGGCCCCAGTTCAGATCTCGCGACCCCTGGTTTACACGACCAGTGCTCTAACCCCTGAGCTATGGAGCCAATACATTAAATTGGTAGCAAATTAGGGATTTGGAATCTAGCATCTATAACAAAATCAAAGCTCAGTAACTTAGGAAACATGTTTATTTACATATAAAAGTAATGTTTCTTTGAGTTCCAATAGCATATATATCTTAACAGATTGCTAGTTTTATACATATGCTTACATGGTCATTCTATGTTGTATTTGAACTTACATGGTCATCTTTTGTCCTCCATATTGACTATGCTGTAATGATCTTGAAATTAATTAATTAAGAAACAAATAAAAATTAGATAACTGTTACAATACTGCTTTAGGTGTAGGTTGTAACATATAAAATGAAAAAAATGAAATCATGAAACCTGATTAACTATACTACATGGCCAATTCTATGTTCTACGGCCTCACAGTTTAATCACAGTAAAGAAGCACAGAAAGCACCATAACCACTATATTTCCAGTGTCATACCCTTTGTGCTATACCCTGGTTACATGTGAAAGATTATTGAGTGGTTTAACACATATCAAGGGTGTTTCTGGCACTCACGACACTGCCCATCACTGTGGAAGCTACATGTCTGCTTTCATAACTTCAATTCCATCTCACTCAGCCAATGAACATTGTATAAATTTACTGTAAAATAATATGACTCAAGCGAGCCTCGGTTTGTGTCAAACCAGCTGAAAATGGTTTAACATATGACAGTGAGATTGTCCAAGGGGCATGCTGGTACCATAACCACTACAGCAGTACAGTGGTTATGGTGCCTAAAGTGCACCTTTACATTTATAAGGAGAAACATGATCATAACAGCTATTGGTTGGTGTTGATATTTTGATAACCACTAGTGTAAATATAATTAAATATAACCAATACAACCAATTTTAATGCTGAGCTACCACAACCAATTTTTTAAAGTCATAGCTAGCATTCAAATATTACTTGATTTCATTTTTAAAGGATATGGAGGTGGTGGAACTGGAGTAGGCGGTGTTGGTGGAACTGGTGTTGGTGGTGTTGGTGGAGTCGGAGGCGTTGGTGGAGTTGGTAAGTAAAAATACAGTATGTTTTTATATTTATTTTGTCCCAAGGGTACAAAGTGCTATTAAATATTCATTAAGTAAAATATGTAAAAAGCAATACTTTTAATATATATATTATGATAAATACAATCTGTGAAATAGTGCAGAAATACAAATAAATCCTATTTCTTCTGAACTTATTCGAGTTTGTGCACTCAAAAGGGAATGTAAATTTTAGACCCAAATAGACAAGGTGCAAAGTAACTGAGTTAGAAAATGTATCCAGTTGGACCATGGTGTTTTAAAATTTTAATTTCCCTGGCTAATTCTCCACAATTCTTTTCTATATTGTTCTGACATTTTCCAAAGGTCTTTATAATTTCATAATAGGGGTATGAAATATGATATATATATATATATATATATATATATATATATATATAATGAATACAATGTTAAACAAAAATCTGCACACCAGTCAAGCCATAAGGCTTGCTTTTCCCACAGGAATCACAAATTTCAGCAGACCCTATTTACTGATGTATATATGAGATTCTATAAAATTTACCTTTTTTCACCTTTTGCAATCCTAGTCCTTATTATAAATAGTCTAGAATAGAAATCTAAAGTGGAAATTGAAATATAATGAGACCCAGGATAGCAGCATAATGACAATCTAGTTCCTGGACTTACAAATGTCAGCTCTTCACTATACCTCTCAGCTGGCTGATGAAGTAGAGCAGAGCCTAAGGATGATGTGAGTTACTGATGAAGACGTTAAGAAGCTCTGCTTAATGCCCTACCCACACCCCAATTGAATACTGTATTTTCTAAAAATCTAATGCACAACTTTATTGGCAAAATAAAGTCTCCAAAATGTAAATGCCGTGAGAATCGAAGGTGCATTAGATTTGAGTACGACCGGATATGACAGACATACAATACATTCGCATCATTAAGACAGGGATGCGAGACTTGGTTTCTGTGTACAGAATAGCTGTACCACACATCTTTCTCTGTGAATTTCGCCCCCTGGTGAATTTAGCACTGGTCAAAGGGCAATCCTCGCTTATCGACCTATATGTTGTATAGTAGTATCTTCTTGTGCAAACACACATTACATTCAACAGAGAAAACATTTTTCGCATTCGATTCAACGGCGCATTAGATTCGAGTAAATACGGTAAATTGTTGGATGTGGCTGAGATCCTATAAATGTATCTGTCTGGGATTAGCGGTATAAGACTACCGGTCATTTTCTAGGTGCCCCAGGGGGTCAACAAGTTGAAGAAGAGCCAACAAACGCCTCAGGTATGATGAAGAAGCTGCACATGCAGAGACACTGTGCAGCTTCTGTGGTATAACACCGCATCACAGTAGTGAACTATTCCACCGGAAATTGTTCACACTTAACTGATACTAACAAGCTAATTTAGTAGTGAACCTGGTGCTTCCATGCTTTTGTAAACTTATGTTTTGTAATGCAATCTCACACAAGGCAAGCGTGAAGATGCATTACAGCATAAGTAATCATAGTGTGTGCAGACATTTTGTGGTACACTGCACCAAAAACACTTGTGCTTGCTCTAGTTTAGACAAACTAACAGTGAGAATTTAATCTTATAAGGACTGGATAATATATTGAGATGTTCATCAACATTCCATAAGGCTGCTTTTAGTAGTTAAAACGTGCAATTTCAATGTTTTAACATGTGACTGATAGAAAAAAAGATAAATTATTTCAAGGAACAATCCAAGCACCTTAACCATTACAGACCACCCATTGTGAGTAGTCAAATCATTTTAGAATGGATTGACATATTACCTCACACACACACAGACACATTACAACTGAAAGAGAGCAGGAAACTCTCTGTTTGAGCTAAGTCTGAGTGTACGTCTAAGCTCTCTTCCTGAGAATAATCTCTTAGCACTCTCAGCCAATGAGCCATAGTGGTTATGGTGTTTGGAGTGTTTCTTTAATGGTTAAGGACTATCCCAGTCGAGTTGAGTTCTGTGGATTTCAGACCAAAACCCACATACATGATTAATCTCCATTATAACACATACAGCTGTTAATCAGAATCTGGCTATGCTATTTTTTTCTCAACAGTTTTCTAGGTTATTGTTGTCTTGATTATATTAAAACAGTATTCCAGTTACATTTAGAGAGGGGTTAAGCAAATGGGCCTTATTAACATTCTAACTGAGCCTTCCGTGCATGAGAGAGAGTGTTTGTGTGTGTATGTGTATCTGAGAGAGAGTGTTTGTGTGTGTATGTGTATCTGAGAAAGAGTGTTTGTGTGTGTATGTGTATCTGAGAGAGAGTGTTTGTGTGTGTATGTGTATCTGAGAGAGAGAGTGTTTGTGTGTGTATGTGTATCTGAGAAGAGAGTGTTTGTGTGTGTATGTGTATCTGAGAGAGAGTGTTTGTGTGTGTATGTGTATCTGAGAGAGATTTTAAATAGCAGCTGTCAATTCACTTTTTACTGTGAACTCTAAAATGACATGATGAGTTAGCAATTTGTAATCAATCATTTACATTTTCTAATATCTGGATGACCATATAAATAGCAGTATTCCTTTAGCAAGGCCAAGCTTGCTAAAGCCGAATGTTGAATCTTCTGCATTAAGTGTTTACAGCCCTATAAATGTAGCTGTACGAGTGCTCAATGTAAACATCCTTAAAACATTAACAAACTTCCAAGAATAAATGCCATTCGTGAATGGGTAGTAAATGGTGGTCAGTACTAAGGGATAATTCATTTCTGTTCAGCAATAATGACATCCACATGCGTCTGTTGTACATCTAGTTTCTACATATATCTGACCCCTCCTGCTTTACTATAAAGTTAAAAAAAAAAAAAATGTTTATCAATGCGCTCGCTCTAACCTACAAAAATACACTTAACGGGGGCGGAGCCAAGCAACAGAACGGAGCGGTCGCACCTAAGCCGAGCTCTGCAATACTAGGCCTCTTTTTTGGTGCTATAAACAAATTACCCCAAACAAATCGGTGCCAACTGGGCACTAAACCAGCAGACACCGTAATGGGCCGAAAAACAAAAAAACAGAAGGCGGACAAGCCTAGAATGGGCATGAACATTGGGGACCTGTGGCGGCAAGCACATGAGACCTCACAACCTAAGATGGCGTCCTACCTCGAAGAAAGCTCAGACTTCTCGGACGACCAAACTCCGGAGATGGCGGAGTTCCTCATACCAGCACCACAGGTGCCAAGACAGACGCCAGCACCAACATCGCCAAAGAGGGACTCGCAGCCTGTGACCAAGGCTGATATGCAAGACCTTCTAGCAGACCTCCGGCGGGACATCCACGCGGATGTTACAGCACTCCGCAACGACCTCAAAGGCCTGACAGGCCGCATGGGGGCCCTGGAGACTGAATCCCGCAGCACCAAACGAGAGGTTATGCACCTGCAACAAGAAATGCAGACCCTCAGAAATCAACAGACCACCCTTGAACAGAAACTCACAATAATGGAAGACTCCAGACGCCTCAAAAATCTCAAGGTTAGAGAGGTGGCGGAGGCAATCCCTGACGCCGAATTACCGCACTTTATTAGACGCCTCCTGGGCACGATCCTGCCTCCCAGACAGGCGAAAGCGATAATGATAGAAAGCACGTTCCGGATCCCCAGACCCGCCAAAGCCCCGGCCACTGCTCCCAGGGACCTGATTGTGCGTTTCCAGGCCAGGCAGGACAAGGCTGCAGTGATGGGCGCCCTCCGGGGACAATCCCCATATAACTTTGAGAACTCTTCGCTTACCTTCTTTGCCGACCTCACAGGGAGCACACTAGCATGGCGAAAGTCCCTGCAGCCCTTCACGACACTGCTCCGGACGCACAACATCCCCTACAGATGGAAGACAACACACACGCTGGCAATCTCCCACGGCGGAACCATTTACCCAGTTCACGATTTGGAAGGAGCAACAGCGATCCTGGAGAGCCTGGGCCTGCCACCGAACTCATTAACCAACACCTCAAAAGCAACGGTGACCACATCGCAAGGCTGGGACCCGGCGAACACGGCCCCCTTCATACCCAGGAGGCCACCTGCGGACATCCATGCAGAAGCCACGACCTGATCTCTCCCAGTCAGCCACACCACATGCTGGCAGATAAGACTTTGCGCATAGAGGACTAACATCTATAATCTTGCTTTCTAATTAAGCTTCACTGCTTTAACCATGCCCTGTACTGCTCTTCCCTTAGCTCTGCTATATTTGCAGTGTCCGTTTTTATATCCACTAGGGCCCCGCACAAGTTCCCGGTGAACGGTAACATAACCAGGGGGTACGGGCCATATACGTCCCCCCTTTCCCCCCAATAAGCTCCCCAGCCACCGCGCCAACACCATTAGAAGCTACTTGGATCCCCCCCACTCAACCCGGATCACATAGGCCACCCTGACAACCCCGCATAAACCTCCCCAGGGCCTTATCTGGAGACTTTCCATACCACAAAGTCTTACATATATAGCACTCATGACTCCTACATAAGATAGTGCGCCCAGTATGGCGTACATGCCCTTACTATACAGACAAGGGGTAAACTTTGACTATATGCCGCCGTTGTGGCACAGTGAGAGGGCTCATGACTAGCATTTACCCCTCTAATCTGTGGCATAGCGATTTGTCATATCCTTTTAAAGTGCTGTGCTCCTAGACAGCCTGCTACTGGCCACCTCCATGCCAACTAGTTTATGTGGCTGACGACCTGCTACTTGTATTATGTATTCTCTTATGAGCATATCTAGCCTAACATAGCCATTACCAACGATAATCTATTAAGGTCTCATAACTCATTCACTACATGCCTTGGTACGCTTATTACTTATTACAATTTACTGAAGTATCATAAATTGATAACCTCATGTTCCAGCATATTGTTACTCGCTACGGATGTCATATAGCTTGTTAATCTCACATTATATATATAAAACTGTGCTGTCTGATCTGCCACAATTTGAAATGCTAATGCTATGCCTGCACCGGCTGTTGTGGCCCTGCACGTTTATTGTTATTCCAAGCACAAATAAAATAAAGAATTAAAAAAAAAAAAAAAATGAGATTGTAAAAAATAATGCAGAATATAAAATAATAAAAAATGTGTTAAATTGGTGTGTAGACTGTGTCTTTAAAAATTAAAATGCAGCAGATGTATGCGGTGTTAATATCCTTAAATCTGCTAAATGCAGGATATGTTGCACTCAGAACTAAAATAGAACATAAGAATGAGGTAATAAAAAATAGTAAAAAAGATGGAATATCAAAATTAGTGCAAAAAAAAAAAAATAAAAAAAAAAAAAAAATACACTTAACTCCCTGTTATCTTTGGAAAGTTAAATAACATTGGAAATTGACAAAATCAAAGCCACTATTACAAACCTTTGCAGTTCTTGTTATTGTATCTTAATGTCAATCAGAAAACACGTTTCCCCATGAAAGCTGACCATTGTACATTGAGCTGTAACCATTTTAACTTCTTGACAAGTGACGCGATTACTTAACCGGGTATTATGCTCAATTGTTTAGAATTTTCAAATATATTTTTGCTCTATTACACAACCATTAAATAATCCCAAGATTCTTAAACTTTAATCTGATAAACTTTACTAAAACAACCGGATGCAAAAAAAGAAAATTAAAATGTCTGTTTATTCAGTACAATAGAAAAAAAACACTGGAAATAGTTACTCATTAGTTCACGTTGACATCAGCCTTTACCATTGTGGTCTGTTTTTGTTGGCCTCGGATTGCTTCCTGGCTTTTAGCAAGCATTTATTTGAGCACATTACTTTAAACCTGCTGCGACTATTGGGTGAGAGCAGATCATTAGACTTGTGAAGATTATTAGTACATGCTGATAACGAATTCCACATTACACCCTGTGGATGGAATTCAAAGGGCAATTCGACAACATCATTAAAATCCCTTCCAAGAACACTACAATGACAAGAAGTTAATTTGGAAACTTTAGATGGGCTTTAGTCTTGCCAAATTTGACATTGTCTTGTTGTAATGTGTTCTTAACTGTATTACTTGTTGCGTTATCTAAATGGCTCACTAATGCATTGATAGATAGAGGTCCCTTATTGCCAAATGCATGTGCACCAAAAAATATGACATTGTTAGGTTGTTGGGAGTGGCATGTGTTCGTGGACCGCTCCACAAACATCCACTTGCTTCCAATGTTTTGTTATAAACAGAAGTAATGTTCAGGTAAGTATCTCCTTCAATCTATACATTTGCTACATATTTCACCAGCACAGTGCATAGACAGAAGTTGCATATATACCTGACGGGAGCTTGTGAGACACATAATTCAAAGGAGCACTCCAAGCACCATGACCACTTAAGCCCACTGTAGTTTATACGGTGCCAGGAGTGCTCTTGATTGCTTCCAGGGTAAGGAGACAATCTGTTCATGAATAGTTTGACAACTTACCTGGGGTGCATTGGGGGTGGTCTCAGCCAATGTGCTAAGCCCTACCCTGCTAGGCTAGCTCAAAGCATAGAGCTTTCGGCAGCCAAGGAGAAGGTATCCGATGCATTGACAGACTTCGGGTAAGTTCGCAAATGGTATGACTACTTACCCTCAGGACATTCCTGGGACCATAACCTCTATAGAAGGCTGAAGTCATTATAGTGGTTCCTTAAAAAAAAATGATAGAGTCCTTTTAATGCCCACTCAATATTCATAAAGATCGTAGCATATGTTCTCGATTAATATTTACTCTTCTTCTGGAAGATACAGCAATGAAAGAGATATAAATTTATTTAGTTATATTAAAATGTCTACATATGAATTGGAGCATTTTGTAGAAGGTTGCCTCCAAAATGTATATGTGTTATTACAAAGTATGTCGCTATAAATTGAAAAGGTCACCCCACCTCTGAAGAATCACGTCTAGTCAGATCTGCCTTGGCAGAATGTATGGGAAGAAACCTAACACCAGGTGCTGTTCACATTATTATCATGTGCTTCTATTATGTAAAGTACAGATGTTCTATTTAATAGAGATCCCCCTACAGCTGTGGTAATACTACTGATGCAGTGTAACTGGCTGCAGACACAACCGTCACAAACATTTGTTTCATTTCAGCCTTACCAATACCATCGTTACCTTAGAAAACACAAGACCAATAAATGTAGCTGCTAAAACATGTCAAAAAAGCAGATGATACTGGCTTTGAATTGTGTGCCAGCTTTCAACATGCAGTACAGCTGTAACTGGAAAACGTGCGATGCACATCGTGATGTCCTGCTGACTTAAATATTGGTTCCATTCCTCCTCGAATGATATCATCCCCATGAAAATCAAAGTACATATTGCACTTTAACATATCCCAGTAATTCTCCCTCCTATTTAATTTATATCCACTTCAAAAATTTTTTTAATATGTATTAAAAAAGTCCCAAATTTCCCCATTTTACTCCATAAAACTTGTGCATCCTGTATCTCTTGTTATCTATCTTATATATGCGACAGTCACACAAAGAGTTACCCGTGAGAATAAAAAAAAGGTTTGACTTTGTTCTCTTGTTTATATTCCATTGAGACATCTTTTTCGATAGCATTCTAGTGTAAAGGCATGATATAATTTCATATGGATTATGCTCAGCATTAGAATGAGTGTCGTTATTTATATGTTAAACTAGATATCTAGGTCCTGGAGACTTTACAGTGGCTCTACAGATTGTTGATTTTTTTTTCTATATCTGCCAGTGGAGATACATGTACAGATGTGTTTAATAAAAGAGTCTAATATTTGTACCTTCATCTTTCCACCACAAGGAGGCATAGGAGTTCCACAGGGAGCTGGAGGCAAGCCAGGAAAAGTACCAGGTAGGTATACGTAGATAAAAGCTAATTATCCTCTATTTTATTCATTGATACACTGTATTATAAATATGTTCTATCATAGAATCAAAGAATCATAACACATTATTTAACATTGTCTCTGTTGTCCCTTATGTTGTGTATTTCTAGCCAATTAATTTTTTAATTAATCTATTTACCAGGCACATACCCAGGAGGAACAGGTTATGGCACAGGTCAGTGATCATTCCCCCACTTCACCTGTACTCAATATTGCTCTACATTAGAGGGTCAACTGGGACTTTCCAAACTGCTGATTAACTACTTTCCATCCAGTTATGAGAGTCCTGAGAGTTGTAGTTCATTGACATCTGCAGGACTGCAAGTTTCCCTTCGTCTAGATGAGGATTCAAAATTCCATTTAAGACAGAAACCAGAATGTGGCAGTTTAATGTTCCTCTGACATGCAATGCAAATAATTACTCAGGATCCACTGTTTATTTTTAAAAAAAATATTCTGGTAAATACCAGACGAAGAAACACATTTGTGTCTGCTATGCTTCACCATTTATAGCTATCTGTCATTAGTCATGAATACTTAATGTGCTTCTCCCTGCTTGGTATATTCTTTCAAACACCTGATTTTCATTATGAGATCCCTTCCCCGCATATTTGCCCCATTTATATTATAAGGCAATCATTTACATATGTGCCTTCTGCATTTTTTTACAGGTGGAGGCCCAGGCTTGTACCCTGGAGGAGTACCAGGTTAGTGCCTTCATGACTAGTCTGCATTTGTGAACATGAGATTATATGATTTGATGAGGGTGGCTACAAAAAGTCATTTTTGGGTGCAGTCAGAGAACATAGTTAAGCCACTGATAACTATAACAAAATATGAAAATCATAAAGGGACAAAGGATAATATTCTCTTGAGGGCAAAGGAAACGGGTAAATTCTCATTAAAGATAGCCCTGGACTACCAGGAGGGTACACACTTTGTGTATGACATATTTTTCAGAATTCCAGAAGTCAGCAAAGAAACCTACAATGTGAGTCTTACGGCAGATCGTAGCATAATAATTGTACAGTAATCTTATTTATAATTGTAATATAATGCATTTTAATTGGGATTTATTGCATTATTTACCACCAGTAAACATATATTTTAAAAATTAAAACCTTCAATTTAAAAGTTTTGTTTGTTTTTTTAATTCATTAGTAAACTCTAATTACATTATGATAATATACCTCATACACCTGACTGTCTGGCCAGTTTCACCTGGAATATTATATTGGTCAAGGATGGGGCAGGTAAACGAAACCTGGCCAATAAGAATTCCTTTTAGCTTGCAGATGAAATAATTAGTTTGTACAGGAAGATATACCAGAAATCTTGCCATGCAGGAAACATATGGTGCCAAGATCTGTCTGAAACTACATCTAAAGTACATAACAAACGTCAGAATTATGGTATGGTTATTATGGAAAGGTTATCGATTGTATGTGGAACACAGCATATTATGGAAAGGTTATCGATTGGATGTGGAACACAGCATATTATGGAAAGGTTATCGATTAGATGTGGCGTCATGACCACATTGCAGATTATATTATGGTTGTAAAGGTAAAAATAGGCAGAGGTTAATTAACAAACACCTTGTAAAACTGTAACCCAAAATACCTTCTGTTCTAGTCTAAACTGTGTAACTCATTGCCGACCTGTTTGACATAACGTGACTGTTGCAGTCAAACGGGTCAGTAAGTTCTCCAGTATTTGTATCAATATGTAATGTATCTATGATGGCACTATGTGAAGTTTGCACATTCTGACTGATGATGTTGGATGTTAAGCGCCTTTGTCTAAAGATGTATAATTTCCCTCCGTGGTAGGTGCTGGGGGTGTTATCCCAGGAGTCAGTACAGGTAATTTATTAGTTAGTGTGTTGGATTTGTGTGACAGTTCGTTCTCTCAGCCAATGCCTGACTAGTAAAGGTTGACGTGTTATCGTTGCTCTCAGGGATTGTGGTTCCACAAACCGGTGGTCAGCCAGGAGCGGGCGGAAAACCAGGAAAATTGCCAGGTGTGGGAATATCACAGTGAGCTATGGATACGTGTTCAGTATGGCTTCTCTGTGCTGTGTGTCACAATAAGTCTTTAATGACTAAGCTTTGGCACTCTCTGGCTAATGATATGAATATATAACAGACTTTGTTATATGTACATGTACACTACACACAATAGCAATATGACTTAATTGTGGACAGTGAAATTACACCAGAATAATGTTAACTTGTGATGTAATCAGTCAACATTTTCTTAATTATCATCACATCACAAACAAAGTCAATAAGAAAGGCAAATTTTATATATATGGCACCTTACATTTAGTGCATATACACAAGGGACATCCAAATTCACCTTAATTTATCAATATAGAGGAACATACAATACCTACATAGACACACGTGTATATATATTAATACAGGAATATACACAAATATAGAATTGAACTAGAACTGGAGTGATGGTCTTTCTTCTAATTGTTCAGTAACTGCATGAATGAAACACACATTAGACCCCTGCCATTAATTCAGTGATGGCCATCGAACGCTGCATGCAAATTGTTCAGTTTATGGAAATCGGAACCTTGCTATGCTGACATATAAATGCATGCCATTTCAACCCACCAATGTATTTCCACCCTGCGTCATCAACTCCGTAAACTCCACGGTGCAATAAAAAAAAAGCCAATGCAAAATCCACCCATCAGAAATGTAGGCAACTAAGAATAAATCTGTTCTCAGCACCACGAAGCTTTAGGCACGTGGAAATGTGACTCATTAGAGATGTGGGCAAGGCAATAGCTAATAAAACATTAGCTATCGTTTTGTTTTTTTACTAAAATTTTCTCTAGCATTATTTTTCATTTCCAATGCACGCTTAGATATCCGGGCACAGCATTCACATTTAATTAACCCTTGCAGCTCTGTATGTGCTGCCCTATATGAGGGACATCAGGGGTGACATGGAAGTGCCATGGACGTAAGTATGTTTTTTATGCTTACCTCCACAGCATTATTCATCTTATTAAACACTTTGATAGCATTTTGTGGGGTGAAGGAAAAAGAACTGTAAGTGACAGAACCACTTTAATCCCTATTTGGAACTACTTTTATATTTCAGTAACCGCGAATAAAGTGCGAGAAAGCAGTCATTACATTCACCAGACTGTATAAAACATAATAAATTAATATTTGATGAATAGTCCATCACAAACATGCCTTAACTTCTTATACAATGTCAAGTTTCTTACTATTCGTGAAACTTGAAAAACACCAAAACGTTCTGAAAATTAAACTTGTTATTTATTGCCTTCACATATGAATCCCATTTGAAACCCGACGCCAGAATCTAACAATACATGTATCAGGGGAAGATTCATTCTAAGGTTAATTCTGAAGGTCATAGGGGCTGGCTCTTTCCTAGTTCACATTTGAGATCAACTGCCAGAACAATAACATTTGTCCCTAGGGAATAAGTAGTGGCAGCTCTAATATTTTTGACCTCTGTATGTCTTGCGCTCTGCTACATTTAACATGCAATCATAAGAAAATGAATAGTCTTAGCAAACTAATTATCTGTTAAATGCAATCATGACCATTAGGGTATTGGGTAAATAGTCTCAATACAGTTGGATAAAGCTGGATAGTATATCAAATTCCATATTTCTATGATTATAGAATTATCTGAATGCTCCACTTGTATCCTAAGAGAGAGCGCAAATCTACCATGCCTGGCGCATGGGAAAATTATCCAGTTTCTTAATTAACAGCAAAAGAATGCAACCATAATAACCTTTTTTAAAAATCACAAGAATCAATGTTTAACCTTAAAGGAACACTATAGATAAACCTATTTCCCTAACGCTATAGTGTCCCAGTCTCTATCTAGAGCAGGCAAAGGCAACCTTTGGCACTCCACATGTTTTGGACTACACCTCCCATGATGCTTTGTCAGCATTATGGGTGTAAGAGCATTATGGGGGGTGTAGTCCACAACATCTGGAGTGAGGAAGGTTGCCTTTGCCTGCTCTAGATAGAGACAGGGAAATCACCAATTTAACTAGTCTCATTTGGTTCCTTTGAAGGAGCAGCATTGCCTCCTATTGGCTGTAGTAGGCTGCTTTGCAAGTTTGGGAATTAAAATATAAAAGCCACGTCCAACCTTAATCATAGCCCAGTTTATAACTATAATTTTTATTTGAATTGATTTTGTTTAGTCAAAAAAATCACATCATGTGCTTCTTTCCACTCCTTCTAAAAGGCTGAAATCCCCAAAATGTACCAAATGCTAAAAACAGTATGTCTATTCACTCATGTTGTCTGCAGTCAAAGTCTATTACTGCTGACTATGTATGTAATGATAAACCTGAAATAAAAATATAGTGTCCTATAACATCCATGCTTAGTAGACATCACATGCTGTGCATCGAACCCTACGTCTCTTAATTATACACTAAATCGCAGTAACAAGCCTGTAAAAAGCCTGCATATTGTTTAAACATATGATCCTGCAGCCTTCTAATGATAGCTATCTAGAACCAAGGCTTATTTGATCAATTTTCACCCATCCCCTACGAGAACTGGCCACTAACATCAACCACGCTATGATCTACCCCATAAATCATGGGGGGAGAGGGGATTTCAGTGAGAAAACTTTCATGGAGAAAAAAAAGAGGAAAAATATTTTCCTCTTTCTGTCAACTTCCTTTCATTGAATGCCCTCCTCTTCACCAGTGCCACATTCTCCCAGGATCTCCAAACAGAACTCTGCCACTTTAGCAGATAAGTGAGTTCCTTCAACCTGCCCGATCACTTCATAACTTGTCTTCCTGTAGTTTATTAACCCACTGAAATGCACACTGCTTACTGACCAATAGGAGCACATCTTTCCTGCAAGAGACATTGGCACTTGCTCATGTTCGGGAAACTAAAATTGATACATAGCATATCCCAAAGTTACCTACATTAAGCTGTCTATCTTTGTCTTAACAAAACCCAGTTGTCCATCTTCTAATTGGCCTGCACATACCTGAATTGCAACTGCGCTGAGAAAAACATTATATTATATAAATATTGGCTGACTTGCACTCATGTAGAACAATAATGCACACATTAACACAGTTTTTATCCAAATACATTATATCATATTAGGTCAGAGATTCCAATATCACTGTCCGTTACCCCAAATACCTCATCATGTTCCTGTTCTGTTCTCCAAAATTCCACATGTTCCCGTCATGTACTCTCAAATACCCCGTCCCTGTCATGTACTCTGAAATGCCATCATGTTCCTGTTATGTACTCTGAAATACTACCGTGTTTCTGTCACGTATGCTAAAATACCACGTGTTCCTGTTCTGTGTTCTAAAACACCATGTTTTTCTTCTGTACTTGAAAACGCCACCTTGTTCTGTACTCTGAAATGTCATCGTGTTCCTGCTCTGTACTGTGAAATACCACATGTTACTGTAATGTTCAAGTCCCACTATGTTGCTTTTCTGTATGTATGTCAGTGTGATATCTGTATGTACTGTGACAATGAAACTGAAACTGTGAAACTGTGTGTTTTCCCTGTAATTTTAATGTAACAAAAACCCTTCTCTCCCCTTTCTGTGATAGCTGCTGGAATTCCCGGAGTCTATCCCGGAGCAGTGTTACCTGGTACAGGTGTGTTTTGTTAGATATATTGTATGTTATACTAAATTCTTAGAGGAATCAGAAGTGTTCTAGATATTAGGCTTGTAGGTATTATTCTAAATAACGTGCCACTGTTCTTGCAGGCACTCGATACCCAGGAGTTGGTGTGCTTCCTGGAGTGCCAACTGGGACTGGAGTTAAACAGAAGGCACAAGGTCAGAGTTTGTGGCTAGATTGTGGTTCTCCTTCTGTTAGTAGATGACTGGGGCACACTTAAGAGGTGTTATAGTTTAAAAATTGCTGGAGCACCAAAGTGGAACCCTGCTGTTACAGATATTGGCTCCTTCACATTTCCTTTGTCTCCTCTGTATTATTAACACACACTTCCCTCTCTTGATGCCCAACAGCCCACTGTTTTTATGCCAGAAATATACACATTCACAAACACTGACAAATGGCCTGCTCAAAGTTTCTGCTGTCAAAATGCAACCACATTCATAAGAAGCCATTATCAATAACAAGGTTAATAAGTATAAAAACATATTTTTTCCTTGGAGAGACCTTAGCTTGCCTGAACTGGCATATGGGTCTTGCTAAGATGTAAATTTAAACAGTGAAACGTTTAAAAGGCTCTACATGCAGCTGGTGAATGTTTCCTATAAAATGTCCTCATAAAGTGTCAAACTGATGATGGGGACATTTAACAAGGAACAATGGTTCATGGCAATCTGACTATTCATTGTCAGTTTTTAAGAGCAGCTAATAATTTAATTTATTTAGACAGGGTGTCATTATTAGAGCATAGTAGGGTCTCAGACTAAATCACCTACTTACCTATCTAATGTATAAAGTTCAGGTCTATGTATTAGTTGAGTGTATGCATTTATAATATCAAAATTTAAGGAAACGTAGCTTACAGATATTTTAAATGTGTCAACATTGGCCATTACTGCCCAAGAGCAACATTGGAGCTTATTGGTGGACTTTTTGGAATCCTCAGGTTAGATCTTCCATGGCCTCTGAAACTTAAAAAAATACTTAAAACCAGACAGCACCCATAAACAATACTAGTCCATTCATCAGCCTTTCTACAAATATCTTAACAGTTTATTTGCGTCCATGTTGTCTACATGATCCTTGCAACAGCTTTTCACTAATTCACTGCACAGAGGCAAGTTGTATTTTCTTGTAATTAGTTGAGTATTATTCCTAAGCATGCACCATGCATCAGCCATTACAGTCCCACAATGTCCCATCACTGTTCACTTTTACACAATTATTCCTACTTATATAACTAGATAATAAGTTAACAATTCCTGCTTTGTTACAATGTATAACGTACTCTGTGACTTTAATATATGACCCTTGATCTAGCAACAAGGGTCCTATATATGAACTGTAAAACAAATATTGTCATATATGGATTATATATCCAACACTCCTATGTTCCATGATGACTGAGGATGTATTGATTTTACATATTGTGTTTGTAACCTTTAAGAAAAGGGCACTTGCCTAAAAATACACTTGTTAATGGCTGCTGGGGGAAGCCAATGAATGTGGCTTATCGGTGTGACAATTAACCAGATTCCTTCCAAATTTGCCAGTATCCAATATTGTTTGTATTGACATGATGCCTTCAACACAAACCTTACAAAAAATAACAAAACAACCTTACGTATTTACTAATATTTAAAGGGGTGTTCACAGTCTTTCTATGTAAATGGGCACTCTCTAAATAAATGTATAATAAGAATCAATCAAACCTGCTTCTGTGATAGGTGGATATACAAAAGAGTTTAAGCCTGTTACATGACTCAAAACAGATCGTCCCTTTAAAAAAAATGTACAAATAGAGTCCCATGTCATAACCTTGTGTTAATCAGTCCAAATTTGAAACCTGACCTTTGGCCTTTTTTTTCTTTTTCTTTTTTTAGGCGGGGGAGCATATGCTGGAATTCCAGGTTAGTAAATGTCTACCAACAGTGAACAAAATTAAGTTTACACTGAAAAAAAAAAAAATTACAAAAAATAATCACACTACAGTGAACTCTAAATTCATACTGTATTTACTGCATCATGCATAAATACAATATTAATTGCAATATTTCTACTGAGTACTAAATTGAGAGATTCTGTGGATAGACACCAATATGCCTGTCGATTTCACAAATTTCCCATGTGATTACCCCACTTTTAGTACTTTAGACTATATTTGGAATATAAAACATTGGTAAATGTCTTCCCAGTGGCTCCTAAATGTTCTGTGGGTTCTGCACATACCTTGGTGACCCAGTCTAAGAAAGCTTGTATCCATCTCTCCCACTGCTCCCTTGCTGTTCACGTTGCAGTAAAAAAATGCACTCAATATACGTTTGCATCTCGCATTTCTGTGTATTATCCTGTTGAGCGCTGCAATGGAGCAGGGTGGAAAGGTCTCCTATTAGCAATCACTGGATCCCGAAGGACTGTCTGGGACCCCCCACTACACTCTGCACACCTACTGTGTGTGCTCAAACACAAGAACATTATTTAACGAAATATGTGTTGGCATATGCAGCTGCCAGTAATTTTATAGATCCTTTGTTTTTTCCATAATTTCCACCTTGTTTTCTGCTCATCTTTAGGTTGCAAATTCAGTCTGAAATCCTGGAATCACATGAGCCTGATTAATCTAGTAAAATATGTTGGCTCATTGCGTTACATATGTAAAATCTATGATACCTTACTGTGAGGGCCATGTGCAAGATGTATCATTGCCTACCCTATAACAACTCCTCTCTGTACAGACTAGTCATGTCCCCCCCACTGCACGCTGAGATAAAATAAAGTCCTTTGAGCATGTACTTCGTAGCTGACAATCTTTGGCAGGCATTTCTATTCTTCAGGGGCTCTTAAACGAGGAAGCAAATGTCAAAACCACACTGTATTTTCCTTTACACTACCCTGTCTTCACCCGAGAGCCAATAAAGATAACGCTATGGGGGAGAGCTGGGCCTGTGCTGGGCGGATTCGAGTTAAACTCTGAGATATCAGGGAAAAGGGTGCAGTCAAAGGAAGTTCTACATCACTCCCATGTCTCAGCTCCTCAGTTCACAAAGTTAATTCACTTTTCAGATCATTATTTTATCTTAAAAGAAAATATTGTAACATTCCAAGCCTTTAACTGCCTATTCATTTCTTATTTCTCTGACGCTGGGATGAATAAAGAATATCCTTCAACTGGTCAATTTAGTTATCATAAAATGCAGCATGCGGGATAATGAGAGACCTGACTCAGCTTAAGATAAATTATGAGAGTTATGGTAGGTTATGACGTACTAACAGCCTGTGATAGGTAATGAGATACAGACTCAGCCTATTGTAAATTATGAGATACTGACTTAGCCTATGATAGGTAATGAGAGTACTGACTGAGTCTGTTATAGGTACTGAGAGTAATGACTCAACCTATGATAAGTTACGAAATATTACAGTCTGTGAGAGGTAATGAAAGTACTGCTTTGACTTTTGATATGTAATGAGAGTAGTGCCTTCGACCCATGATAGAGTATGTGAATACTGACTCTATGAAAGGTAATGATAAAAGTACTGTCTTGCTTTATGGCAGGTAATGAGTGTACAGCACAATTCTACAGATGATCAGAATAAACTCTCTGACCACTGCAGTTTATGAAAGTACAGCCTTGGCATATGAGAGCCAATGAAAGTACTGTCTCAATACAATGGAATCGTTACTTGGCTTTAAATAAACGCTCTGGCCTCCCTTTGGCAGTGATAGTGTTTAACCGGCCTTTTTTAGGCAATATTTGCATGGGAAGTATAAAGAGGTTAGTGTATAGCCTAGTCTATGTACTTTGCAATAACCATACTTTAACCTTAGATTAGGCAAATCATAGCACAGTCCCTGATTGATAACAGTAATTACTCTGCCTACCTGCATTTGGCAGTGAGACTAGCTACAGGCAGCATTAAACATTGAAAGAACCTTCAATGGCTGTTTAACATGCTTGTTGATAATATTATTACATCAATCAACTTTAAACAGGAGTAACAGTGTATTTGTAGGAATTGAACAACAATCTATATATACATTGTCCCAGAAGAAATACAAATGAATATCCTAATCTAATGTGAAAAGCTACAACCCCATATAAAATTCTCATTCTGCCTGGGATGCAAAGGACCTGTTTGGTAGAGAGTCTGCCGACCAGATGGGGCCTTTTTAATAACCTACATGAACAATGACAAAGCTGAGCATTCAATTTAGAAGGCTATCACTTGATGACTTTGAAGTTGTTGGATCTCTCCAGCAAAGGTTAATTTTTCAAGAATCAAAATTTCAAAATACCAGATCCTTGTTTTATTGCTGTGAATGAAGTTACTATCCTAATGTGCTCAGCCCTGATACATTACATCTATCTAACTAAAAAGAGGTTGTACAGTAAATATGTCTAGTAATCTTATATGTTCTTTTGTCTTTGTGTTTCTCTGCAGGATTTGGTGCGTATGGGGGACAGCAGCCCGGTGTTCCTTTAGGATATCCTATCAAATCTCCTAAACTTCCAGGTAGGTACATTGGGCTGACTAGTTATCGTATCTGATGTAACCAAAAAACGCAAAGCTTGTTAATTTTTTGTTGGTTCTTTCACTTATTTTACATCACTTTTGTTCAACCACTGCTGAACAAGAATACAACCATTAAACATTTCATTGTAAACACAAAATAAAACACAAATATTTCTTAGAAATACTGAAATATTTTGTCACATACTGCCTATGTGTTACTCATACTGTATCACTGTACAAGACTGACAGACAGATCTCGAATGGATATATTAAACAATGTGTGCACTCTGTCTAGTAAACTCGATATAGTAACTTGTTTGTGTCCTACATATTTTTTTTTATTTTTTTTAAAGCTATTAAGGCCCAGGATCTCCATTTGGCTTTTCTAAACTTAAATAAATATTGCATTATTTAAATTACTGCTATTTTCATACAGCACACATTAACTGTCCATATTCCAGAAATAACAATATGCGATTTTTATGGGTACATCAGGTTCCTAAATTACTTGTTATCATTATAAGATATGCTTCCCTCCAAACTGGAAAAATGCAAGTGAAAAGGTTTGTAACCTCCCCTCATGATTCCCTGTGAGCACAACAGTGGGTGTCCAGCCTTGGCCCTCTCGCTGATAGAGAATTAATAAAATGATGCTCCAACAGCAGCTGGCAAACTAACGTTGGACTCCCCTGGAGTAAAACAACGAAACCCTGGACACTCAGTTTAATTCCATTTGTTATAGCAGCCACGGCGGGGCATTCCCGCAGAGTGATAAGGATATGTCGCATCTTTTATTCATGTCTGAGCATGCAAACAGAGCCATCTCCCCATGCTGCTTCCGATCTTCCTATATCCAATAAAAACATCCACCTTTCAACCTCCCAGCTGAATTCTGGGTTTTATTCTCTAACTGAGCTGCGTTTATTTGAAAATCAGGTAAAAAGAGGTCACAGTCAAGCATTACTGAGGCCCAGCAGGGTATATCTTAATATTAGAATTTCTTCTTGACCAACACACTTATTATGGCAAAGAAAACAGAACATGTGAAACGTTATCTTCATCTTAAGGCAACCTTCGGCACTCCGGACATTTTAGACTACATCTCCCATGATGCTTTGCCAGTATCATGGTTGTAAGAGCATTATGAGAGATTTAGTTCACAACATCTGAAGTACCAAAGGTTGTCTAACCCTGCACTAGGCAACAGAGGTTAACCACCAATGCCTTGAATACCCCAACAAATGCAAGGATGGTTGTCCTTATTTGACATCCAGGTTAGGATATAGCATTATCTTAATCTGACATTCAGCTCTATTCAGCTTGAAAAATCTTTTTAATAGTATTTATATTGGTACTCGTCAAATTATAGTGTTTTATCTCTGAATCAGGGAAGCTGGGTTGATACTATTCTGGGTGCATATTGTTTCCACACACGGCTATTCACTAATGTGTAAATTGTAAATAATTCTAAGTGAAATTTAGACTACCTGAAAGCTAGATTATTTTCTTAACTGGTTTTATTTTTACTTAAAGTAGAGTACAGAATATTTGATAGAGTCCTAACCTCAACATCTGAGGAAAGAGATTTAGGGATAATTTTTTCAGATGACTTAAAGGAAGGCATACAAAGTGATAGAGCAACAGGAAATGCTAGCAGAATGCTTGGTTGTATAGAGAGATGTACTAGCAGTAGAAAGAGGGAAGTGCTCATGCCATTGTACAGAACACTGGTCAGACTTTGCTTAGAGTTTTGTACGCAGTACTGGAGACCGTATCTCCAGAAGGATATTGATACTTTAGAGAGAGTTCAGAGAAGAGCTACTAAACTGGTTCATGGATTGCAGGATAAAACTTACCAGGAAAGGTTAAAGGATCTTAACATGTATAGCTTGGAGGAAAGACGAGACAGGGGGGATATGATAGAAACATTTAAATACATAAAGGGAATCAACACAGTAAAGGAGGAGACTATATTTAAAAGAAGAAAAACTACCACAACAAGAGGACATAGTCTTAAATTAGAGGGACAAAGGTTTAAAAATAATATCAGGAAGTATTACTTTACTGAGAGGGTAGTGGATGCATGGAATAGCCTTCCAGCTGAAGTGGTAGAGGTTAACACAGTAAAGGAGTTTAAGCATGCGTGGGGTAGGCATAAGGCTATCCTAACTATAAGATAAGGCCAGAGACTAATGAAAGTATTTAGAAAATTAAGCAGACTAGATGGGCCAAATGGTTCTTATCTGCTGTCACATTCTATGTTTCTATAATCAAACCCATATGCTACTTTATTCAATGATTAATACAGTTACTCAACGATCCCAGTTTTATACATTTATAAATTAGAATCAAATACAAAATGTATGTTACATTATTTTTATTCCATTTTCCTTTCAGTATTTTCTAGCTTTGCATTAATCCATTATGGCTTTTTAATAAGGAAAAGCTGTCACTACATTCTATTTATAAAGAGATCCATTCTCTCCACATTCACTGTGTTTAAATATGTTAAGATAAGCACTCGTTCGGCACATGCAGTCTATGGCACTAGATCACAGAGCTGTCATCATTCGGCGTGTACAATTGATGACTTTATGAAGCACCATCCATACTGTTAAAATTGTTAATATTTCACATTTTTTACCGCTGACATTGATTCCTTTGGTGCACCAGCGATCTAGTCACACTCAATGTAAAAAAGTCCCTTCAACAAGTGTGCGTATCACCATAGATACATTATTTATTTATTTATTTTTGTCTTGTTTATTTACTTTTTCCAGGAGGATATGGGCTTCCATATACATCAGGGAAACCTGGGGGATATGGTGGTAAGTATGATGAATGATGCATTTATCTGCTTACAAGTCTCCACAGGGTCTAGACACAGTGTTCAAAATATGTCAGTGTTGGAACTCAAATATCGGCCAGAACTCCATTTGGAAGAAATATTCACACGTCATTGCATCAAGGCATTTTGCTTTTCTTTGTAGTGAGAGTAGAGCAGACTGTTTTCCAGGTTTTGTTTTCCCCACAATAACAAGAATAGATAAAATGATATTTGTATTTTTATATATAAATATCTACTTCCAAACACAATCGTGTGTGTGTGTGTTTGTGTATAAAACATTTTCTGTGCAGACATTTGCAGTAAATACCAAACCGTTTATAAAAAGCAGAAATATTCATACATACCACAAGTCTGGCCAATCTGAAAATAAATTATAGCTCGAAATGATAGAATAAGTGTGGCTGACATTAATAGGTCTGTGTTCTGCGCCAACCATCTAACAGTGAGACAAAATGAATATTAAAAGCCAGCAAAGTCAACGTTCCGTTATTAATAACACATAGCAGTCTGTTCAATAAAGATTTAACACAGTATTATTCTTTATGGGGTTAGAGCATGACACGCAAAGCCACATTTTGCTTGTGGTAGAGTGAAACCTTTGGCTGTTTGTTTGGGTTTTCTCCATGAATATATTATGTATATTATTATTTTTTCTTTATTTATTATATGCCCAGAGTGTGCTGTTTCTTATATAACTATATTTGTATTGCGTAAGATCAATAACTTGATATTGAGATGCTGCTTGTTATCAACTCATTTCCACTAAAATCCTTAAAGACAGATATTGGATAGAATAATGTGTGTGATTTAATAATGTCTGGTCTATTAGACAGTGTGCGCTCAACACTATAACTATCTTTATATTGCAGCTTATGGACAAGGTAGTCTCGGAGCTGGTGGGAAAGCTGGATACCCAACAGGAACTGGTATGAACATACAAAATACCCTTTAAGTAGCTTAAAACAGATTGACTTTCAGTTGATTTGCTTGGTTTGGGCCGTGGTGGATGCAGGGCAAATTTGGCCAGTAGATAGGGTAATCAGTCGCCACGTAATATATTAGGGGTAGCAACTCAAACACTACAAACTCATTTTTTTTATATAAATTTTAATATTTTAACATTTGCAACATGGCATTCCTTATTTAGAGGGTTGTTTTCATTGGGGTGGGAGGAGAGATACTTTTCTTTGTCGGGCCCTTTCCAGATGATAGACTAATTGGCATAGAACTAGAGTAGATATGGGGTGGTACAAGCAACCCACTGAAAGAGGCGGACATTACTAGCAGATTGTGTTTTTTCACTCTACCCGCATAAAAGACAGAGAAGGCTTGGCACCTCTATTCGAGCCAGACTCATCATGTTCATGTCATTTCATTTCCTATCTTTCATGGAAAACTATTGCCTCAAATGTACAGACTGGTATTATAAAGGTCTGGCGTACACCCAGAGCTTGTGTAACCGCCTTTAAGGAATGCCCATATCTTCTTTTCTCAGGGGTTGGTACTCTTGGAGCAGGAGGAGCCGCAGCTGCTGCAAAAGCAGCAAAATATGGTGAGTTATATATATTATATCATTGTTTTCATACACTTCGATATAGGCTTTCAATAACCTACATCCTTGTCATTTTTGTTAAAAGGTAGGAATGATACTTAATGAACAAATGTTAAGGAGCCTGTCTACTAAATCTAAATTTCCATCCAAGGCACATTGTCAGCTAAATCAAACGTTTCATCCAAGGCACACTGTCAGCTGGGTACACCGAACTTGACTGTAACACGGCAATAGTTGGCATGATCCAGCAATAGTTGAAGACAATGTTTAGTCTGCACTATGCAGATAGCTTAACGTTCTAACTGACTTCATTGAAAACCTGCGGCTTCTATGTTTGTCTCTAAGTTCACGTGGAAACCAGAGTCATTGGGGACTTTACGCTGCCTGTCAAATAGTGCATAGGTGAAATCAACCCCATGATTTAGTGACCCAAACGGGTATCATGAGACCTGAAACATAATACGATGGTACATACCCCTCATTATAAGGAAAATCCAAACTAATAAATCAAAGAGTATTTTGCAAAGTTATAAATCTATATGATGGGAAATTCAGGAATAACATTGATTTGTTAAAGACACTGGAATATTTAATGATTCCTTGCTGTAGTGAAAGTTGACCATTTTAGGTACTATTATTAGTAACTAGTTTAGTTGCCATTATTTTACGTTAAGTACTTTGGTTAACTAGCGATCAATTCTTTCAGGGATTGGTGGTGTACCTGGAGCTGTACCCGGTACAGGCATTGGACCTGGTGGCTTAACTCCTGGAGGTGGGGCCGTTCCTGGTGTTGTCCCTGGTTTGTATCCTGGAGCTGGTGGCTACCCTGGCGGAGGATTGGTGCCAGGAGCAGGTAGACTTGTTTCCTATAAATATATTTATCTAGGTAGGATTGCACAAGATATCATTTCTAATCTATTTTTATTTTACTATTTTTCTGTCTTTTCATGGCTTCTGCAATTGGAGGTCAGGGAGGTGGAAAACCACCCAAATATGGTGAGTGAATTACTTTGTTAGTCTCTTCTTGTGAGAGTGCTGAGCGTAAAGGCAGACTGATATCACTTTTCCATGCCTATGTTAAAGTGACATCTAGTGGTTCTGTTTGCAATGACAGGTAAATGTTTAGTGCAGATCTCAAGTTCTATTACAATGACACGACCTGTTTAAAGCTAAATACTTTAATATAGACCAAGGGCATTATTTATTATTAGCATTATTTATAAAGCACCAGCAAATTCTGTAGCGCTGTACAATAGGAGAAAAAACTGACATGTATTTCCTAAAACAGGAATTGTGTAGCACTGGTAAATTGCTAATTGTTTGCAACAGCAGGCAAATTGTTTCCAAAATGGGTATTTTCCTTCTAGTGAATAAAACTGTGCCAACTCCATTATGTGTGTCTGACGGTGTTGTGGACAAACAACAGCTGGATTTTAAGAATCTGAAAACATGTTTGTTTTATACATCTTACATATATATATATATATATATTTTTTTTTCTATAGAAGCCTGTTTTCATTGTGTTTTGGGATGTATCCTATGATATGTCATTTTTTTTTTTACATAAACAGGGTTATTTACTTAAGTGAGAATTCAAATCAAATCAAAATTAAGACAAGAGTAGTTGAACTGAAAGCATTGCTGACTTCGAAAAGTTTATGATTTGATTATTCTGACTTATGAAGCAATTTGCATTCTCTGCATATATAAGAATCAAAACCATACAAAGAAATAGACAATGATAAAATAATGCCATTTGAACTGCGATGTTCTAAAAAAAATAACATTGCCCTTATGTGAGAGAACAAAGCCAGGTTAAGAAAGTTATACTGCAGCCCATTTACAAATGATCCAAAGGCCTGTTTTCTGGGGAGGAGGCTGAATATCAGAAGGTCCTTGCTAACTTAATGGGAAGGACGCTAAGTAGAGCCTGCTGAATTGTCAGGGAATGCTGGTGGGATGACAAAGTGTGTGCCATTTTCTTACCTATATCTGGTAAAAACAACATTGCTTCCTCTATATAAACAACATCACTGTATCTTATATATCTATATGGACATTATGGCACTTAGTCCTTTATAACAGGAAGGGCAATTATTTAACTTTCTATGAACAGAACCTTCCTTGTCTTTTGTTGAAAGTATCATTCAATGCTAAATCCACATCCAACATCTTTTAAACTCGATCTTTGTTTAGTCTTTACCCGCTTTGGATTTCCCAATATATCTCCAGTGTACTAAGCAGCTTGTAATGAACTTGTAAGGTATTTTGTAACAAGGCTTACGATTTTTAGGTGTCCCAGGAGCTGGTGGAGGGCCAGGTATTGGTGGTGTAGCAGGAGTTGGTGGTGTTGGTGTGCCCGGAGCTGGTGGAGTTCCAGGTGTTGGTGGGGTTCCAGGTGCTGGTGGTGTACCTGGTGCTGGTAAGAAGCTAAAATGATTTTTTTCCTATTGTATATTTCTGGAATATAATTTAGTCAGCAAAAACTTTATATTTAAGGCATATTTATGTGAATTTTTTCACTTAGTTGACCTGTTTTTTATCTGATATCATCTCATTAAAATAAGAATTAGCGAAACACAGTTTATTAGCTACAGTTCGTTATGACTTATTAGGAAACCAGAATTTTAATACACATCTAGAAAGACTCTCGTATGGGTTCCTGATGCAATTGTTTCTTTTTTTCAGGCGTTGGTGGACTGGGTGTTAAACCACCTAAAACAGGAGGTGAGCTATATTTGTCGAAGATATAAGTTCTGAACCAGACATATATTCATTAGATTGACATAAAGATACAAATGTGATCTAAGCATGTAGAAAGCAATTAGTCTTTACAAATACACCCATCATCATATTGAGTTTGTTTGACTCAATAAAGCAGACATACTATGTGGTTTAACGCATCCTCTGCCCGTGTCTCTTCACCTGGAATGTAGGCATCCTTCCAGGTGGACTTGAGTTTGTTATTAGAAAGTGGATGCAAAAACCTGATTCCTGATATAAATTATAGTAGCATAGAATGTTCTACTTATTAAGCATTGCCTGCTATATCCAATATGCATTTAAACTTTTGCATTTGAAATGTTGAACGGAGTGATGCCAAAATGGTTCAGTCTAGAAAAGAGGTTTTAGGCCTGTAATGGCAAACATTATAAATGGCTGTATAATGGCTACACACTATATCCAAATGGTGTAATGGTGCCATTACAGTGCTATTGTAATTTCTCTCAACTTTTTAAAAATTCAGTTTTTATCTCAATATTTGCATAGGGGGATCGCTCAGTAGAACTCTGTTGTTGTTTAATGACTAGGACATAACTTTACATTTTGTAATATCTATAAGGCCCATCTTGCTGTGAAAGCACAGGCTGCTGTTGGTCATTAGGAGGTTAAGTACCCCATGAATGTAAAGCCCAGCAGAGTATGTAAATCAGTTAACTCCTTCAGCGCCATCCGCATGGTACATGATGTGCTATGCACAGCACTGCTAGTACAAATGCAGAGTACACAAGTGAGCTTACAGTGGAAGGTCATATGTGTGTTTTCAATAACACTCTGCAATGAGATCAGGCCCTGTGTTTTATTCGTTGTTTATTTTTCCCAAACTGTGCCCTGTTTTAGCTGTTGTTGTGTTATATAAGAATGCTGCTTGGCTTCCTCTGCAGTGTAACTTGATTGATGGCTGAGGTCAGCCAAGATGCAAGTCATGCATACTAGTGCCATTAGTGCATACTAATGCCATAAAATAAATTTGTCCATTCATTATCCGAGCACTAATGTTAAAATGAGACGAAAAATTATATAGTCAGACTTTAATAATATAATAATATATATATATAACATTTTATTAAAAAAAAACATTGCAGGTCTGTTTAATATATTGCTATGAGAGAAACAGTGTAATTATTTTAATTGGATTAGGCAGCTCCTATAATGACATTGATAGTACGCAGTAGTCTCTGCTGAGAGTTCTTCTCTGTATTTCTCATATTTTATTACAATCTCTTTTCTCTTAATCTAGCCGGGATTGGAGTTGGACCAGGAGGAGGTAAGTGACCCATTCTACATTAAGAACATATGTATCAGGAGAAGTGCTCAACTCTGTGACCATACACTGACATATATATTTATATTTACAATTCTACACATTATAACTGCTGCTAAATTATTCATAGCACGCAATTGGAAGACCCCTAAGATACATACATAGGTTATCTCCCGAGTCAAATGGCAAGTGAGAATAGGAAAGTGCATGTTAACAAATATCAAAAATCGACAAATTAAGGCAGAACATTGGGAAGAATGGATAATTAAACTAGACTCAATAAAGCAGACAATATCATTGCCATCAGAACCTGGTGCTTGGTTCTGGCTCAGATTGATGAGATTGAGTGCCGTTCCTTATGTATGTTCTAACCTATTGATATTGTGATTTTTATTAGTTCAAAAACCAAAGGCTCAAAAAAGTTCAAAAACTCTACAAAGAAAGAGGGGGAGAGGCGAAGGGAAGGAGGGGAAAGAAGGAGGGAAGGGTAGAGGAAGGGAAAGGAAATGTAGAGAAAAGGAGAAAGGAAAAAATCCGAAACAGAAACTTCATATAACCTTTGTGCATTTTAAAGATTTGAGGTTCCAATAGAGTTATTCACATATATGAATATGATAATTTCAAATTGGCCAATGAGAAAAACACATTTTTAAATGGTAATCCCTGTTGTCCTGTTCTTTACTTCACTATCGTTTTTTTTTTTTTTTTTAACGTTTGCTGAAATGATCAAGAGCACACAATGCAAAGATCTATATATGATCCCAAATTTCCAAGAGGTTATTTCTTAAGACAGATGTCAAGTGAAAATTAAAATGGGCATGCTAGTCAGCTTGGGAAAATTGCTATATTAAGTAAAGTTTTGAGATGAACAGGCAACCAGAGGGGATTTAACAAATTGGGCAACTAAACAAAAATACAAATTTGACTTTTAAGAACCAAATGGCCTCTCTCTCTCCAAAAGGAAACACAACGTGACTATTGTGATATTTGGTTAACTCTCCACGTGTTAAACTATGTGACTATTTCTAGATTTTGATATGAAATTATTTGTTTCAAATAAAGATTGAAATTAAAAAAAACTAAATGTTAATTATTTTATCAAAAATCAAAACCATTGCAGGTCTGTTTAATATATTGCTTTGAGAGAAACAGTGTAATTATTTCAATTGGATTAGGCAGCTCCTATAATGACATTTATAGTATGCAGTAGTCTCTGCTGAGATTAAATCTTCTCTGTATTTCTCATGTTTGATTACAATCTCTTTTCTCCTAATCTAGCTGGGATTGGAGTTGGACCAGGAGGAGGTAAGTGACCCATTCTACATTAAGAACATATGCATCAGGAGAACTGGTTCTTGGCACATGTACTAAAGTGCCCAAGTCTGTGACCATACACCAACATATCTATATTTTAATATTTTTTAAACTAACTAGCTAATGACTTTAAAAATAAATGAGAGCATAAAATCAAAAAATCTGAAATCTCAAATGATATAATATGACCTTCATAGCTGTATGCATGATGCAGAATAACTACTCGCTTTTATATCAACCCAAATGGTAGAAGGTCCTGCGTTAGAAGAATTCTTTACAAAAATATTGAAATAACAGTAAACTATAAGCAATGCACAACTAATGGAATATGTCATTTCTCATATCACAAGATGGCTCTGTATCATTCTCACTAAATTACTAAGGGATCTACAATCCCCCATATCATTGTCCCATATTGCATTACTTTTTATTGCAAATACTACTCGATGTTATGTTTTATACTTGTTACTTTTTATTGCTCAATAAAAACAAGTTGGGAACATTTCCGGACACATTTGGTCACTCTTAGCATGGCTCATCTGGAGAGTAAAAAAAACAGAAATCTTTGTCATTAGCAATATATGTTCCACTCTCATGCTAAACCTACAGGATATGCAGAACCATCAGGACATTAAAATTTGATTGCAGGTGTACTCATAATCCCTGGAGTGGTGTCTTGATCATGAACATCTGTGTACTCTTGAAATGATAAAACAAATTGATATATCCCATATTTACTCGACTATAATGCACACCTTATTTGGAAAATAAAGTTGCCAAACTTTGAATGCGCATTAGATTCGATGGTGCATTACATGTGGGGGGTGGGGGAGAGGGGTTGAAAATTTCCGGCGAAATTGCTTTCCGGCAAATTCACAGAGACTAATTAAAACTAGTGAATTCAAACCAGTGAATTCAAACAGACAAATTCACACAGGCGAATTAATACTGGTGAATTCACACAGGTGAATTTCATTCTGGCAAATCTGGTTCCTGAAAGAGGGCTTAAGAAAGAATAGGCTTAATATGTAACACTAAAATTAAAATACCATTAATGTCACTATGGTATATGGCAATAAACATTTTCATTGTAGCACATTGTTGTATAATAGTATCTTCTTGTTTAAATGTGCATTACATTCATCAGCAAAAACATATTTCAGCTTCCAGGTTTCAAAAATTGAGGTGCGCATTACATTCGATGGTGCATTAGATTCTAGTAAATACATATATTCTTTTCAAATGAAGTCATTTCCCATCTGAGCAGAGATCCTAATTGCTCGTGAGTAACCACTATTTCTCTTTGTATTTTTAGCTGGGGTCGGACCAGGTGGAGTACCATCAGGTGGTAAGTGGCACAGTCTACTTTCATAAAGGGGTCGTTCTTTATGGTCAAAGGACAGAGCTGTTTGAGTGAGAATGAGAAAAGCTTAGTCCAATGGGATTCCACCTACTCTGAAGCATCTCACAGTGTTTTTAATAAAGTGAGAATTAAAGGTGAATTCATATTGAATTTCCAATTTAAGGTCAAAATAGCCAAACTGGAAAAATATCTTAGTCAGTTATACTTTCAGTTTAGTTACTATGAGCTTAAATTATAAATTCACTTTGAATTCACCTTGAATACTCACTTTAGTAAATATGCCTACATTGCATATTCATTTTCACTCCACATAAGGAGGCTTGATCTCACACATCAGGCATATTGACTGTCGGCAAGATCACAGTATCCCCAGACATATGTTTCATGTTCTTATAGATGTTGGCATTCTAAATTAAGCATGAGTCTCTGGCAGAATCCCGATTTTTTGTAAGATAGGTTAGTTGGTTTATGCACCAACTTACATACGTCACAGTGCTATAGGTTAAGTCCTCAGCATTGTCTACTCAGAGTTCTATAATTCCACATTTGATGTAATGAGCAAAGAGCTTTGCGTCACTACTTGCTGAATGCAGAAAATGCATCATTAATATTATTTTAAACAGAATATCATGAAAATCTATAAATCTATGCAATAGGACAGCCTTTTCTGAAAAATATATGAAACTTAATTCCATTTTTGAAGACATTTACGTAAATATTGATTTGCAATCAGGAATGAGAAAGAACTGTTATTTGGGAGGGTAATCCTCATTAAATGATCCAAGAAAATGGTTGCCAAAAAAGCAAACAAATTATCCAAAATAACTATACCAACTGGCCTGTCCTTTAAGCACACATCATATGGTAACATTTTCTATGATAACCAAAATGGCAGAAAGGCTCAGAAATAATCAGTCCTGAAAATGCTTAACATAAAAGCTGTTCACATACAGTTTCAAATATTTCAAAACTGTGAAAAAAAAGTGAAAAATGTTAGGACTGGGTGTTTTTAAAGTAGCTTTCGGCAGTTCAAAACTGTATATTTTGTGTGAGTGATCATTCCCCTTTGTGTATTTTGTATGAATTTGAGATACAGTAAGCAGTACCAATGTTACGTAATGCATGTTCCAGGCAGTGTTTCCCATTTCTCCTTTTTTTCCTGCAATGGTAAACTGAAAACGTTCTGTCCTAGATGTTTCACACAACACTCTCTCAGGACACCACTTTTCAAGATTTGTAGCACAAACAGCTGGTGGCCTTGGCCTGGTGGATTTTAGCCACGGTCTGTTTCCCATTCCTTCTGCTCTCGGCCAACTAATGCTGTAATGTATCAAATTAATATGTTTAATGGAATGGTAGCGTGCCTGCAGCTTTTGTCCCATGGCCATTGCGTAGACGAACAGCGTCATTGTTTTAGTTGGATAATGCAGTAGGTCACATACTGTAATATATACATAGGCATTGTAGCATGACCTGTTCTGGTAGATGGCACTTGCAATATTTGGTCATTGGTGTGGTTTAATATATGATTTCTCATTCTTTCTCTTATTTTAGTTGGCGTTGGACCAGGAGGTGTAGGAACTGGAGGTAATGTACACAAAATACAATAATAATAAATACGACAATAACTTGATTTCCTTTATACACGAGATATGCCTCAAATGTTGGTATCTAAAATTATTACGTAATTAATCCTTAAGTATATACAAAGTTACCATTTTGTTTTATATGTACATACAGTGCAATGAAAATTTTTATCGTAAAGAAGCATGAATGAAAACCATATATTTTAGAGATAAACTTTATTTTAATGTTCATTTTTTCTTGTTTTTTTTTTTTAAGAGGGTAAAATCATGAACATCTTTAGGACTTCATCAAAATATGATAAAGTATCATAAAGAGTAGTTCATTATAAAGCACAGAATATATTTAATATTAGACAATGCGTGGGAGGAGAAAAGAATAAAATGTGGAAAAAAGGGGGAAGGAAACATAATAAAAAAAAGAGGAAAGTCATGTTGTCTGGTAGAGCGATATGACTCCAGCTACAGAGTCGATATATCTCAAATCTCAAGGATTTACGGATGAAGGCCATGATAAACCTGAATTTACGGTTAGTTAGCTGACAATAAATGTCTGTAGAAGAACTTGCATATATATGTAGCAAGAATCTATATCTACAAATAGAAACCCATGATCTAATTGTGTCTTTACAGGGGTCGGCGGCTATGTTAAACCCCCTAAGACAGGAGCAGGTGAGTCCCGTTTGATGAAAATATTAGTATTAATATGTATATAATACGTTTTAGAGTTCGCAACTAAACCATTTCTTTCTCATGTACAATTGAAGATTATGCTAGCTTTAGTGTACTAATAATCCTAATTTTAGTAATGACAGGAGGCGAGTATTTTGCATAATCTCTCTTTGCTAACTCCATACAGCAGCAAAGAAACATATAGAAAAAATAACCAATCACAAGAGAGTAGGATGTACATAAGGCATAGTTAATAGAAAAAAATAATAATAATAAACTATGACACCCAAACCCAACTCATTGGGTTGGGGACATAGAGGTCAGGGTGGTAGTACCAGGTCCACCAGAGGGCTTGGACCCTAAAATGCAATATGTACAAACAAAAACAAAAGGAGAGTATACCCCAAAACACGGAGGAGAAACTCTATACTGGTATGTTCAAAAAGAAGGGAAGAAAAATTATATTGTCAGCTGAATAACTTTCTTAGACATAAGCATAGTGTGGAAAATAAACCTAAAACCCACAGCTAGATTGTACCAAATATATCCAATATACAAATACTTTATTAAATCAAAATATGGACAATGTGGTACACATTGGAGTAAAGCTGGGGAGTCAGAATAGTTGTAGTGTATGTAGCAGATCTAGATCCCAACCCTGTCTATTGGTCTCAGAAAACAGCTACAATAAGATGGCTGAGAAAAAGCCCTTGTAATTACTGCTGAGATTAACTGACAGGATAAATCAGTGGGAGAAACTATATATACACAACTATAAATACAGGGAACAAGAGGGCCAGGCAAGTATGTCCTGAATCTATACAACCAACAGCAGATTTGGGGATACGGCTGAATAAGTCTAGAACAAAGGGAAATAAACAAAAAATAGTGCAATACAGTAAACACTTAATATATCATGCGCCACATGAAATGCACTCACAGAATGTTGGCAAACACAGCGCTCATAGGGTGCCTCCCCCGAAGTAGCTGGGGGGCTAGTAATCCCACTCTCCACTCCACAGACACCAGTTCTTAAAACAGGACTCCCGGAAGATGAAGATAAAAAAAGGATTGTTTATTTATAAAAAGGTGAAACAGTCACCATAAATGTTAATATAAACGTAGGAATAAAACAAAACGGTCCAACGCGTTTCGTTCCTGAGCGGAACTTCCTCAGGGACCACAATAATACAATGTGTTTCGTTCCTGAGCAAAACTTCGGAACTATATAATTGCAATATTTTTCTTTTTTTCTTTTTTGATACATTATTTAAGAGTTAACTCTATCATGAAGAAAACCAAATGCACCTTTACTTACCTATATATGTCTGTGTGATTTGCCTGTAGGTGGAGTTGGACAAGGTGGTTTAACAGGAGGACGTAAGTTATACAATACAAATGAATTGTTTAATATGTAGCACTGTTCCAGATAGTCAATAAACAAGTTTTACATTTCCCGTCATAAGAGCTTAATTGGAACATTTCTGCAACTTGATATTACTTGAGTTCCATTTTCTGTCTTGTTTAGCAATTCACTTGTTCAGGATGTACGAAAGGTCAATGAAACCTTATTAAAATGGATTGTGTTGAAAATTACACATACACAGCTATTCACTGCAGTAGCTTATTCACTAAAAATCATATTGCAGCTAACGGAAATAGCAAGAATTAGGTCAAAATACCTGATTTGGAAAAAGTCCCCATCTCAACTGCAGTGATAGACAGACAGATAGACAGACAGAGAGATTGTACATTCCATTGGTTGCCACAGAGACCATACCACTTTTAGACCTTTTCCATAAAGTTGCTCATAGAGCCCCTAAATCTGTCCTGACTATCTCTGAAACATTTTTCAATTTTGTTTTATAGCTGGTGGCTTTGGTCCAGGTGGAGGTATGTATACGCATATGTGTGAGTTTATCATTACATTTATCTACCTACATCCAATTGGATGTTTTTTATTTTAGTTTAAAAATGACAGTGACTATTATATAAGTAGATAGTCTGACACCTGGAGTTTATATATCACAGTCTATTACTGGGCTTGGCTTTAACCAACAAAAGATGAGCATCATCAAATTTGCAGTTCATATTTCCATTTTAAGGAAGTGGCAAATTTATAATAACATGCTCTACATGAGAACACAGCCACACAGTGTACAGGAACACTATAGTGCCAGTATACAAACATATATCTCTAACACTACAGTGCTGGAGCACCTATTTAGGAGTACGCCCCCCCATGGAGTAAAAAAGTATTTTACTTACCTTTTCTCAATTGCTGCGTTGCTTTCGTCTTGGCTGGCCCCACGTTTATGGGTGAGATTATCAACTGCTGTGCAGTTGATGCTCTATTGGGAGCATTCAGCATCTCCATTTAGAGCGTTGAGATGCTGAACATAAAGATTGGAGTACCTAACACAGGAAATCCCTTTAGTGGTTGTCTGAGTGACAGCTACTAGGGGTGTTCCTAAGCAGCATTGTAGACAATGCCTTTTCTCTGAAAGTTTAGCATTTACAGTGATGAGTCTGCAGTAAGCTTTAGTGGTTCTAGTGACTAGAGTGTCCCTTTCAATGGGACATATAGTCACCTTAAATCATTTCTAAATGTAAGTATTTAAGAGAACACAATGCTTAGAAGTGACAGAGGAGAGCAAAGGAAACATCCAACTTGTTCTCCTGCTCTCTGTCACAGCTACAGTTGCATATGCACTGCAGCTGCTGTGTTTTTCCTTTAAGAATTAACTCGAGCTTGCTGTCGAAAAATAGGAATGGATAGAACAATTTGTTTCCACAAAGACCATACCACTTTTAGAACATTGCCATATAGTTGTTTATATAATATGTCGCTTAAAAGGATACTATTGGCACCAATATAACTTTAGCTTCAAGGGTTGCTGGAACCCTGATACAACAAAATACATTATAAATGCCATTTGAGGCATAACTATTAAGTCCCACTCTGTAAAAACCTGCAAAAAAGGTTTTAAATGTTTCATTAATCCAGCGTCACGCTCAGCTTTCATCACGTATCTTCCGCACCATGTCACGATGTCACCTGGCTCTCCTGAGGTCAAATGGAGAGGAGGAGGGAGGTGGAATTCTCCCATTTCTTGAACAGTGGAAAGTGGGAGGGGATGCCCACAGAGTAAGAGAAAGGGGAAAGCTATCTTCCCCTTACAGGCGCTTTGACGATAGACACAAAATATGCATAGAAATGACATTAGGCAGCCGAGCGTATGTCACATGTGCTGGGGGTACAACTAGTACCTAACACATAATTAAAAATAACTCAGTATGTGCGGTGTTTCAAGCTAAAACATTAAACATGCAGATTCCTACCACCTTAAGCACTTCAAATCCCTGAAGAGGTCATGGTGCTTGTAGTCACCCTTTAATGAAGCAGTTTTTGTGTATAGATCATACCCCTGCTGTCTCACTGATTACTTATCTGTCATTTAGTAGTTAAATCACTTTTGTTTCTTTCCATGCAGCCCTAGCCACACCTCCCCTGGCTGTGATTCACACAGTCAGCATGAAATTCATTTTCAATCAGATGTTAACTTACTTTAGACATTTTTATCTCTTGTTATACTTTTATAACACACAGAAGGCTCCTGTATGGTCTAGAAGGAGATAAGGAATTCTAAATTAAACAGAATGTGCAATAAAGGCAATTTAAACATTAGATCTTTCTCTACAGGAAGTGTTTGGGAAGGCTGTGTAAGTCACTTGCAGAGAGGTGTGACTAGGGTGGCAACAAAGTGGTTTAACTCCTAGATGCCAGAGAATTAAGTAGTGAGACTGCAGGGGCATGATCTATACACCAATACTGCTTCATTAATCTAAATTTGTTTTGGTGCCTATAGTATCCCTAAACATTTTCTTTCTTTGCATTATAGCTTATGGCTTTCGTCCAGGTGGTGGTATGTATAAGCATATATGTGTATTTAAAATAAAATGTATAGGCCTTTTCAATTGGATTTTTTAATTTTAAAAACTACAGTACCTGTTATATAAATAAATTGTCTGACATCATATGTCACAGCTATCCTATTACTAAGCTTGGATTTAACAAACAAGAAAGAGCATCATTAGATTTTCAATATTTTGTTATTTTTTATAACTTGATAAAAAAAAAAGAATTATACATATATAATAATTTATAACATTTTTTAAAACTTATCCAAAAACATTAAAAGTAAGGCCTTAAATGGGACATTTTGTCGTCACTTTAAATCATTTGTAAATGAAAGTATCTAAGAGAAAACAAATTGTAAAAAAAGTGACAGAGCTACTTGCTGCTCTCCAGTTCTGCATCAAAGTAACTATAGCAGACGCACTGCAGTTCCTGTGATATTCCTTTAAAAAGCAAGACTTGAGCTTGCTGGAGAAAGATAGTTATGATAGACAGCTGTCATTACGTTTTGACTCCGATCTGCTGGTTATTGAGCCATTGTACCAGCAACAAGCAGCACCAAGCCTGTTAGGTAGGGGAGGTATCATCCCTAGATATCCAAAAATCATGGCACTGGCCTAAACAGCTCTTGAAGCAATAAGACATATATTTTACCAGTATTATAATTTATATCTCGGAGCTGTTATCTGATAAGGTGAATATATACATCTACTGATGTATAAACCAGGAGATAAACAATAGAACGGAGATCTCATATTCATCAAGTAAAAGTCACAAAAACAGTTCCAGGGACTCAGATATATTGCCAAGCGGTTCTAAAACAGTCTGACAAATTACACTAGTATAGCACCTGGGGGCTCATGGCACCATAACCACTACATCAGGCTGTTATATTTTTAATGATTGCTGTGTTCCTTTAAATGTAACTTTTCTTACAGATTCTGAATATAACACTATGTAAAAATAGCAATTTTGTAATAAAAATGGAGCAGTTCGCATTAACATTTCACTGGTTTCTGTAGAGACTGCTCTATTTTCAAACCTTTTACACAAATATATTTTAATGTTTAACCAAAAAGTCTGACTGTTCCTCTTTGTTTTAAACAGTTGGCGGTACTGGTGTAGCAGGCGGAGGTATGTATCTTAAATATACCCGTTATATTGTACATTTTAAATTATGAGACATTTTGGAACATGTTTATTTAAACAGTTTGTTATGCAGTCTTTTAAATGAAAGACATTTCAATAATGTGAGATAAGTATTTTGTCCTCAGATATATTTTTCTTTAATTAAAGTCAGTGTTATTCCCAATACTTGTGATATAATTCACCCATTTACTAACCCACTGGCAGAGTTAGATTAAAGGGACATTATAGTCACCAGAACAACTACAGCTTATTGCATTTGTTCTGGTGAGTAGAATCATACCCTTCAGGCTTTTTGCTGTAACAATGTCTTTTCAGAGAAAATGCAGTGTTTACATTACAGCCTAGTCATAACTTCACTGGCCACTCCTCAGATGGCTGTTAGAGATCCTTCCTGGGTCATGGCTGCCTAAAATGCATCCAAACCAAACATTCAGTGTCTCCTCCCTCTGCATGCAGACACTGAACTTTCTTCATACAGATTAATCGTTTGTGTTCCTGACCCTAAAGTGTTCCTTTAACGTTCCATTCAGAAGGTTGAGTTTGGTTTTATTATTTTACATTAGTACATTTCATGGCTGTGTGGTTATTCGCCATTATAAAAATAACTGTGATATAATTACCACTGTTAATTATTAACACTGATATTAACATATCCAACAATGTGAAGAGCTCATTTTCAACCCTCACGGAACCACACTGAAAACTTACAGGGAGCCTGTGAAGTCCATACAACTAAACTCACTGAAGTTTTTCTAACTGATTGGAACACTGACAGCCTGTAGGGTCAGTACTTGGTTAGATTAGTGTAGGCAATAAATATAGGATTTATATAAATTTAAAGGATTCCAGAACAGTCACATTTTTCCTTGAAAGGAGAACCTTGTTCCCTAATGATCCAACAACTGGGAGGTATGCTCACTACTGTGATTGCAAACACCTACCTTACTGATCACTGCACTGTTTCACAAGTTCCAGAACATACTGCAATGATACCAGCTACAGCTATACATATATTTATCATATCTACCATGTTTTCAGGAACACATATCACATGGATGGGCAGCACATGAAAAAGGTTGCCCTGCAGTACGTAGAATTCAGAAAAGGTGCATAAGAGTAATGAGGCAATGAAGAATCCTGCAGAATATGCATTATATATACCAGGCATAGGCAACCTTTGGCACTCCAGATGTTTTGGACTACACCACGCATGATTCTTTGCCAGCATTATTGGTTTTAAGAGCATTATGGGGGATGTAGTCCACTGATATATACTATACTTTTCATTTTCATAAATATGACACAATTATTTGTGTCCCTAAAAACATGGTGTATATGGTAGCTTTGCAGACTTATGAGAGATCACTTTGGGTCAATATAGTAGGGGGACAAATTCCTCTCAAGAAGTGTTTTTTGTTAGGGTAAGAGGAAATAGATCCTTACCAGTGAGGAACTGGGGGATACATCATAACGGAGGAAGCTCATGAGAGAGAAGGAACATTCTAAATGTGTTACCATAATAGATGAAGTGGGACACGTGAGATGAGCAGTGTTTAAATAACCATAGGATAAATATGGATGGACAGTTTGATTAACTAGAATAGGGGGGGGAAAGCAAACACCATTATATTGTTTTATAAATCCTGATTTATCCTCTAAAAGTATAAAATACCTACATGGTACATTTAAACATAAATATACTGCACTTATATCCTCCCCCCCAGTGGCAGTGCCTGTGTATAAATAGTTTGATGGGGGCTGTCAGAATTAGGATTTCTTAGCAAAAGGTTATAACCACCCCATCCCTTTATTTTCTGGTTCCTACATCCATGGCATCCTGTTTGATTCTATATAATGTAACATATCCAATAATATTATACCCATTAAAGTTCCAATACAGTTTAATATACCCAGCACACATCTAGTAACATTGTAATACAGTGCCCATCAAGTAGAGACATCAAGGTTTTTGGTACTGAGCAACCAGCGGATTCTAATACATAACTTGTTATTTTGCTAACATTCCGTCACCCAGCCCATTATTCTGCAACTGACAATGTTTTGCTATTGCAGGATTGTACCCAGGGAAACCACCCAAGCCAGGTAAGCTGTGATGTAATGTAATGTGCATAGTGTGAACGTATGTCTATTCTCCAATATGAACGCTCCAGTTGTAGCAGAAACGAATGATGACACTATTGAGTACGTTTTAGAATTAATTTATTGAGTTGTTTAATTAAACAAGAAGGATTGTCCATAAACAAAATACATTGATATTACTATAAAAAACAATGCAGCATCTTGTCTTACCAATGTGTGCAACAATGGAAACAGTTGCTATGTATTTCTTTTATTTAAAGCAGTAGTTCCTTTAGATTAATATTTCTTTAGATTAATATTTCAATATTTTTCCAAGGCGCCCCAACTCAAAACAATTTTCTAGGTTGTATATACGTACAGCACTGCCGCATATACTGGGCCCCTGTTCGGCAGAAATGCTTGCCATTCAGGTGCAGATCCAGAACCTAATCTTGGGAGGGGCACTAGTAGATTATTTAAAGAAACAATGCAGGCACAATAACCACTACTGCACTTGTAGTGGTTATGGTGCCAGTAGTGCCATAGTGCCTCCCAGGGTAAGTAGTCAAACAGTTTAAGAACAGTTTGACAACTTACCTGGGATCTGTCAGGATAGGGGCTGTGGTAGGGCATAGGGGAAGTGTGTGTGAGGGGTGCTGTGTGTGTGAGGGGTGCAGTGTGTGTGTGACGGGTGCAATGTGCGAGTGTGAGGGTTGCAGTGTGTGCGTGTGTGAGGGTTGCAGTGTGTGTACGGGGGTGCATTGTGTTTGTGAAGGATGTAATTGTGTGTGTGTGTGTGTGTGGTGCAGTGTGTGAAGGATGTAGTGGGGTGCAGTGTGTGTGTGGGGGGGTGCAGTGCGTGCGTGTGTGTATGAGGGGTGCAGTGTGCGTGTGTGAGGGGTGCAGCTACTTTCAAAGTTGGAGTCTGCTAGTCTCAAGATATTTGTTGCCCTCTATACCCTGAGAATATATATATATATATATATATATATATATATATGTTAAAAAAAACCTTTATTTTTAGAATTATTTTATGTTCATTTTTGTTTTGTATAGATAGATAGTATGTGTATAGATAGATAGAATAACAGGGTTTAAAATTTAAAGTCTTATGCTACTAGCCAGGCCAGGCTTACTCGCCACTGCAAGTCATAGTATTTTTACCAGCTGTAAATTTCTATTTGCCAGACTAAATTTCCACTCTCCATTAGCTATTGGCTAATGCCAATTTTAAACCCTGCATACAAGACCATATATATCCAGGTGGGATGCCAGGCTGTTATGTAATAATAAAAGAATTGCACAGCTCTTTACATTATTAACCACGTGAAAGCTGTATTTTCAGGTTATGGAGCTGGTGCAGGTCTCGGAGCTGGTGCAGGTTATGGAACTGGTGCAGGTCTCGGAGCTGGAGCCGGTGCAGGAGTACCTGGTGGTGGTGCAGGAACTGGAGCTGGGTATTATCCGGGAGCTGGACTGGGAACAGGCGGTCAAGGAGCTGGAGGTAAGATTTAGATACTTAAGGGTAAATATTTCTGAACATTGATTTGTTAAAACTATCATTAGGAGCTCCATAATTATCCATAATTATTGTTTTAGCAAAGTTGCAAGTGTTTTATGAAAAACCAGATGCACCTATGAAGCTTTTTCTACCACCAAGCCCTTTAATAGGGTTAAGGTGGGATGTCTTGTCGACCACAATGGCAGTCTGCAGCACCCGGGATGTGGTGTCAATGTCACCAAAATGTATAAGTCTGGGCAGCTGTGTTTTTAAGTTATACTTTGCCTCCCAGGACATCCATAACAAAAGACAGTCAAATATTGTCTTACAGCAAATTTCATCCTTCTTGACACTCATTTATATGACATCCAAACATTAGAGCCATGACAATAGTTCATGTGACTGTTTGATGATCTGTTTGATGTCCAATGAAATTCTGTGTTCCTTCTTCTTAATATCAGGTCAGTACCCAGGAGCAGGAGGAAAGCCACCAAAACCAGGTAAACATGTACAGCGGTGAACAAACACGAAAAGGCTTTGTACAAATGACAAGATGTCACCCATTTAGACTAGAAGAAAGTAGATTTTACCTACAGTAAAGAAAAAAGTTATTTACAGCTTTACAGTAAGACTCATAAAGATGTGAAATTCTCTATCCAACAAGGTTGCTTTATCAGATTCTGCACCGATTTGTAAACAATATATATATATTTTTTTTATAAAAACAGGCTTTTCTATGATATAATAGTTAACATGTGGCTAAAAGCTTGTTGATCCAGAGTCTAGAAGTTTTTATTCCTGTTTTGTGGCAGAATTTTGAATTGCTTTAAACTGGGAGAAGGATTGGAGGATCAAACGAACACACACAGCAACGTAGGATTAAACAATGTCCTGATTCCAGGCATACTCATCTTTGTCCCCTAATCTAAAAAAGAAAAGAGAGAATACAGAAAGCTAAACATAATACTGTAAGAAGAGACAGACTACTATTAGAAAGTACAGTTTAGAAGTGTAGGAAACATTACTATATCATGGGCAGTTGACTCTAAATAGATCATTTTGAATATTTGGATTTTTGACAAATCCTGTTTTGACATCTAATTTTGGTTCTTTTTCAGCAGGCTATGGAACTGGAGCCGGTGGATACGGACCAGGGGCCGGAGGATACGGGCCGGGGGCCGGTGGATACGGAACGGGGGTCGGTGGATACGGAACTGGGGTCGGTGGATATGGAACTGGGCCTGGTGGATACGGAACTGGGACAGGTGGATATGGACCTGGTGCTGGATATGTACCTGGTGCTGGCATTGGAACAGGAGTAAGACCAGGAGCTGGAGGTGAGATTGAAGAATAATTGCTCACCTGGGGTATATACTAGCTTTAGAAAAAAATATATATTATTGTGTATTAGTATCAATCCATTATTTGGCTTTCAATATACAAAGGCTTACCCATAAATGTGTTTTAATTTTCTTGGTGCTAGGGTGCTTCTTCCGATATACAAATGTCTTTAGCACATGCATGGTACTTCCATTTTTTTCCCCGGAATTAACGTTTTGAATTGAAAGTACAGCAGTTAATCTCAATTAACAATAATGTTTGACAAAATGACTTAAAAGATGCAACAGACTAAATCATTTCTAACCTATAGCTGCACAATTTCTAGAATGCCATTCAAACCAGATTTATTAAGATTTTCTAAGTTAAGAAATAGTCACATTTCAATTGTAGTATACTCTATATCTTACCACCTAATGGGCAAGCCATATTGCTGCTTTTCCTTCCTGGTGACTTGCGGATCCAAGCAGGCAATTAGCATTGCTCTATTTTATTTATATCTGCTTTATCAGTGTCCACCCCCAAGTATATAGTCATTAAATCCACGTTATCTTTAAGAGTAATGTTTAAATTGAGTGTAGGCTTGTTGTATTTGTGACAAACAGGATCTAAGTGTATAGGCTAAGCCCAGTGTAGGCAACCTTCAGGACTTCGGATATTGTGGACTACATCTACCATGACGCTTTGCCAGCATTATGCCAGTAAGAACATTATGGGAGATGTAGTCCACAACATCTGGAGTGCAAAAGGTTTCTTACCCCTTGGCTAAGCCATTTTTAATAAATACCCTGAATTAAAATACCTAGTTATATAGTCTATGAAGTAAATATGTTTATTTATGAGAACCCTATAAAACTAGTAAATGGTGGTACTTTTGAACTGCCTGAACATTCTCTAATTAGTCGTTTGGAGGGATCCTTAAGTGATATATGTCAATGCATACATCTTTGAAAATTGATTAAAAAAAAAAAATTACAAAAAAACAAACAAACAAAAAAAAAAAATATATATATATATATAAAGATTTTAAAATATTTGACACTTTCTTGATGCTTTACTCATTTGTTTAATCATTAAAATGTAAAAATATGTAAATCGGTAATACTTTTTAAATATTTCCTTCATTTCCAGGCGTGTACCCCGGAGCTGGAGGCAAACCACCAAAACCAGGTAAATACCGAGAGAAATGCTCCGGATTAGAAACAAAGGACTGAGTGAGGCCTAACAATATGAACATTATAAATGCTTAATTTCGTGATCTAACTTAATTTGTAGGCTATGGAGCTGGAGCAGGGTTGGGTACTGGAGCTGGTGGTTTACAAGGAGGCGGCTTGGGAACTGGAGGTGGCTACGGTCCTGGAGGTGGATATGGACCTGGAGGAATTGGAGCTGGGGGTAAGAGTTGTGCAATAATGAAAATCCATGAACAATCACATACAGTGCCAAGTGTCTGAAAGAGTCTCAGGTTTGCTCAGGACTTGTGACCAATACAGTTTACAAACTTTGTATTTGGCTGTGCTGTTCTGTGAGGCACGTTTCTGTAGGATTATGTAGTTGATGCATTTGTCAGCAGATGAGATAATGGCACTTTCACTTTGTCTTTTCAGCAGGCACCTACCCGGGAGCAGGCGGAAAACCCCCTAAACCAGGTATGATAGATTAGGCTGTGTGCTTCCATTCTTAAAGCACTTACTTTAAATGGAACATTGTAAGCACTACAACAACTTCATCTAACTAAAGATGTCTTAGTGCCTTAATTATTTCCCAGCTTGTCCTCATAAACCATCTCTGTCAATAGTTTGAAGACTGAAAGTGCGGCTTTAAGTCATGTCTCCAGGCCCTCTAAATCGGAAAGCCAGGACTGTTACTTTCCGCTTCTCATATCAAAGCATACTGTGATGTACATACTGGTTCATATCACAAGAGCTTCTAACCTTACTGCCACAAGTCCTTTATACTTTCTATTCTGCATGTGTCCTGGTCCTGGACACTCCAAGATCATGAAGATCTTTTCATGTAATGACCTGATCAAGATTATGATAAAGCAGCACTGCATAAATATTTTCTGTAGAAAAACTTGGTGTGTTCTCAAAATAATGCATATTAATAATGTGCCGGACACTGTAGGTAAGATTAAAGGAAACACGCAAGTTCTACAAGGATACGTGGAGGATTTAATGGAACTGGTGTCTGTAGATGGGGATTTTTGACAATGTGTAACCCCCCCCCCCCCAACAATGAGTAGCCACAAGTAGCACAATGTCTAAGAGCAATGTGCTTATATACTTTGACCACTGGAATGGGGTTGCTGACTTGTAAGTGTTTTTGTATCGGCAGGTTACGGAGGAGGAGTAGGTGGTGTAGGCGGAGGAGGTGGTTTTGGGCCTGGAGCTTCATTAGGAACAGGAGGAGTAGGAGGAGGTGAGATAAGTCTGAATTTGGAGTAAAATACACAATTGTTTTTATGGATCCTCTTTCTGTCTTTTTCTGTTTCCTTTACACACTTCCCCCAACTCACCGTATAGTGTTTAGAATGAATCATTCATGACTAACAGTTCTACTTTCATATGCTTACAATTCTCCAAATTATTCAATGAAACATGTTCTTGTTTACTGTCTCAATTACCCCTCTCATTAAACTTGTTTTATTGCTCAACTACACAATAAACATATTGAATTATACTTTACAATGGCTGCAAAATGGCTAAGAAACTTCTCATGCTGTGTTCAGTAAACTTTAGTAAACCATTTAGTAAATCTCAAAAGTATCTGCTAGCAAAAATATTTTCAACTATTCTTTTCTTTGTTAGAAGAGATATTGCAGCGTCACATCAGTGAAGGAGTTAAATCTCATTAGTAAAACGGCAGCCACAATTTCCTCTAGAAATAGTTTCTGTATTGTGTAGATTCTCTGACTTAGACAATGTGGCCTGGGGGTTCCATCCACACTTCGCAATAAAAATAGGAAACGTACGTTCCTTACATGAAAGGGAAAGGAAGAGCTGCATATTTTTGTTAAATGTCAGCCAGCTACTAATACAGTTACTTAGAATGCTGCCTTACACAATGTACCCCAAAAGAAGGCTTAAACCCAGTTCAGCCATCTATATCTTGGAGAGTGATGGGTAAAAAATTTACAGGAAGATGTCTTCCTGTAGTCCATGCTCTTATAGCAGACATTTTCACACAATTTTATTTTTTAGGTTTAAAATGTTGCCCTATTACCAAGAATCAGGCAATAATTTTCAGTTGTTTAACATTGGAAATAAAAACTATAAACAGTTGCCAAATGTGTTATTTGAAATGGACAATAAGGTCTCACTGGGTGGAAATTGAACGTTTCACACTAGTCCTGAAGCTATTTATGTTTAGTTATCTTAGTTTCAAAATTGTGCAATTTGGCATCTACAAGGCTGAAAAAAAAATTCCATCACACATTCCCAATTACCCTGAGAAAATAACTGGTGAAGAACTGAATAATGATAAATTATTAAATTGCATCATAACAACATTTTCACACAGTATGAAAGTAACTCAAGGTTAGATTTACTGTGGGGCAGCAAAATTCACATAGACAAATATGACTGCCTTAGCTGTGTATCCCATTATATACATTTTACTTACCTTTTTAATTTTAAGTAAATAAAATTCGATATATAGAAATGCATCATGGTAAAGAAGCCTTGTCTGTATTTAACTAGAAAGCTAGTTTGTTGAAATCACACTCTTATCATATCTTAAAAGGGCAGTTGGTAAATGTGTCAGCAATCACTTGCATACTGCATTGTGAACACTAGATGGAGCCTCTTATCTTTTTGTATTTTGTATATTTTTATTTCAGCTGGAGTTGGTCAAGGATACCCCTTAGGAGGTAAGGATTTTGATTTAATAATATTAATATTTATGGAGTGCTGGTGTATTTTGCCGAGCTGTACAATGAGTATAAAAAACATACAAGCAAATACGACAAAACAAGTTTGTCACACAGAAACAACAGGTGATGAGGCCCTACTTAAACAAGCTTACATTGTAAAGGAAGTAAGCTATAATTACTCAAAAGGTGATAGTGTAGTACTTATGCGAAGACTAACAGTTATGGGTCAAGAAAAGGTTTTTAATTAATGTATAACATCTACAGGAGAAGGCAGAGATGGGATAAAGGGGAAATATAAGCATCATATCCGCTGCGGCTTATTTTAACTGTTTTGCTAGTGGAAGGATGTCTATGAAAACTCATCTTAAAAATTTTAAATTTTTTTTGTGGGGTTTTTTTTTTTTTCTTCTTCGAATGCCTCAAAACAGACTCCACCCTCTTGCCAGTGATGTTTCACTTCCTCATTAAATCGTCCAAATACTTGTACAGTGTGAGCACATATTGAATGTTCAAATCATGCAAGTGTTCCTCCAACATGTGCAGGTATTGGAAGCATAACTGATTGTGTATGTGCGCTCTCAAAGTACATCTCCTGCAAGTGAAGAAGACTGACATAGGCAGTGTGAGCAGGCAGTATGTGTTCACAACTTATGAGAGATCAATGGAGATATTGTTCTTCTCGATTTGTAACCAGTGGGAATGAGGGAGGAGTTATATTAAAAATAACCAAATAACCAAGGATTTATGAAGTTATATCTTCTAACCTCCCTTTCAATAAGTTGCAGTGGATATGGAGCCTTTTTTTTCAATTTGACAATTGTGGATATGGAGCCTTAATGAAGCGAAGGAATGTTATATGGAAATAAATGAACTAGCTAGTTAATATCCCTTCCTTACAGGGCAGAAATGTTATAAGGTAAAAGAGCAGCATATTAAAGACAAATTGAAGATTTCTATCCTTCTAGCCTGCAGATTTCATAGTAGTTTAAATATATTATTTGTATTAACTATATTTAACTTCACATGACATATGATGGCTAATTTTGTTCCAAACCAAGCACCATATGGATGGAACAACATTAGTGAAGGAAATGGGGAGGAAAGAAATGTACTTGTTAGTTATTATGTACTTCAGTGATGACTTGGATAAAAAAAAAAGTATTTAAGTTATAGTGTATAATACATTTTTATGTTTTTTGTTTTAGCCCAAAAACCAGCCAAATCTTACTACAGAGGTGACTATATTTTTATTGTCCTTTTTATTATTGGTATTTATATTAACATTCTCTTTGTGCTAGATTTATCATTTGTGATTTCTTCTTATAGTATGCAAAAAGACAGAACAGGGGTTATATCTTAGAAGCAATTCTGGTGCTAAAATGTCATTATGGAAACTAGTGGAATGTTCCACCGGAATTTCTTTATATAAATAGCTCCCAGTGTTAGCCATCGGCCTATAAATAAACAGATATTTTCCTGCAGATGTGTTCCTAAAATAAATATTTCTTGTATATTATAAATTATATTTTAATGATATAGACGGAACACATATTTAAAAATAAATAACATAAAAATAAAAACATTTACTCTTCAAAAATCTGTTTTCTGATTATATAGATATTTTTAAACTACCTTTAATAGTACCTTCAGGTAAGCTGTCCCTAAAAGAGGGAAAAGGAGGTAAAAAACTGATAAAGTTAGGCTATTTAGACAAAATAGCAAAATTTAGGTTAAAAGTCACAATGGTTTTCAAGCAAACTAAAGCTCCATCAAGTGGACTACATTTAGTATTTAGAAAATGTCCACCAATAAATATAAAGCAGTGAAAATGTCATAATTCAAAATACTTATAATACCTGAGGCTGTCTTGGTGTGATGGGTTTTTAGTCCAGTCTCAAAAGTAAATGAACTGATTCTCAGATGTCTACGGTAAATCCTTACAGTACCCACTGATTATGTGATACACAAACCTAACATTTGTTCATGAGTGGACTCCGTACTTACATATTTTTAACTCGCTCATTAGGTTTGTTTCTACAACATGACAATAGAATCGTAGAACTAGAATACTCTACCTGTGCTCTGTTGTTTCAAATATTAGCAGAGTTTTATTGAATATATGTCAAACCTTCATAATTATATCATAGTATTAGCCCTTAACTCTATTCACAATATACATTTTAATGTCTCTGTAGGTGGTGGACTCTGTGGTCAAGGGAAGTATTGTGGCCGACGGAGAAAATAACCAACCAAAGAGCTACGAGTAACCTCATCAACTATGGTGCTACTGCATGGTGTGAATGTAAAAGGATCCAATTATCCCTCCCCTCTCCTGTCAATCCGTCCCTAGAGTCCTCCACCATCTTCCTTTCTCCTGTTCTTGTGATATCCATCTTTAACAAGGAGCCAGGCAGCTACATATTATAGAGGAGCCTGCAATCTGACACTCGCAAACATTTGTGCACACATATACAGTGTATACTTTAATACGCTTTATGGAAAAATGTAATGTGTGCGTGTTTGTTTGAGTGCGTATATATCTGTATAGGCCAATGAGAGCATATAATGAGATGTACATTGTCTATATTTACAGATGCACAGTGACAAGAAAGTTGTGCATACTCGTATACAATACATAGATATACATACACTCAGACATTCACAGGTATGGGCATACAGGCACTGTATATATGCACTCAAGAAGTGGTTGGCATGGGACACGTGTCCCCCCCCCAGGCTGGTGAAGTGTTAAGGATTTGGGCCACCATAGAAGACCACTTTTCCACGAACAAGGCTGGCGTAGTAAAGCCAACATTTGCTAAAGGACACCTTGACAAGCAGGATGGTGATAGACAATTCTGCTTATGAAGATGTTCTCTATTGCACTCGTCCCTTCATTTTAACTTGTCTTGGTTCAGTAGACTTGTAGGTTTTCCGGATCAGTTGATAACTGCATTGTAAATGCGAATGCTACTTGTAGCCTGATATTTGGGCCAGTAGAAATGGTTTGCCTTCTTCAGTCCGACCCTGTTATATCCTGCTATACATAAACAGTGCCGAAAGTTGCACTCCTTCATGACTTGAGATTCCCAGAAGCATGTGTAAGCTCTGGGCGTGCTTCCTTTCTAATCCTCCCCCTCTCACCATCACACTGCCATAATAAGTTGTTGTAAGTTATATTTGGAATTCAATCCATGCTGATGCCATCGGCCTGCGACTGTAAGGGAACTTTATTATTTTTATATTGTATTATAAAACGTGTGTGACTTCTCTCACTTTGAGGGGGGAGGGTAAGAGATAAATCTGCAAAAAAAATATATTCCTTTTACATTTGCTACTTACTTTGAAAAGATGTTCTTATTCTAAACCTTTTTTTTTTGTTTCGTTTTGTTTCATTTTCATTTTTTTTGCTTGCCACAAAATGCAGAAAATTGGCGTTTATTTTTAGAAATGTACTCTTTTTCTGCCGGAGGAGAAGGCTTTTAACTAATTACTGCTAGAACGACTCACAATTCTTCATAAGGCTCTTTAAGGGTAAACGAAGACGCAAAATGCTGTAGTGAGTCAAAAGGGGGTGATTCTTTTTTAGGGTAGGGTTTTTTTTAATGGTGATTATTCTGTTGCCAGTGATATTTTTAACATTTTATAAACCTTCTGGCATTGAAGAAGTTAAAAATAAAAACTGTGAGATTTAAGAATAGTCTCTCCCCATTTCTCTGAGGCCCTCCCATCACCCTCTTAAATCTGCATTTCATCTTTCATTCTGCTGTGTCTAGAAGCGTGAGGGGCGTGCGTGATGTGTGGATGTCTTAATTTACTGACCACCCCCTCCCCTCAGTGTACATCCTCTCTTACCGCCTCCATTGAAAAAAATGTATAAAAAAAACTTTTTTTGTAAAAATAATACTGAAAAAAGTTATTAAAAGTAATTTTGCTTAAATAAAATGAATAAATAAATCTTTTTAAATGACTTTTTTGTGTTTGTGTTTTTTTATTTTACCATATGTACTTCCTTCTGTTATGCGCATGGTCAAAGAGTTTTCCTGGTACACTAATTTTTCATCATTGCTCCAAGGAAGTAGGTGGTGGTTGGTTTCTAAGTCCAGAGATATGTGTGTAGTGTAGAACTAATTCTCACTAAACACGCAGACACTCTTAAAAGGAAATTTTACTGATATGCATGTAATAAGAATGTAAAATGTAACCCTTTATGATTTTACATTAAAAGCTATATAATCCAAATCCTAATAAACATACAATATAGCACCTCTGTCCTATCTGATGCACAGACAATTAGTGTAGAAAACCTCCCCCCCAATATTATGATGGGACAGCTTTTTGCAACAGACTAAGAAAATTATGTACCCTTTAAAGACTTACATCAAGCCATGATGTTTTCTTTAGACAAAATACATTAAATAAATTATCACAGTGTCATTGTATGAAAGAATGGGAGATACATTTCTCATTACCGAATGTACCAAAGCTTAATTATTTATTAGGTGGCCTCCTAGAACCCGGGCTCAAAAATCTTGACATTTTCACCAAACATAAGTTCAAATATATTTTTTTTATTATTTTTAATTTATTGACTTTGCATCTATTGTTTGTAATGTTATCTCTAAAATGCAAAAAAAAAATGGCTATCATATATCTGTATGTTTTAACTCAGTGGTGGCCAAAGGTAGATATTTGGTGGTTACACAACTCCAAAGATGATTTTTAGCCTTAAAGCCGGGAAAGCATCCTGGGAGTTGTAATTCTTCAATAATTCGGAATCTACCTCATCGCAACCTGTTTTAGATCAAGCTCCCGTACCCCTAAGAGAAATGTCAATTTGACCACCAGACCAGAAGATCAAAGGTCTGTGACAAGACTGGACAGTGGTGTATCCTGGTTTTGTGCTGCCCTAGGCATGACAAAACTCATACACCCCCCCTCCCACTGTGCCACCCCCCCGCAATCCCCTTTCCCCCCTGCCCTGCCTTCTAAAAACACACACACACATTCACTGACAGACACACACACACTAGCTAACAGACACACACTCATTAACAGACATACACACTCATTAACAGACACACACATTCACTAAGACACGCATACACTCTCACTAACAGACAAACACAAACTAACAGACACACACATAGTAACACACTCCCTAACAGACACACTCCCTGACATACACACACTCACTAACAGACACACACACTCACTAACACACACACTCACTCACTAACAGACACACACACACACTCACTAACAGACACAAACACTCACTCACTCACTGACAGACACACACACTCACTCAATGACACACACACTCACTAACAAACACACACACTCACTCACTAACGCACACACTAACACACACACACACACACAAACGTCATATTCCGGCTCCAGGTGACCGGCATCACTCTGCGGCGCACGAGGGAGCTGAGCAGAGAACTTACTAATCAGTGCTCCCTCGCCAGCACCGCCCGACCTGCGGGCCGGATTTTTAGTTAGCCGCCAGGCTAACAAGACATTTGCCTGGGCATTTGGGGGCGGCTTTCTTTGCCGCCCCCTGGAAAGTGCTGCCCAAGTCAAATGCCTTGTTTGCGTCGCGGCTAATACGTCCCTGAGACTGGACTCTAATTAGTTCCAAACGTATGTCCTTTCTCCTTAGTAAGAGTTATTGAGAGGTCCAATTATAAATCCATTCTCAGACAGGCCCATGTATTTCAGAGAAGTGTCCCCTTCTTAAAAATTACAATAGTAAATGAAAACTGCTGACATTTTTTTAATGTTATATCAGCTGCTCACATGACAAATAGAAATTAAGTTTAAAAAAATAAAGCATAAAATGGTCGTATTTAGTTTCTGACGAAACTGTAGTTACAAACTCTTCCGCCAGCACCTATTGACTGTGCCTTTTCCGACCTGCTATTTGTTATGTTACTAGTTCTTTATTAAACTAAGCACTTTCATTGGCCATGCACACAGGACTGTTAACTCACATGGCAAATGTTGCACTTCCATCTGCTCTTTGATTGGCTAACATTAGTTTTGATTAATTGACAAAAATATTCACCTAAGATTTAGGTCAAAATATTCAAATAGGAAATATTTAAACTGGTAAATTGAAGATTTATTTTGAAATTCAAATAATTTTGCAGCTTACCACAACTCACTGGCTAGCCGCTAGAGAGTACATTTATTCTATAGGTGAATTAGAGAATGTCGTTCTGAAATATAATTTCACTTTTTTTTCTTTTTATTGTAAATTATACTTTTGTTAAACTACTGCTTGTTTCGAAGCAATAGGGCCACAGCCTTGTTAATAGGCTTGTATTATAGTCACGTGAGCTGTGATTGTTGAACATAAGGGTGGAGACTGATTATATAGAATCAGAACTCAAGAAGTATGCTTTTCTAGAATGTCTTAAATACACTCCAACAACAGGTTCTTCTTAGTTTCGTCAATCACCTTGCACACAGCACTGAATAAAGGAAATATGTAGAATTTAACATGTTTAACCGGTTTTTCCTTCTCAAGTGAGAAAATGTCTGGTATTTTCTCAATAAAAAAGATAGAAGACACGTATCAAAATATAATTTCCCTTTTTCATTTACGCTAATATTCCCACAGTATGAAAACAGCAAAATGCAGATTCATTCATTTTGAAGAAAAGAGAACTTAAATTAGCCGATTTTGTTCCTGAAAATGATCCAATTTAATATTTATAAGCAGAGGACAAGGGGAATTAGAAGGCAAAGACCAGTTCTGCTGGGCCAATTTGGAGACATCCGTATTCTATGAATAATAATATTTCAATTATCATTTATTTTAGTCTCCTATGAAACTTCTTCTCTCTGTTGACATTTATCATCAAACCTGATTCTGGATTCAGATTATATTATAGACACACCATACACCATAATTATTTTATTTTGTATTTTGTAGTGATGATGGTGTCAGTATGTCCCTTGTGCCTCCATCCCTAGCTGGTGTGTTTGATAATGGTTAAACACAGGACTAAGGGGTGGTGTGTGGGGCATGATCTCACCATAATCACTTTATTAGGCAGTAGTGATTATATTGCTTAGACTGCTACTTTAAGAGAAAGTTAACGTGATGAGTCCATAAAGGAATTATCACCGATTGTTCAACACACAAATGAAAAACAGAAACAAATACGGCTGCTATGTGCATTCTTTGACAATGACTTTCTATACTAATACAAGAAACTTCTGCCCCAAAACAAAAATTGTGAATAGACTAAATGATTAACTAAATCAAGAAACATTAAAAATGAGTCAGAGCTAACTCTCCCATCCAATAATAAACAGTGATTCTATACAATGCAACAACTTTCATTTAAATTGGTTGTCAGGCTAACGTTGATCCCTCATTATTTTACCCACTGGAAGAGTAAAAATTATTTTCTTTTGCTCTCCTCTGATATTGCTGTCGACGTCTATTACTCCATTTTACCTTAATACACCTAAGAAACTAATCACTGAGTCATTGAGACCCCAACATTACTTCAAAGAGTGCTTCCTGGTAGAGGCAGATCTGCAGTCTTTTAATAATGACCTAGTCAAAGATGGACCCATGCTGGGCCCACATAATAAGATGTTAAGCAGCTAGACCCCCAGAACTGAGAACCACAAACCACAATGGCATGCAAATTCCATCATATGATCATTTCAAAAGAACAGTAATACTTAAAGAACCACTCCACACCCCAAAATCACTTCAGCTTGCTGAAGTGCTTCATGGGTGAGGAGGATCTTAGTTAATCCCCAATCAGCACTTTTGTAAATTAACTAGGAAACAATCCCCTTGGCTGTCCATCCCCTGAGCTCACGGAAGTGGCAGGCCCGCATGAGGGTGCCTGCCTCCTCCCATACAGATCTCAGACCAGCTCTGCCAGACCTCAGACCAGATGTGGGCACATGCACGAGCCGGACCGCTTACACGTGGCCAACAATTTAATTGGCTATTTCCCTGTGAAGAGACTGGAAGTCTTTTCCGGAGAAAAAGAGGAGGACTTGCTAGGGCGACCTCTGCAAGCTATTTAACCCCTTAAGTCCCCCTGACATGTCATGATTCCCTTTTATTCCAGAAGTTTGGTCCTTAAGGGGTTAAAGCTATACCACCAATAAATACATGCATGAAAAATTAATGCATTTATTCATTGAGGGTATATCTACTAAATTGTGTTTTTGTTTTTTCCCACTAGCCTTTAATCATAATCCAATCTTACTTATAAAACTACACGAATAATATATGCTTGTAAAAGTTATAGTATTTGCGTGTACTTTAATTGCTGATGGTTATTAGCATTGCCTTTTTTTGCATATTATATCAGAAAAGTTACTACCCTTAGTTTATTTTTATCTGTGCAAATATAGTTAACCTAGCTGGCACTGACTTGATCTTCTACAGCCCAAACTCTTGTGTGTAGTACATATGCCTTATCAGAGTTTATGATCCCATAAGTAAAGAGTTAACTATTTTTAGTGTTACTCTTTTCTGGGTAGTGAGAAGATTAACTATGTGGGTTGGTGCAAAGCAACTTGTTTATAGGCCAAAGATAAGGACAGTAAAAATGACATTGAACAAGGGACAATGTCTCAATGTCATAACACAGAGAGTGGCAGACAATGAAGTGTTGGCGGGCTCTACTTATTGATATGAATGTTAATGAATCAACATACACACTACACACATAAGCCAGAAATGGTAGAGAATTCACAAGCGAACTGCAAACTGTACAATAAAATAGCCAATCTGGAAAATAACAAAATTAGATTATTTTTCAATCCAGCTCTTTTGGTCTAAAATTGTAAGCCCCCTTACCATTTTCCCATAGTTTTTAATTTAGTAAATAATACCCACAGTTAATTCAAATCATTTGGCTAGTCTGGCGTAAATGTAGCAAAGTGTTTTTTTTCAAAGTGTTGTTAAGTGAATGAACCCTATAGTGGCTGTGATGTCTAAACAGATTTGCTGAGAAAAGGATTAAAACGCTGTACATTGACTTGGCAATTTAGGGATTAAAGGATTTTACTGGAGGGAACAGGTGCAAAATTGTGTAAATGTAATTCCTACATTTTGGGTGCCGAAAGGCCTAGCTATCCCTCTGTCCAATTACACAAACCATGCTGCCGCAGGCACTGACAAACACAATCAGGCATTAATTCCATTTAGAATTCGGAGGCCATTAAACGTATTAAGGTTAAAATACCTTTTCTGTGAATTTAACGCAATTAACACATCCTTGTGTTTTTCTAACATTTTAGGCAAATTAACATATTAAAAAAAAAAAAAACACTGCAAAGCATAAGCACCATTACTGCCCCAGAGCCAAATGATCATTGCCCAGCATTTATTGATATAATAAAATAAAACTGACTGGGAACATATTTTTAAAGAGTGTTTTTTCTTTTTTTGTGGTTATTATTTTACAGGTATGGCTATATTACAACACTTCTAGGCAGCAAATACAACACCTATCATGCTAGGCAATGGTTAAACTGAAGTGATTTAAAGAACATAAAATAACCTATTATTTAAGTATTATTTAAAATAAACCAGTTTAAACTAGAATTGCATTCAAAATATACAAAACAACCGTTTCCATGCAAACGTGCAAGTATTTTTTTCTGTAAACTTCCTGGTTGAAATATGAGGGTTGGGGGTTGGCCTACCCAACTATGAATGAATATCTGTATTGTGTTAATTGGTTTATCAAGTTCAGATGGTTTTTCCCTATGAGTTCATGTTTGCATAGGTCGTATTACCTAATACTATTTATTACCCAGTGATTTGAATAAATGTTTCAAAGACTCTCCAGTCACTGCGAAAACACTACTGGTGTAAAAGCTAAATACCACAAAATAGTGGAGAGGACTAAAATAATTGGACTATTGTAATTTTATTATTATGAAATTATTATTCCTGACAAAATATAATTTCATAGAAATACAGAATTACATCGAGCCTTCCATTTTACTTCTGCAAAAACAGCACAGTATACCTAGATATTCAAAGACTAAATATTTCAGTTTGGAGGGGTGGGCTACATGACTCCTGCTGTAGAGGTTCCACATTGAGGATGACGTCATTCCATCCTTAGAATACAGAATGCGTCAGATGTTCAGTGACTGTATCCACATTCTAATAACTAATAAACCTGGATTTCCAGCATGTCATTTCTTGCTATGCCCTAGTAATAGCATGCTAAGCTGTTTTGGACTGTGGGTCTTATTATGCTCAGCCAGCTTTTAGGTACAGCTTAGCCTCTCTGCTTTATGGGCACACAGCACAGTTTGTGTGGATGACATAATTCTCAATATTCTGTTTTTCCTCCCTCCCCTCTCTCCTCTCACACAGGCTTTCCCAGGGAATGTGCATGGTTGTCCTCCCTCCTCCCATTCTGCTGTGTAGCATCTGTGGGTAGCAGAGCTTCCCATGCTAAGGAGCAGAGGGATACAGACACAGCAGCAGCAGCCACAGCCCTGGAAGTGTATACAGAGCCCAGGCAGCAGCTCCGCCATAGCCAGGGGCACACAGCATCCCACCCTGCCTGGTTGTAAAGGTGGTCCCCCCCATCCTGCGGCCTCACCCACGTGGGGTGAATGAGGTTAATGCTACTGTGCTGCACCTGGGGCGAAGAGCACATGGGAGAGGAGGAAGGTGAGGGGCCACTGCTTGTTTGTATTGTCTCTTCTGCTGGTTATTAAACCCTTAGTGCGACATACCAGGCACCCCAGGGGTTACATCATCACTATGGTGCTGGGGAAGGGGTGTGTTGACTTGCTAAGGGGCATGGTATGATGCTGTGGTCCATGCAGATGATGTGGTGTTGGATGAGGGTGATAGGGTTTGATGGAGTGGGTGATGGTGCATTGGGCAGATTTGCTGCTGTACATGGAGAAGTGGATTGGGGATATGAGCAATGCAGTCCAACAAGTGCATTAACCCAACGGGTGGCAGATAGGAAGGCTGTACTGCAAAATAGATTAAATGTTTTTTTTTTTTTTTAGCAATGATGGATAGAAATGTTGGTGAAATGAGATGCATTGGTGGGATAATGGAAGATACTTTTTTAGAGTGCTGCTACAGCACAGCCACTGTGAATGGTAATCAGTTAAATTAATTTTCTGTGAAATGGATGGTGATCTGTAAAGTGGGTGTGCAAAAATAGACTGGAGTGTGTGCTGGTGAAGTCATTAAAGGACAAGAAAAGAAAAAGTAGCTAGTAGTTAGCATTCGAAGGACATGGAGATAAACAGTATGAACATAAAATGATAGCACAGAATACCTTTGAAATAAGCAACAGCGGCTCAAAATCTCAAGACTGTATGTAAGCACACTCAAGAGGGACAGCTATGTATATGTCAGACAAACAAAATGAAAATGAAACATAATTACGCACATATAAACAGCACCATGCATCAGTTTGCTAATGCAGATGTATCATCTAAGTGCTATGGGAGAGAGATCCGTGTGCCAAAAACGAGGATACGTAGTCAGCATAATATATGTATTCAGGGCTGGACTGGGGGAAAAAATTCAGCCCGGATGTTTTTTTAATTATAGTGGCCCAGTGATAAGTTATCACCAATGACAAGACCTCCCCATCAAAGTGAGCATGTTGGTCTAGTGCTCTTCCAGGGCAGACAATGTGCAGAGCCCCGCTGAAGAGCTCTCGCATGAGAAAAAAGGCCCTGTAATTGTTCTGCGCAGCACAAGCAAATTTGCTTGTGACTTGTCTCTGATAATTCCATAAATGGGATACCAGAAACAAAATGGCCCGGAAAAGTGTATTGTGCATGTATTTGGAGGCTGCTTATGGGAATGTGTGTGGTGTTTTTTGTGTAAATAGTTTAGTTTCAGTTGTGTTGTGTAATATATGAGACTATGGGCTGTTGAGAGTGAGTATGTGTGTGTATAGGGGGCATGGTGTGTAGAGGGGCTGTAGTATATGCGTTTTGGTGATGCAGTATGTGCAGGGGCTGTAGAGAGTGTGTTTGCATACAGGGAAATCTAGTGTGGGCATTCAGGCTGTGAGGGGTGCAGTGTGTGTTTAAGTGTTGCTGTGTGTGTGTGTGTTAGCGGTACAGTGGGTTTTTGAGGGGTACAGTATATGTGTGTGAGGGGTGCAATGTGTGTATATGGGGTATTGTGTGTGTGAGTGGTGCACTTTGTGTGTGTTAGGGATGTAGTGTATTTGAGGGGTGCAGTGTTTGAGAGTGCTGGGAAGTATAAGGTCTATATTGTGTGTGGGGGTGAAATAGGAGCAAATATGCATTTTTTTCCCCCCATTATTATTTTATTTAAAAAGAAATGATAATAAGCTTTACATCCCACCTCCCTTCTTTTTACCATTACCCAGGAGTGCAGACATTGAAAGCCCTGGTGGTACTGAGTGAATTATGATCTGCAGTTCTTCTGGCTAGAGTTCACTCTTGCGAGATTCATGGCAACACTCCGAGCTAGATCTCTGCAGAGCTGCCGGTTAGACCCCTGGGTCCCCCTTTACTTTCCTCTGCCGCAGTGAAGTACCTATGGGCCAGTGAATGAGATCTCCCCACCGGCCTGTGAAGGCACACAGCAAGGATGGCAGAAGAGATCCTCTAATCTACCCTGTTGGCCACCAGGCCTGTATATATTCTCAGAAATACCCACAGCCCAATGGGGACAGTCTGGAGGAATCAAGAAAAACGCTGCTGTGATTAAAGTGCCAGGAAAACAAACCTGTTTTCCTGACACTATAGGCTCCTGTAGTGCACCCCGTCTGCGGTGCTGAAGGGATTAAAACCCCTTCAGTCACTTACCTGAATCCAGTGCCGATGTCCCTCGGCACTGGGTCAGGCTCCGCCATGCTCCTCCCCTCCAACGTCATCTGGAGGGGGAGACTTAATGTGCTTGCCCGGCAATGGCCGCACTCGCATTAGGATTTCCCCCTAGGAAAGCATTATTCAATGCTTTCCTATGGGGAAAAAAATCTGACGCTGGAGGTCTTCATACAAAGCGTCCTATAACGGACCAAAGGTCTGTTTCGATTCTAAAAGGTCTGGTAGACAGCCACTAGAGGAGGAGTTAATCCTACCAGGTAATCATTGCAGTTTTTCAGAACATGGGACATTGCACCCAGGCCACTTCAATGAAATGAGCTGAAGTGGTCTGGGTGCCTACAGTGTCCCTTTAAGTCAGCTATGTTGGCATTCACATTTCATTTCTGTAGAATTTGGAGTTTGGTGTATAACTGAGAGCATTGCTGGCTTAGTAGTTGCACTCTCTTATAAGCCTTTATCATAATCCATATTTGTATGAATTAAAGGCTGCCATACTCTGCCAGAGAGGTAGGATTGCCAGGGAAATATGCCTCACTTGTCCAATGTTTTACACCTGTCAAATTATGTTGAATAAGAGCTGCAATAGAGGGGTTATGCACTTTCATGATTGTACTGGCTTTGTGCATGTGCATTATTTTCTTCTGTATAAAACTGTTGCTCCATCCTTTATACATCGCTGCCTTTTTTTGCCTCCTTTATAGTGCGCTAAAATAATCTCTCTTCCTCCACTTTTCATTCCCCATTGAATTTTTTCTTTTGCTCCTTTTTTCCCTCTGGATTTTCCCATTAATTACATTGACAAAATATAAAGACAAAAATGTTCTGTTTATTTAGTAAAGGGTTACTCATACCCTTGTTTTGCACATTGTTTGTTTTATTTTTAAACCTGCATGAAAAGAATAAAATCACCTTGAATCCAGCGCCGGGCCAATTTCCCCACGATCATGTCCTGCCTTCTCCATCTTCACGTTGTGTCATCCTCATCCTCTCCGTGGTTCAATCAAATGCTTCTCATAGAAAAGCATTGTTGGATCACTGAACGATACACCACTAAAACATAATTTCCTCCCAATCATTAAGATTTGAGCTGTTTTCAGAGGGTGGTGGAGGTTGGACAAGTGGCTGGCTGGATGGAGGGAGGTTTAACACTGAGCTGTTACTGTGACTGGTTACGTGCAATCCGCACACACACTCCTACAGGCTTCTAGTTACATGGCTCTGCACAGCGCTGGCTGCGAGAGAAGGGGATCAAATCAAGTCTGTCGCCAGTGCCACATTGTGTCCTGACAACTGATGTATTTTTGCACAGATTTCACATTAGTCAGCCTGGTACTGAGTTCTGGGCTGACTAAGTCACATGTGGCCAGGTTGTAATTTCAAGCTAAAACTCTGCTCATCCAGATTGCTTGTACCATGACCACTTGTAAAAGCAGAAGTGATCATGATGGTTGGAGTAACCCTTTTATTAAACAAAAAGGAAGAACGTAAAACTGCTTACCTTTTTCAGACAACCCAATAATCTGACAGTGGTAGAAAAATTTGTCGGAAAGGAAAGTCACTATTCTGCAGTCTTTTATATAAATAAGGAGTGGAAAAAAAATGAGACCCCATAAAAGAACAAAATGGAACTAAAAAAATATATAGAAGAGGCACAGTAAAGATTATGTTTTTGAAAATAAAATAATAAATGGGCACACATGGGAAAAGTGGCAGACAAACAGCATAGAAGTGAATGTGATTCTGTTTATTCATAATGCTTTGAACAGCTCACCAACGTCATATCGCTTGCTGCTAAGGCTTATCTATGGCTAAATAAACTTCAGCCTAAAAAGGCCAGGCTAGCAGCTGACACTTTTTATTGATATATGCTGCAGATACCAGTGAAGTAGGTATTGTATGAATTGTAGCGTATGTCGATGGACATCTTGACTGCTGGTAGATGGGCAGGTTTATTTACTAAAGCGTGTAATGCTGGGAATTTAACGTTAATTCAAAGTGAATTAACTACAAGGATTGTAAAAGTCGATGGACGCAGTGAATGCTGGGGAAGTGTATTTTGATGAATACAGTGAGTGTTGGGGATGTGAGCGCCCACAGCTGCAGTGCATGCTGGGATATGAATCAGACTTTAATATGCACACCTTACATGTAGCTAATGTAACTGCATAAGGTGCTAATAGATACAGTAGGTCTGAATAAAATGAGTGCCAGTAAATCGTATTGTAACACTGGTGGCTGTTAAATGATGCTAATAGATGCAGTGTGTTTTGGCTGAGTAGGTTAGAAGACGCCAGCGACCTGATAATGATTGATGGTGTAGTAGTAGGTAGTGAGAGATCTGGTAAATTATAATAAAGAAAAGAAAGATTGCACAGTCAGTTAAATGCTCTAGTTGGGGAACACTCTCTGGTAACCTGTGACTTAGACGCTAGTTTCACAGCACACTGATCCACATGTGTGATAAATGTTAATCAGTACTGGGAGTGAGGATCCAGTCAAGGTATAAGGACATCATTGAAGTTTTATTCAGTGAATTAAGATCACAGTAGAAATATTTTATGCCATGCACCCAAGATGGAAAATATCTGCCTGATTGTGATACAGATATTTCTCCAATTAATTTGCTTGCTCTAAACTTTGCTACTCTTTTGATATCACAACTCCCAGTATGGCAAGTGATTCTCTGTACTTAAACAATTTTCTGTCACCCAAATGCAAGTGAGTTATGTCCAGCAATATGTAATGTTTGGTTTGTATGTTGCAGGACTCTTTCTTTATATACTACGGGCAGCACTTTACATGTGCTTCTCATTACTATGTTTTAGGAATATCTATCCATAAAAAAAAAACATTCTGGTAGCCCTGTTCTGCAGTCTCTTTTTGATGATGACATACACTTCTCTGTAGGAAAATGTTTCCTTTTGCAGCTTTTCATACACAAATAACTTTAGTTTTTTTTTGTGTGTGTGTATGTGATGTCACTCGCTGCCTATAGCCGTGGCATTCCAACCTTGTTATCTATATAATAACTCCACCATTAGATAACAAATAGTTCAAATGCCAATCCCAAACAGGTTTACAGTGAACTGGACTGACTTCTTGCAGTGAGTCCGCCACCATTTCCAATTCAGAATGCACTCTATGACTGGTGATAAACTGCTGCCTCTCATTTCTGCAATAACACTTATCACTGTATGGTATTCAGTTTTCACTGTTTCATTTCATGTTCATTTACTTTGTCTCCATCACCTTCATTTCACCTTCATTTCTGGGTTGGAAGTTTTTTTAAGTATTACATTTATTCTCATACTTGCACCCCAGACCCTCGCCTGCAGGACTTCCTCAAGCCTTCCCCTTTCCTTAAGGAATTCCCTTCCGCACCATATTTGACTCTCCCCGTCTTTGCAGTCCTTGGAAAAATTCTTAATTTCTTAAATACACAATTCTTTAGAGAACCCTATCAACTCGCCCCTTAACTCCTTATTCCCTACATCCTTCCTCTGTGTAATTGTCCCTCATCCTTTTAGATAGTAAGCATTAAATGAGGACTATAGACTCCCAGACCAGTTCATGTCATTGAAATGGTCAGGGTGAAGTGCACCAGTCGTCTTAATCCTGCACTACAGACAGCCACGAGAGCCACTTCCTGCTCCCTAACAAAGTTTAACTATGGGAAATGATGTTGAATGTCTAAATGCTTTGCGTTGAGTTAAAGGATCACTATAGGGTCAGGAACACAAACATGTATTCCTGACCCTATAGTGTTAAAACCACCATCTAGCCCCCCTGGGCCCCTCATGCCTCTGTAAATATAGTAAAAATATTACTGTATTCAAGCCTGAAGCTGTAACTCTGCATGCTGTTAGACGCAGAAAAACAAGAAGTCTGCTGACATCATCAGAAGTGGTAGCCTGATCCAATCACAATGCTTCTCCATAGAATTGGCTGAGACTGACAATGAGGCAGATCAGTGGCAGAGCCAGCATGATTCAAACACAGCCCTGGCCAATCAGCATCGCCTCACAGAGATGAATTGAATCAATTTATCTCTATGAGGAAAGTTCAGTGTCTGCATGAAGAGGGGGGAGATACTGAATGTTTGGATGCAATTTAGGCAGTCATGACCCAGGAAGGATCTCGACAGCCATCTGAGGAGTGGCCAATGAAGTTATCACTAGGCTGTAATGTAAACTCTGCATTTTCTTCGAAAAGACAGAGTTTACAGCAAAAAGCCTGAAGCTAATGATTCTACTCACCAGAACAAATTCAATAAGCTGTAGTTGTTCTGGTGACTATAGTGTCCCTTTAATGTCTTCCTATTCGGAAGCTTTGCATGCATGGCACTCTTATGCACTCTCATGCGCATTAGGTTGCAAAGAGGTAAGTGAGCAAAGTTTTTTTTTTTTACCTTTTATTCACTGTGGGATGACACAGAAATAACCTTATATGCGGACACTATATAAATAACTGTAATTAATGCAGTTATATCATATCGCAGTACCTTTTTTGTGTTCAAGACTGTTCCAAATAAAATCATAAGCTTTGCAGTATTGAAGTAATTTTTTCCTAATGGTCAGTGAACTTTAGTTATTCATCCAGTTTTTCTGAAGTGTGTATTCTCCAAGATGTCCATTATTTGACCGTGGAATTAAATAGCATGCAGTAATCAGATTCTCAGAGCACCTCTTTCCAGAATAAATATACCTACTCGAAATAGTCTCCCATAATTGAATTCCTCCATTTCCTTGATTAAATACACTGTCCTCTTCTCCGTATCCTTTGCTTTGTATTACATATGAAATTATTTTATTCTTCAAGCCCAATCTATGTGGCATCATAGTGGTTGTCTTCTCCACCTTCATTCAAATTGTGTTTATAACAAGCCACTATGGACCGTCATGTCCAGTCTTTGGAAGCTTAGTGCTTTTGAGTCTCCCATCGGTCCTCTCCACCCTGGCAACCATGCAAAAGGTATAAACGTGCATCTAATGCCTTCTGCCACTGCCCCAGCTGTAGTGTACATTTCCTGTCCCTTGGAGGTCTTTACAGAGAGCTGATGTCCAATAACCCACCTCATCCCAAGGCTCACGTCCTTTTGACTTCGTCCTTTTCAGTGTTGATGATAAATAATATGGCTCATAAAATTTCATTTCTTACATGTATGGTGCAGTGTGCGTTAATAGTTCCATACCTAGTACCTTGGGCATCTGTGGCACATGTAGACCGGTACTAAAATTTCTAAAGACCATGCTGGAGCTCTCTCAAATGATTTACAACTAACCTTCTATCAAAGCCACCTTTTACTTATCACACAGGAGGTTTGTTGTCATATTACAATGCACATTCATGTAATCATATTAGCGTGAAACATCATTTTCTGAAAAAAGCCAAGTCTGTAAATAATTTAGGCTAGCTTGCAAGAGACACAAATAACCATGGAGTCACGAAAAGCATCTGTTTTGTACTCAACCCTGTATGCAAATGAAAAATGTTATGATGGGGATCTTAATCTTAAAGTGACAACATGGGTTGGAAGTTTTTCAATGTATTATATTGTCAATGCTTTAAAATTGTGCAAACAAATTATGTAAATATGTAAAAGAAAAAAAGATTCTTTAAAAGTCCCTGCTGCTTTAAATGTTTCTAATACATGGCAGATACAATACATCCACTGATCGAGAGCCTTTATGGTCTCATTATGAGGGATTTTCTTATCACACCAATGGGCGCTAACACTCATCCCCGAAGAAGTAAAATTCCACCATTGATATCACTGATCTATAGAGAAATATATAGTTGAAGCAATGGTTGCACCTACTTCCTGATCTCACGTGGGGAAAGTATAACGTCCTGATGGAGCTGTCTAAATTGGAATCAGACTTTGAGACATTTTCCACTTCAGCTATTTTTGCCTTAGATTTGAAATGCACTTTGAATTCTTGACGATTCTCTCTTTAGTAAATAACCCGGACGCTGTTTAGGCAAATTAGGCCTATGGTTTAGGAGATTTGCTGGAAATTCAAATACATTGATCAGCCACAACATTAAAACCACCTGCCTAATAATGGGTAGGTCTCCTTCGTGCTGCCAAAATAGCTCTGATGCATTGAGGCATGGACTAAACAAGACCACTGTGGTATCTGGCACCAAGACATTAGCAGCAGATGCTTTAAGTCCTGCAAGTTGCGAGGTGGGGCCTTTTATGGATCGGTTTTAATGTTCCAGCACATCCAACAGATGCTCAATTGGATTAAGATCGGGGGAATTTGGAGGCCAAGGCAACACCCTGAACTCTTTATCAATTACCTCAAACCATTCCTAAACAATTATTGCAATGTGGCATGGCACAATATCCTGCTGGAAGAGGTCACTGTCATCAGGAAACACCATTGCCATGAAGAGGTGTACATGGTCTGCAACAATCTCTAGGTAGGTGGTACATGTCGAAGTAGCATTCACATGACTTCCTGGACTTGAGGTTTTCCAGGAGAGCATTGCCCAGAGCATAAGACTGCCTCTGATGGCCTGCCTTCTTCCCATAGTGCATCCTGCTGCCATCGCTTACCTCGTAAAGAAAATCACATGCACCCAGCTATCAACCTGATCTAAAAGAAAACGTGTTTCGTCAGACCAGGCAACCTTCTTCCATTGCTACATGGTCCAGTTCAGATGCTCACGTCCTCACTGAAGGCACTTACAGTGGTGGACAGGAGTCAGGGTTTTACCTGGGTTGGGAGTCTGTAGCGCAGATATGTTGCTCACCCTTGCAGATAGCCACAGGCCAAGGTGGTCAGGTAAGAATTCACCTGGCCTGTGGGTCTGTGCTCGGGGGCTGTGCAGGATGAAGTACCAAGTCACAGGACAGACAAGGACTCAAACAACAGGATCGTCAAGGGATAGCCGAGGTCAAAGGATGCCAGAGGACAGGAACAACGAGGAGTAGCCGAAGTCAAGGGATGCCAGAGGTCAGAGTAAACGTAGTCAGATGTCGGGGTCAATAAAGTAGCAGATCAAACGACAGGAACACTGGTACGGAACACACAACAGGATCAAAGACTTGATCCTGATCACAGGGCGAGGCTGAGTTTAAATACCCTGCTGATATCTGATCAGGGTCAGGTGAAGCACAGCCATAGTCAAGGTACAGCCCCCAGAGTAATTGACATGCCAGGATGAACAGGACCGGAATGACTTGTAGATAAACAAAGCTGATGTGGCTCAGAGGTAGGAAGCAGGACCACGACTGCGAAGTTCCCCGGTTCAAATCTCCTGTAGGGAACTCCTTGGGCGACCACATCTGGCCATTTGTTTGCTGTGGTGAGAACCATGACATTAAGTAGTTTGAGGTACAGTAGGTCTTCTGTGTGATTGGACCAGTCAGACTAGCCTTCGTTCCCCATATGCATCAAATAGCCTTGGTCACCTATAACCCTGACACCTGTTCACTGGTTGTCCTTACTTGCATTAATTTGGTAGGTACTAACCACTCCATACCGAGAACACCCCACAAGACTTGCTATTTTGGAGACGCTCTGACCCAGTTGTCTAGCCATCACTATTTGACCTTTGTCAAAGTCACTCAGATCTTTTCGCTTGCACATATTTCCTGCTTCCTACACATAACATTCAAGAACTGACTGTTCACTTGCAGTCTACTATATCCCAAAGATTTACAGGTGCTATGGTAAAAATGTAATCAATGTTATTCACTTCATCTATCAGTGGTTTTAATATTGTGGTTGATCAGTGTATATATCTATTTTAATTAAGTGTTCTTGCATAGCAAGACCACTAAATGTTATCTCACATATATATTATTATAGCCAAATTTACCACCCTAACTCCTCCCACAGTTTTTACACTACATAGACCGTAATATACCGAAACGTGCGGATTGTTCCTGATTGGATTGCTATTACTTTGTGGAAAGTTTCGCCGAATGGTTCACGGAATATCGTCGTTCTTGTGGTGAAATTGGTCCCATATGAATGAATGGCAAAATGTTCAAAACTAGAGTGGGAGCTGGCAAAAGCTGAAAAATCAGGACATGATTTCTAAACTGCCACCACTCCCTCATTTTCAATCCCACCTACACAAATCTTATGTCAAAACGTTCAGCTATCCCTGCTGCCACTAAACATGTCAACGGCTAAGCCATAGTCCTGATAGTTTTCACAATATGACCATTTGTTTGCAACTCGCACCGTCCATTGACATTCATTGAAACTCCACACTCGCCAGCCCAAATTTGAAGTGCAATGTCTAAACTGCGACTGTGCCTTCATTGTTAATATGTCAGAGACATACTATGTATCAAAATGTAGTTCTGGGTCTTGTGATTCTCACAATATAAAGCTCTTCGCTGTAGGATTTATACTTTTTAAAATACGACCGTTTGAAGATGGCAACCGCCAAAATACTCTGACCTGTGCCAGGCTGGAGCAGCAAGTGATGTCATAGACAGGGCCTTTTGTACACCTGCTAATGTTTTTATAAATGTATGTTTTAATGTAACTGTGAAGCACTTTGGGCATCAACGTTGCAATTAAATGTGCTATATAAATAAATAATAACAGCTACTCCGCCCACTCCAGTTGTAGACTACTGGTGGAGGCAAGAACACTTCACACAATTTCCCCAGGAATTGTAGCTTTTCTAGTTATTATTATTATTATTCTTATTATAGCAAAATTTGCCACCCTAACTCCTCCCACAGTTTTTACACTACATAGACAAAAATTTACCAAAACGTGCAGATTGTTCCCGATAGGATTGCTATTACTTTGTGGAACGTTTCGCCGAATGGTTCACGGAATATCGTCGTTCTTGTGGCGAAATTTGTCCCATAGGAATGAATGGCAAAGCTAGAGTGGGAGCTGGCAAAAGCTGAAAAATCAGGACATGATTTCTAAACTGCCACCACTCCCTCATTTTCAATCCCACCTACACAAATCTTATGTCAAAACGTTCAGCTATCCCTGCTGCCACTAAACATGTCAACGGCTAAGCCATAGTCCTGATAGTTTTCACAATATGACCATTTGTTTGCAACTCGCACCGTCCATTGACATTCATTGAAACTCCACACTCGCCAGCCCAAATTTGAAGGGCAATTTCTAAACTGCGACTGTGCCTTCATTGTTAATATGTCAGAGACATACTATGCATCAAAATGTAGGTCTTGGTCTTGTGATTCTCACAATATAAAGCTCTTCGGTGTAGGATTTATAGTTTTTAAAATACGACCGTTTGAAGATGGCAACCGCCAAAATACTCTGACCTGTGTCAAGCTGCAGCAGCAAGTGATGTCATAGACAGGGTCTTTTGAACACCTGCTAATGTTTTTATAAATGTATGGTTTAATGTAACTGTGCAACAATGTTGCAATTAAATGTGCTAAATAAAGTATAACAGTTACTCCGCCCACTCCAGTTGTAGACTACTGGTGGAGGCAAGAACACTTCACACAATTTCCCCAGAAATTGTAGCTTTCTAGTTTATTTTATTATAGTGCATATATTTATTTTGTGCTATATCTATAAAATGCTTTACAATAAAAACATCTCCAGGCTGGAATGTTACGAGATCAATACTTAATAACCAGGAGCTTGATTACTTGCATTTCATTTTCACATGTATTATAATGCACTATGTATTCTATGTAACAATGTATATTATTTTCATGTATCTCTTATTGTTATGATGTATTTCATGTTTAATAGTATTTGTAGTCATGGTATATTTGCATGGCTATTCCAACTATAGTTTTTCTCTGCATTTTTCAAATTCTTTAAGTTTAATAGTTGCTGTGTTGTTTTCACACTAGCGGTGTTTGCCTATTGCAATCATGAATGTCTCGGTGAAATCGTGGACAATGCTTGTTTCTCTGCTTGACTCCTCCACACATTTTCTACGTGTATAGCTTATTTGAGAACATAATAATCAGTTTATTAAAACGGGGGATTGTTTTTCCTTTTTGAGCAACAGATTGAACTTGATGGACATCATGGTTTTTCAACATGTGTTACCATGTTGCTATGTTCACCCTACGTTTTCATTATAAACTTTGCCCTTAGCAGAATGTATTGTTTGTTTCCTTCTTATTTATGGAGCCACAAGTGAGGGTTATACAATTCCAATGTGCCGTGTGGCCATGGTGACAGAGAAATGGCATGTGGCATTGAGTATTTGTCTGCTAGTCAGAGAAGGCTGTAACGGACCGTTTTGCACACAAGGGGTAAAAAAACGTTTAGGCGATCGTCCCCTTTTCCAGAGATGCAGGCACAGCTATTGTAACACACCAAACTCACGAACCGCCAATAAGTGAATGCTCCAAACTCCCGAACGGCATCCAATATAGCATTCCAAACACACGAACTGGAACCATACGAATCGCTGCTAGCAGACGAATAGGAAAAGCATCCAAGCGGCTTACACTCCTACCAATCAGTCTCTAGCAGCATTCAGTAAATCCCCCCCAAAGACGAGACAAGGCTCCGTGTTGGGGCTCAAGCAGAGGTCAGACAGAGCTGTAGGTTTATTGTGCTTATGTACACATTCTTACACATTAGTACCACCCACAGGGTTTTGGAACACAACCAATAAACACATACAATACACTCAGACACTCCCACACAAATTCCTCCCCTCTGCTTGTGATTCAATTAACGTACACAATGGGTAATGTAATTTAGCACAAGCAGAGAAATACAATTTTCCCACATTATTCATAACTTGAAAAGTATGCATCACATTCACATAAAACTTACATTTTCAGAATCAGCATACTCCAAATACAAACATACGTCAAAATCATACAAATTCATCCAGTGGTTCAAAAGATAGATCATAGTCCTTTGTGACCACAGGAAGCATGGCTTTTCTGCCCAAAACCAGTTCCACAGAGTCTTCTATCCTGGAGATAATTAGAAGTAATCCAATTATCTCCAAAGACAGAGGCAAAACTACACTGAACACATGGCAGCAAAAAGACAGTAAAATACAATAAAATACACAAGGTTACATTTATGACATAAAATACAGACATGCAACATATGCCCAAATAGCTTAGGTCTGAGCGCACATTATAACTGAATGGCGCTCAGAGCACACACATACAGTTCAATTGCCATGGAGCCAAAGTCTTTCCCATAGTCTTTCATTATACGAATGGGCTCCATGGCATAGCTATCTGGGGGATCACTGCTCAAACAGGGCAAGCACCAAATGACCCGGCTTTCTTGTCTTTGCAGGGGAAAATCAAGCCTTTTAACATGGGGCCATGATCCAAAGGCAACAGGCGAGCAACCAGGCTTCTCCAATGCAATGTGGCGAGATTGCTCTCGTCACAAAGGCCAAAAGATCTCCCCTGATTTAGTCCATTGTCTGCAATGTAATGTGCTGTCTGTGCGTGCTACATAATCAGATACCGCTTCATCACGGCCCATGACGATACATCCTTTTGAGTGTTCTTGTTCACAAATTCACTAGGAGGCACAAGAGAGCCCAGAAGTTGTCTGTGCAACATTAGCAGTGATATATTGTGTTGCCTCATACCAATTCCATGCACATCCTCTTCTCATTTTACCACCACTTGCTCCCATGGCCCCACTTCTTCATAGGCTGCCAGCTACAAATTTTTTGATATTTTATTTCTTTGGGCTCTATTGCAGATACAGCTAATGTTGGTTAAGTTTATTATATGGAGATTTCCGAAAAGTAAATAAAACAACGGAAGCAGCAAGCAGGATATCTAATCTTGGCTTCTCATGCTGGCTGAGCATGTCTAATCTTGGCTTCTCAGATAGGCTGGCTGAGCATCATGGGAACAATCTAATGCTTAACCTACCTATCAGGAGTGCCAGAATTTGCTGAAATGTAATCATTAATCCCAATTACTCGGCTTCAGGGACCAGTTTGCATCTTTCACTGTTTGTTTCTGTTGCATTAACCTTGTATTACTGTTGTCTGGCTCCTAACTTTTTGTACTTGGCTGCTAAATTTGAGAGATCGTCAGGATTCTATAAATACTATCATTCAATGTATGGTACTTGTTCCAATAAATATTCTATATACACTGGCCATAGCAGTCTCATCTTGTGTTATGTAAGATAATTGCACTTATGCTAGAGGATGTATGACAGTGATTCAGTACATTCAGTTCAGACAATGTTCTTTTTAATCTATGCAAATTCATTAATGATTTATAGATCCTTTTTTTTTCTCCTCTCAAATGAAATAAAATATGTCATGTTGCAGACTTTGTATTCCATATTTCTGCTTGAATCAGTGGTGATCTAAATAAATATTTTAGGCACACTCAATCTTTAAATCTGGAATTGATGAAATCTTGTCTTAATATAAAGTACTCCAATAAATTGTGCATGCATCCACATTATTGATTTTCTATTAGCAATTAGTGGGCAGAGGTTTTTAAATCAGAAAAAAAAAATCAGGGTTTTTTTATTCTTCTTTCTTGATATAACAGTCAAAATCAATATATAGTTGTAGTGGAGCTCCAATATTCAGCATAAATATCTCCGCTGTAGACTCCTTGTAGCTGAGGAAGCACTAAGATTTCCAAGGCCCAATCCCACCAGTAACTGGGTGACACACAGTTCTGGGAGTCAACTGATTTTTATCCAGCCACAGCTGGCTTTTAAACAACTCCCCATGCAAGGGGTTTCTTAAATCATATTCCACGGGTTTCCCTCTGGTGGACCTTCTTGGGGACAAGGGACAAATCAACATTTCACAGACTCCTCCTTTGTGCCTGGGAGATAATTGAGTAAGTACAACTCTTGATTTAAATTATCTCCCAGGTACAGAAAATATACAATATTTGAAACCAGCGTTAAACACATTTTAATATTTCAGAATCCCACGAAAATTACTTCACCGAATAGCTGGGATCTGAGCACCCACTTTGTCAAAATCCCACTCAGATCCGTTCAGTGGTTTAGAAATGCCTTTCTAGTGAAGTTTGGACCGGTCAGCCACGAGGTGAAGCCCCAAAACAGTTCCAGAGAAATTTAGGCTTCAACCGGTCGTCTTTCAGGAGTTTTCATACGAACACCGACAAAAGCTCCCCCTGGCTGCTAGCATACACATGTTCCCCTTGTTCGGTAGTTTGGGTCTCGCGAATGCCTTACTCATACTGGTTCGGGAAGTTGAATGGGCAGCTGTATCAGTTTGCCGGGTGTTCGCGGAGCAGAGTAGCCGAAATTAGTTCCAGATCGTCGACGACCATGTACCGCTGCCCATGTTCGAGAGACAAAATGTCTGCCGTTCGCACACGTGCGTACGGTAATATGAACGGCGGCCAAAAAGGGGAAACACTTTCTTTAACAAGCAATTTGAGCTTAGCAGCCAGCGGTGGTCATTGATTAAATGATGCTAACCCAGAGATCACACTGATGGGGTTCGGTACACGAACGGGACAGCCGAACAAAGGGAATGAAAAAGGGTATAACAACATTCACTCTGCTACAATAGTATTCATATCTTACCTCTCTGTTCAAATGACCACAAAACACAAATCACAAGAACTACATTGCTTGTGCTGTGTGAGTCACATGCAGGGATAGATTTTCTGCAAAGAGCTCTCTAGTTTCTAGCCCAGTCTTATATGGATTTAGTGATGTCAAACTTACTAGTGATAGATGTATTTGGTAATTGTGAAGTGCATAGTGTTAGGTTCAGTGGGTCCTGGTGAAGTGGATAGTGATTAGTTCAGTGGGCCCTGGTGAAGTGGATAGTGATAGGTTAATTTGGTCCACTGGGTTCATTGGTTCTTAGTGAAGAGCATAGTGATAGGTTCAGTGGGTCCTGATGAAGTGGATAGTGATTAGTTCAGTTGGTTCTGGTGAAGTGGATAATGATAGGTTAATTGGTGACGTGTATCTTCTTGAAGTGGGTAGTGATTAGTTTAGTTTGTCTTGGTGAAGTAGTTAGTGATAGGTTAATTGGGTCCTAGAGAAGTGCATAGTGATAGGTTCAGTGTGTCCTGGTGAAATGCATGGTGTTAGATTTAGTGGGTCGTGGTGAAGTGGGTAGTGGATAGATATGTTCATTGGTGAAGTGCATAGTGTTAGATTCAGTGGTTTATGGTGAAGTGGTACTTGTCTGTTGGTGAAATGGCTAGTGATAGGTTCATTGAGTCCTGGTGAAAGGCTAAGTGACTCCTGGTGAAATGACTAGTGAGTCAGTGGGTGCGGATGCAGTAGTTATTTGTCTAGTAGGAGTTGATAAATTATGTGTAACAGGTACCTACAATTTTGTGTATGTGGGCATTAATGTGACTGGATACAGCTTTAGCAAAGTGGATGTTGTTCTGAGGTTTTTTTTTAATGGGATTATAGATTTATACTTTGAGTGATGTTTTGATGGCTAAATTATTATTGCTGTGGTGAGATTGCTTTTCCTACTGCCATCACAAGGTTGATGTTTGTGGGTTGTTCTGTGTCTTAGGTGGTACCCTTTAACACGGCTATTTGTGGAAGACTTGGATGATAATTACAGGATTGCATAGTAGGTGCAATGTGTGAAACAGGCTTGATGCTTATGGCAATGCTCTTGTGGGTACAGTCTAAACAATTGGCCATGGTTTATATTATAAAATATTGTATTAAAAAAACGCAGCATCACCTGCGAATAATCACTGACATTCGTTACTGTCCTTTAGTTTAGCAGAAATGTCAGATATCTTTTGAGCTTGCTTTGATCCCCCAAATACCTTGAAATTCAGACATATGATCCCATTGCCCTCTGTCCTTTATTTTTGTAGAAGTGAATGCATGTGGCTTACTTTTTCCTTTCTTACATAACTAATGTTTGATTTAATTTACATTTATAAAGAGATACGTTGCAGATGCTCTTGCAGGGATCTCCCCGCGCACGCACATATATATTTAACTTTGCATGTTCAGTAATAGAATTAAATAAAGGAATACTCCAAGCGCCATAACCACTGAAGTGCCCTGTAGTGATTAAGTTGCCAGCAGTGCAATGGAACCCTCCCCAATAAGTAGACAAACTGTTTGAGAACAGTTATGGGGTCTTTCGCTGAGCACATTGAATTTTAGTGAATTGAAAACTAAATTTCAGATTTAGCCATGTTGTGATGATAGAGAATTTGGAGAATTTAACCAAATCACAATTTTTTGCCTAAATATTGCAATTTGGTTTTTAATTGAATGCAACGCACGGTTTTGTAAATAAACCACATACTTTGCTATTATGCTCTGAGTTTATTTTGGTAATTGAATTGCTGGACCCAAACGTACACATGTGCACAATTTACCATACATATATGACTGTAAACTGTGGCAAAAAAAAAAAGGAAATTAGGTCCAAAGCAGGCAAAGATGAAGAAAAAAATATATAAACTGGAGAATTTTTCCAACTTTCTTAGCTTAAACTTTGCAGTTGTTATTTTATTCATTATAATTCAATGTATTGTGAATAAATGCTCCTACAGCACAGAAGTGTTATATCATAATTCTGTTACTATATAGGCGTCATACTTTTGATCGATACTGGGGGTTTTTAAACCATTTTGCTGCTGATTAAATTCAATGGTTTATTTGCTAGTGCATTGTGTAATTTATACCTATTGATTTATATTCTGATATATTTTCGATACAAATATTACTTCTGTATTGTAAGCTTGTTTGTCCTCTTCAGCCTATTGTCCCTGTAACAGTTTGTAATTGTCTCATTTATTGTTAAGTGTCCTCCTTTGATATCATTGTACAATGCTGCGGAATATGTTGGCGCTGTATAAATGACGATAATAATAAGAAACAGAAGTTATACTTATGCCAGACCTGAACGGTCAGAGGACTTAATAAAGACATCTGGACCATCCATCAACATCAAAAGTTAGCCTTTTGCCAAATCCGGTGCTTTAATATCTGTACTTCTGAGTCAGCAGACAAAGAAAGCTTTATTTCCAGCTAAGCAATTACACAAAGAGAGGCTGCAGGCTACTTACAGACCTTCTGTCATATGCCAGTAGTTCATTGTGAGCATCATTAAACAAGCTGGCTTGTGGCCATGGTGCACCCTGCTCTGCCCACTGCACTGGCCTAGCTTGGGACAGTATTGTTTGTGACATTTTGGTAGCAAATTCTTTCCACGTTCACCTGAAAAGCCGAGTTCCAAATAAGTAGCGACCTAGCCTGGCAGAGTTTGGGACTTGTCGTAGTTATAGGGACACTCCAATCTGATGTAGATCATCCCAATACATTTTATAACAAATGAATACAAATATAAAATGTAAAAATAAAAAAGTATTCTGGCCTCTAATGTTCCGGTGTTTTGACAATTTTGTGCAAGGCAGTAGATACTACATTCTTCCTTCTTTTAATTTGCCTATAGCTTCATTTGTCGTTTTTTTAATGAATTAAAAGGAATCTATAGCGTTAACAACACAAAGTTGTATTCCTAACACTATAGTGCCGTGACTCCCCTACACCCTTGTGCCTATCCCCTGGAGGCACATAAAGGGTTAAAGCCCCCCCCCCCCTTTTTACTCACTCAATTCCAGTGCCGATGTCCTTTGGCACTGGGTCAGCACTCCGCCTCCTCCGAATTTATCCAATGGAGCAGACCTAATGTGCGGCAGGTGCATTAGGTGCGCCCCATAGAAAAGCATGGTATCAGTGCTCTACTATGGGGATTTCACTCAAGCTGCATGTCGTCAATATGGAGATTTCACTCAAGATGCAAGTTGTCATGCAGATCGTGAGGACGTCCAGCGTTATTTAATGGACTCAGAGTCCAATAAACTCCAAGAAGCACCTCTAGTGGCTGTCTGGTAGTTTCTCAAAAACGGCAGTGTTTTACATTGCAGCACTAAGGGGGACAGGGACACTACACCCAGACCACTTCATCTCAATGAAGTGGTCTGGGTGCCTATAATTTTATTTTCAAGCTGTGTTCAGAATCCAAGGAAGACTTTTACAGGCGCTTAGCATTATACAGATAATCAGACAACGTCGGCAGCTGTACTGTTGCAGTAAAAGAAAATGCTGCACACTGGAAGGAAGACTGGTAGGCAGATGTAGAATTTATTATTTGTAATAAAAACAGAAAATATACACACCCCACAGGATCAACAAAAACAGTTATTTGTACTTATATCACTATTTTGCACGGATTTTGCCTGAAGCATCCATCCTGCAATTTGCAGGGAAAATCCTCTTGATACGAAACATACTTCAAATGAGCTAATTTGTTTTTCATTTGCTATAGAAAGCTTGCTTTGGTGAAATCTTCTGTATCGGGAAGAAACCGCTTAATTTTTATAAAATTATAATTTATAAACTTTCTGGAACATTATAGCTTTCAACATTGGTAAGAATGGGTGACAGGTTAGACTGGTTATATGTGAAGTAAATGTACATAAAATCTCAATTACAGAGCCCCCCTCAGCGGCCTAAATGTATCAATTTATAACATTCAAAATCTCTTTTGTTTACTAATATGACTACATATTTTCTGTCTACTATTCTTCCAGGAAATGAGCTGCCATTGTGTACCAGTTGTGGACAGCATATTTATGATGGACGCTATCTGCAGGCATTGGCATCTGATTGGCACACTGACTGCTTTAGGTAGGTGTATCTTTTATAACAAGAAATCTCAGGATGGAAAATAACGAGCATCAAAGTATTTATTTATTTTTTGTACGGGGGAATAAGCATTGATAATTTCAATAAGGATGCTTGCTCTCGGGCCGTTTGTGCCAATAAGTTTGCTTGAGTGTGTAAAATGTCATGGAGTGTGGTGACACACCATGACACACAAATTTAACTAGATTGTGACAAGGGACATGTGGCTTTTTGTTTCAGACTGCCACGCTTTTGATATGTTAATGACCTGAACTAATTCATCACATCAAGTGATGTCACAAGACAGAGTTTAAATAGACCTGCATGCATTCTCTCTCTTACTCCAACTGCATGTGATCAATGAAAGGCCTGGGTGAATAATAGTCTTGTTGTAGGTGATATCTACGTGGGCTCTGTTTGCTTATATGTGGTGGGTTTGAGCCATTTAATGTTATGTTGCTGTGTTTGTGTGGAAATAAATATTTGTTAAAGTTCCCAGGAATAAAGTTTAAAAGAATAAAGTTCATGCTTTATTTAAAAAAATTTTTTTTCAACTTTGACCTGAGGGGACTAGGATAGGCTGGGTTATTTGAACCAAAAGCAGTGTTTTGATTGGACTAACGCTTGAAATCTGTCACCATCTTTACATATTTTTCAAGGACCCCCCATGGTGACTGCTCCTCTGGGTGTCTAGTAGCTACAGGGGAAAGGTAGTTTAACTTACCCAAACTTGGTCATCTTGCCGGTCCTCTTCAGCTCTTTGCGTTTCATCTGTCAGGAGTCTACATCAGTATAATCTCACTCATGCAGTAGTCCCTACTTTGTCTCAGTATGTCTTTTGATTTCAGTGAAATTCCAACACAGTTAGTGTAAGTATTTCATAAAGATTGTTTTTTGTTTTTGTTTTTACTTTTAAAATACAAATTTTTGAGGGGGGAGGGGGTGACAGAGCCTCTTTAGTTCTTTAACATTCATTATAATATTTGATTACATCTTTTTATTTTGCATTAAAGAACTGCAATGACCTTACAGGTTTAAAAGGACAGGTCTACTACACCCAAAGCACTTCATTGTGATTTATGTGGTCTGGGTGACTTAAATGTCCTTTAAAGGGGCACTATAACCACGACAGCCAGTTGTAGTAGTTATGGTGCCAGCATGCATCTAGCTCTCTTTTCCAGTTTTATGCCGAACTGTTTAACAAATTACTCAGATGCGGTGAGCAGGACCAGGAGCATGCAGACAGTATAACCACTAAAGCTCACTGTGGTAGTTAAGGTGCTTAGAGTTGCCCTTTAATTCTAACTTATCTAAAGTAAAAAGTAAAAATGTTTTATGTTTAACTGTTTTGAGCTGTGAGATTTTATTTCTATAATGAAACACAATAAAAGGTTAGAAAGCCCAGACTCGCTTGTTTGCTCTATGAAATATCACCAGAATCCTTGGCCAAGGATTCAATTACTGATGAATGTAAAGATGAAAAAGCACTTAGACAAATGAAAGAGGCTGCAGGTTTTCAATCTGTAAACAAGTGAAGGTCACAGTTGCCAAAACATCGTGACCAGCACAGATTGCATACAATCTCACAATGCAGGTCTGGGTTATAGCCAGTGGAGAATTATGTGTTTTCTCAAGCTTTATTGTGAAAATAGTGACAAACGTAACTTTCTCAAGTGATGTTCTCAGTGAGTTATGTAAGTTAGTGCTGCTATCTCTTTTGCTCTCTTATCTTATCTTTTCTTGGTTTTTGTGCTTTGAAAAGGAACAGCTATTTTTCTTAAACAGTATGGCGGTTGTGTTTTTTTTCTTTTTCAAAGATAATGCTGCTGATAATGTTGGAATGATGCAGGTATTGTTGAAGGGGCATTTTAGTAACCATAACCACTGCAGCTTATTGAGAGGAATCTTTGGTGCTTTCTCCTTTTTTTTTTTTCTCTCTCAAACCCACTACCGTTACGTTATGTAGAAGTGCAAGGTGAAAGTGGAACTTCATACCTTATTTTAACCTATTTTTACATCATGTACTACAATGCAGAATAGTGTCCTATGTACTTCCTCTCAGAAACAACATTTGTTCTGTAGAGCAACTGGGTTTAAACATAGCAAGTTCTTGTCGTTTAAATTTTAACGCTTCTATTTTACGTACTTGTGATGCCTCAAGGTATGATTTATTTTGGATAATGACGCCTTTCTCTGGTTCCAAGGTTTATCCTTATTTATTGGTGTTTCTTCTTAGAATATGATATAAGAACACTTATTTAGAACAAAGCATTTGCTATAACTGCTTTGCCCAATGGATCTTAACATTTTTTATGAGAAATCCACATAATGTACATGGCTTTAGCCTGGTGACCCATTCCTTAAATAAATACCTCCTAATATCCATTGTACTGGCCTATTCTGGGCAATTGCCTAGGGCCTTGAGTATATGCTGGTTCAAACAAGTGTTTACCCACTAAAATAACATGGACCCCACATGATGTGGAATCTCATGACCCAATAGTTAAAGTAGCATGGCCTTGGACTCTTCTCACCCGCTGCGGTGACGTTAGCGAGGTCCACCCCGCTCCTGCTATGATGATCACTGGTTTAACCTGCTTGAGGACACTTCCCTAAGCAGGGCAAGCCTCCTCAGTGACGCTGACACGCCACTCCATTCATATACCCCCTAGCAGCGCCGACTACGGGGTTGCCATAGAAACCAGTATGGTGAGTGTCTGCTGAGGAATTGAAAAACAAATGGGAGAATAAACTTATTTTAATTAGGTTTTTGTCAGAATCTATGCATTTGCTAGCAAAATGTATAGATGGAATTATCTGCTTTTTTTAAAGAGCTAAAATAGTTTTGGGCACTACAGGTCCCCTTTAAGTGCAACTAACAAAGCTTGTAATTGTTTAAATCAATGCCTTGCAACCCCCATGCATGATTAGCTGATAACCAGATGTCAGCAGCTGTGATAGCAAACAGGTATCACTTGTAGAGAATCACAGGCTCTTACTTCAATGTCAGCCAGCCACAGGGCATGTCTCTCTAAAAGCCCACCTGTTGGAGTCTTCATGAGCTTTCTTTTACTTGAGCTCGACTGGAACTCTTGGAGATAAGACAGCAAAGGAAAAAGGTACAAAACACACACTGTATGACATACATCTTTAAGGAGGGTAGAAATACAAGGATGGAGTGCTTCTGCCCAGCATTTATACCTTGAAATATTCAAAAAACTATCTCCCTTCTTTCCAGCATATGCTAGCAGTTGCCAATCCCCTTTCCTTGTTGGTCCAGGGGTTTACTTTCAACTCAGTTTGTTAAAGTGCCCTACCTCTTCGTAAATATGCATACCCTGAAGACCAGGATGGAATTATTGGGTATTCCTACAAATTTCCATGTTGATCAGAAATCTTACTGAGCTGCTGGTTAACTTACCTGTGCTAAAGTTAGGAGATCATGATATCGTGGCATATCTTGGTAGTTGTAAAAGACAGGGTAGGATAATGCTTCTCTAGTGGGACACCCAGTGGGTGTAAGCTATGGTCGAGGTATATTTCTATCCTAATGCATTCACTGGAGTGTTTATAGTTACTTCCCATGTACTTTATAACTAGTTTTGCCTGTTTCTACATGGACCTGTAGAGAAGAACACAGCCTTTTCTATATTTAACGTGTAATACATTTGATGGAACCCTCAGTGGTTACTGTTTAAGGCAAGACAAGACAAAGACAAATTGCACCTTTTTTGGATTCCTGAAGCCAATGTCATGAAAATGTTCAAAGCCATCACTCCATACCACATACACAAGGACTTTTGATGTTTGTTTCCATGATGATGGTGATTGTTTTGGAAGTTTGTCCCAATTTCCAATAAGCAAAAAGTTTGTCCCCTCCCAAAAAATGACACTTTTATGTACAGATTAAAATTAATTTGAATATCATTTTTTAGAGAGACAGTAGTAATATTTGAACTTACATTCACTCAGAATGCATATTCAGAGATAATGCTATAATTATAATATATATTTTCTGATTTTCTTTGAATATTCATACAATCTGTAAATATATGTAATAAAATGTACTTTATATTTCTTTATGAAAAACATATTATAGCAGATTAGGTGCTTACTTTTGAACGTTACCATCCGTTTTCATGGAAAAATAAGCAAATATATTTTTATCTACCATGGTTTTTTTTAACCTCAAAGAGTGTAGTTATTCAGAGACTAGAAAATATGTATGTGGTTTTAACAAAAATAGACTAAAAAGTAAATAAAATTAAAAACAGAACCAAAACCTGAACCTAAGCGAAAAGGGGAAGTTATGAAACAAAACGTAAAAACAAAAAAACAACACAGTTGGTTGATCTATAAAAATAGTTGTGTAGTTAGGATTGGTAGACCATTAGATACCGTCATATGTTCCTGCTAATTGCTCATCTTTTCTAATTTTAGTTTGGATATTCTTTCTTTCTTTCCTTCTCTGGAAATTACACCATTGAATTACACGTTGAAAATGACCAGTATAGTGTGTTAACTTTTTTTTTTCATGTAACGCTTTATTTTCTTTTAAAGAACCACTATAGGCACCCAGACCACTTCAGCTCAATTAAGTGGTCTGGGTGCCAGGTCCCCCTAGTTTCAAACCTGCAGCTGAAAACATAGCAGTTTCAGAGAAACTGCAATGTATCACTGAGGGCTAATCCAGCCTCTAGTGGCTGTCTCACTGACAACCGCTAGAGGCATTTCCGTGAGAAAATCACAGTGAGAAGACGCTGGATGTCCATAAGAAAGCATTGAGTAATAATTTCATATGGGCGGTTTGAATGTGCATGCGGCTCTTGCCGCGCATGTGCATTTGGATCTGAATTTGGCAGGAGTCTGGCGCTGGAGAAAGGTAAGTGGCTGAAGGGGTTTTAACCCCTTCACCCAGCGGTAGGGGGCCCCTGAGGTTGCGGGGGACCTAATGACCTTATAGTGCCAGGAAAACGAGTTTGTTTTTCTGGCACTATAATGCTCCTTTAAATATTAATTTAAACATTCAGCAAATTATGTCACAATCCAGTTCACTATGCACAGCTAGGGCACACATCACAAATGAGAAGGAGTAGAAACATTGTTTAGATTCTCTGCTCTCTGTATGTTTTTTCTATGCTGACTGCCAGATGTAAATGTCATAATTTATAACAAAAACTGACAGGGAGCTAATATGGAGGCGCCCAGCTGCAGAATAAACAGGACTGGATTTCTACATTTAAGTTATATACATATTTGATAAACTGGAATAAATAAACATAATATTAAAAATCACGGTGATCATAAGCTTTTCTTGTTATTTTGAGTGTCATTGTAAGTATTTATACAGAAAGGTGAAGCCAAACAAATCAGGAAAACTGTATTCTGGTTTGATAAATTGAGACGACAGTTTATATATAATTTTGAGAAAAGAGTCGTCCACCGATTTTGAGTATCAAAGGAAGAGTAATAAAAGGCTGTTTGAATAAACTGAGAAATGTTATCACAGTGTGCTGTCTGTAAAAGTGAAACAAGCTGTGTGAAGCTGGTTATCATGATGACTGTATGGGGGGTGGGGAGGTGGGATGATAGTCTGTTCTGGTAAAGCAGCAATGTGTACAAAACTTCCTGTTCTTCTATATTACTAATGGAAGGGGGAGACTGGATACAGGACATAGGCAGAGAGGTCAGACATCTGTGAGAACAGACTCTGTTAAGAAATGGAGCAGAAGGAGCTGACAGAAAGAACCCAGTAAGTAGACAAGTACAAGTTTTAAGATACTTTCTGCCCTATTACTAGTTTTGGTTAGGCTGCACTCGGAGTGCAGATGTGTATTTACTATGGCTATGTTAATAATACATGCTTCTTTGTGTTAATAAAACAGTTTGACTTGTACAAATATCCAGCATGGAATGTTCCCATTGTCTCCCAATGGGATGTAACATGGCTGATATCAAATGGTTCATTTGTAGATCTGTTTCTTTTAGATCTCAAAAAAAAGTTTTAAAAATAATTACCTAATTACCTTAAATAATTAATAATTTGCATCATTCAAGCATGCCAATTGATTGAATTTGTATGTTGACATGACCAATGATGGTTTCATTCATGTTTAACAAAAAAATAAATAAGGACTATGGGTGAGCATCGGTGCACAGAGTGCTAGGTGGGGATAGAGATATATATATATATATATATATATATATATATATATATATATATATATATAAACATGATATCACAGGACTTACATTATTAGCTTTTAAAGCTTAGTAGAAGTTCCGCTAATTGCTACTGCTGCATTCATTTAGCCCTTTTCCATTAATGAAATGTATATCGGGAGAGAAACTGAAAAGAAAGCGCATCCTTTTGTCTTCCCAGCTCCATTCCCGACATATCACCATACGTAAAATGGACTGCAATGTAACTCCCACCAATCCTGGCCAGACTTGGACTTGTATGTCCTGGTGCTGCCTTAAAGGACCAGTATAGGCACCCAGACCACTTCAGCTTAATGAAGTGGTCTGGGTGCCAGGTCCAGCTAGGTTTAACCATTTTTGCAGTAAACATAGCAGTTTCAGAGAAACTGCTGTGTTTACCTATGGGTTAATCCAGCCTCTAGTGGCTGTCTCATTGACAGCCGCTAGAGGCGCTTCCCCGCTTCTCACTGTGATTTTCACAGTGAGAAGACGCCAGCGTCCATAGGAAAGCATTGAGAATGCTTTCCTATGAGACTGGCTGAATGCGCGCGCGGCTCTTGCCGCGCATGCCCATTCAGCCGATGACGGAAGAAGAGGGAGGAGAGTCCCAGCGCCGAGGAAGCCCAGCCCTGGAAAAGAGGTAAGGGATTAACTTCCTCCCCCCTAAGCACCACGGGAGTGGGACCCTGAGGGTGGGGGAAAATGAGTATGTTTTCCTGGCATTATAGTGGTCCTTTAAGATTTAAGAAACTTTAACTCCTTTCCCTAACCTTTAAAATATTAATAGTAATATAGGTAAGGGTGAAGAATGTGTTGGGGGAAAATAATACCATCTTCGGGTTCTGGAGACAATAATAAACTACTCAACCTCTAGTCTTGGGGGTTATGATGATGTCTCCAGAACCCCTGTAATAAGTAGTGTGGAATAAAATTATTGGAGTTTATTGTAATACCTATATTATTGGACTAATAGAAAAAGCAAGAGAATGAGTGAGATAGTGTGTGCGTGAATGCATGTGTGTCTGTGTGTCTATCTAGAAACCCTCATCATTACCTGTTTTATGTTCATTATTATTATTTTATTATTTATAGAGCACCAGCAAATTCCATAGCGCTGTAGAATGGGTGGACTAACAGACATGTAATATTAACCAGACTAATGGACACACAGGAACAGAGGGGTTGAGTACCCTGCTCAATGAGCTGACATGCTAGAGGGAGCGGGGTATTGTGACACAAAGGGTATAAGTAGGGGTAATGAAATAGGTTCCTAGAAAAGTATTCACTGAGAACCTATTTTTGACAGTTGCAGGAGAGGAGTCATGGGGAGGAGGGAATGAAAACCTACTAACAGTTTAAATGATATGCTATCCTGTAGAAGTATGTTTTCAAATATTTTTTGAAGGAGTGGAGACTGGGTGAAAGTCTAACGGAGAAGGGAAGGGAGTTCCATAGAAAAGGTGCAGAAGTTTTGGAGGCGAGAATCAGATGTTGGAGTTCATCTTAGATATGTTAAAAACAATGTTGAAGAGGACACCTAACCCAAACCTAATAAATGAAATGTTTTGGGATTTTTTAACACTTATTGTGTTTTTCTTAATAACATTATTAATGATAATTAATTTTGCACCATAAGCTTTTGTTCTACGATAGTATAGGTACCCGGGCTGCCATTACATATAGCTCATAAACAACCCGGAGTAGTGCTGGTCAAATTGGTTGTGCATATATTTACTTGCGCAAGCTTCCTGTGACACCATTCGTGGTGGTCAACAAATGCAGAATACTGAATTTAGCGTCATCATGAAATCATGTTTCTCTATTTAGTTTTCTCCAAATCTGGCAACTCTCCATTCAAATTAAGCCTAAATTGCATTAATGGTGTACTCAATTAAAATGGAATGCCTGTCTCTTTGTCCCAATCGAGAAGTAATTCTAAATGAATGTATAATAGTTACCATAGATTTTATGATAATATTTATATACATATCCTGTATATGCAGTAGCTAATCTAGCGGTGGAAGATAGATTGCAACGTACACACATAACATCCAGCTACATATTATTTATATGGATATAATAATACATCTTGTAGTATTCGTATACTATGTTAGCATATGGGTTACATGGTTTAAAGGATACAGAAAGATGATTCATAGCAGAATTTCATAATAACTCAGCAACCCTAGGTGTGGCGTGATTGATCATTATCTCATGACGTGAAAGAAGACAAAAAGGAAGTGCATGTAATAGTGATATGTGATCACTGACCACCACTGACCACCAGTGGAAGTTCTATGCAAGATATTAAAGGGACGCTATAGTCACCAAAACTACTTCAGTTCAAGGAAGCAGTTTTGGTGAATACATCATGTCCCTGCAGTCTCAATGCTCAATTCTTTGCCACTTAGACAGTTTGGTAGTTTCTTTATAGGAGGATGTCTATAATTAATGCATACCTCCCGAGTGACTCTATTTAGGTGGTACAGTCCCTATTTTGGGCCCAAATCCATCTGTCCTTCTTTTCGATCTAAATGTCCCTCTTTTCTAGGTGCTCCATGGTGTCGGCGTGTGTATAACAGAGCTCCACAGCAGTAATTCTTACAGTGCAGTAATGTGTCTTTAGACTATGATAAATGTGTTTAGAAATCAGTCTGTGTAAATAAGATAACATTGTTGTTTTAAGTTACATTTTAGTTGCATAATTTGTTATTAGTATGTCATCTAAAATTTCTGAGAACAGCTCCACCCCTGGCCACACACCTTAAGTTAAGGTGTCCCTCTTGGTCCATTTGGAATGTTGGGAGGTGTGTTAACGTATATTGTATATGTCCTAGAGCGCTGGCTCTTAACCCCTGGATTGCGACACATTCCTTTTTGGTGGATACTCAATGCTTGAAAACGACAGAAGTTAATAGGCCCCAGATTACTGGCCACAAAAAAAATGTTTAGTGTAGCTGCACTGCCTTCTCAGTGCAATGGAACCTCTGAAACTGGGAAGAGTCTAATGAAGGTGTTTTACATAAAGACTTTGTATTAAGATTTATATTATATTCAATTAAAGAATAACAGCAGTTGCTAAAGTTTTTTTCAAGACAGATACAATGGGATATTTTCCAGACATTTAAAATGGTGGCTTGTTTGATATCTTCATATTTGCAGAGCTTCGTGGGTAAAAGTCTGCTATACCACTTCCTTTTGATAATTTGGGAAGGGAAGTCCTGTCAGTAGACCAAAGATAGGTGGTGTAGTCTTCTGGACTGAACTATGACTCAGGTAGAATTATGGTTTTCAAGATAAATGGTTATAGATTTAGCATGAGTAGTTTTATGTTCCAGTGACACTACAGGCTGTAGAAAAAACAACAATCATTTTTATTAAAAAATAAATAAAATAAAAAGTATGTATGAAACTGTGGAAGATAATAGAAGCTGATCCAAATAGGTTTATTCATGGCTTGCATTCCCTCATTTTGGTCTTCAGCCTGAGACGTCATATATCTGGCAATGCTAGAAGGAAGCCCACCCAGCCATTCAGAATTTTATATTAAATACCGGTATATATACACTCAATATATATAATAGATAATTAATAATAATGTATCATTTCAGAAAAAATAGAATTTAAAAAATGACATAAAACATTGTCCTGATCTCTTGTTAGTGTCCCTTTAAAAGTCAGCTATCTTTTTCTATCATAATGAAAGGAACAAAATAGCTTTGTGAATTCTGCAGAATGTTGTGTTTACTGAGATGAATTTCAGACTTGCATGTATATACTGCATCCCCATAGCGATATAACCAGCATAACATTTGCTGCTCAATCAGTTTTCTTACCAGGGGATCTAAACTGGATTAGCTTGATTAGGAGTGGCTATTTTCAATGTAGTAGTAGAGGAATGGGAAAAGATGGGATAGAGCATGGGAACATTAATGTGCCCAGAGACGGAAGTGAAGTCCCCTGAGACACAATCACAGCCTGTTTGTATAAGCAGAATCAAGTCTAGAGTGCTGCCACTTGTGATTACAGTGCTGACTATGCATGCGTGATTCTAGATATGCTTGAAGGGAAAGCTCCAAAGAGAGGTACTGAAATAAGACAGTACAGGACGAGGAGGGAGGGTATGAAAGAGGGGGGATGCTTTATATTGTTTTGGTACACTCTTAATTGTAACAATTAAATGGCCTTGACTGTTGTAACTGTCATCATTTCTTTCTTTTTTTATTAATTCAAATGTGATTTACAGAAGTGGATATGTTAATTAAAGGGACACTCCAGTCCCCTAAAGCAGGGCTTGACAAATTTGCTTGAAATCTAGGGGCCAGCTAAAAAAGATAGGACCCAGATTTTCAACGTAAAAAAATATAATTCTTAAAGGGACACTATAGTCACCAGAACCACTACAGCTTAATGTAGTTGTTCTGAAGTCTATATACTGTCCCTGCACGCTTTTCAATGTAAACACTGACCTTTTAGACTAAAGGCAGGGTTTACATTGCGGTCTGGTAACACCTCTAATGACAGACACTCAGACGGCCTATAGAAGTGCTTCCTGGGTCAGTGCTGCACCTACGTTAATGCTCCTCTTAGGGATGCATTGATTCAATGCATCTCTATGAGAAGTTGATTGGGCAGCATGGCATTTTGCCGCGCATGCGCAATTGTCTTCCTATGTTTTATATAGGGAAGAATTGGATTGGCTGAGATCATCAAGATTGATGATCTCATCCATGGAGGTGGGCCTGTTGCGGTGTCACCAGTACAGCGTGGGGAAAAGGGTGAGTAAAAACACCATTCCCATGTAATTGTAGGGGGCAGGTCACCAAAACGCACACACTCACTGACAAACACACACACTGACACACATCTCTCTGCTCTGTTCCCTAGAGCGCTGTTTAATGATGCGGGGCTGGAATTACGTCATATTCCAACTCCCGGCATCACTGGAGGGTTCGCAAGGGAGCAGTGCAGGGAGATTACAGCTCCCTTGCTGCCGCCTCCTCCCTCATTCAGCCTCCCACCTTCCTCCCTAAGCTTTCAATGAGCCAACCGTCCGCCAGCCTGCCAGAACTGGTGCTTGGGATTTGTCCAGCCCTGCCCTAAAAGCAGTTCAGCTTCCTCTTTTTTTTTTACATTTTATAAAGGTGGATATATCAATAGAAATTTTCACTTTTGTAAAATAACCTTGTTACACTACACCAGTTTTCAGTCAGTCAGCCGGTCCTGTTACTTCCTGGTTGGTTAGCTAAGTGGAGCTAAACTCAATAGGCACCAATAAACACCTGCCTTGCAAAAACCTCTCATTGAGCTGCTTTGGAAAGTCTGTGATTGGACAGCCAAAGAAACTCTGGGCGGGATTATTAGAAGAGGGCTTGCAAAAGCTGCAGACAAGAGATCTGCTATATTTGCATGCTGTTTTTTGGTATACCCCCCAATAACAAAAAATGCATAATGAAACAAATGCATGTTTTGATCGGGGGTATATCTGCTAAAGAGTGATTTATTGTATTTGAGCACTAGAGTGTACCTTCAAGGCTGGAGTAACATTACGCATTATGTGCTATATTCACACCCACTCATCTGGTCTTCCTTCTACCTCCCTTTTTCCATATTGTAACGAAGAATTCAAATACAAGCACAATACAATGGTTTAAAAGGGAATTTGATAATGGAATGCCAAATCTTAGACTGAAATACTGGGAACCTGACTGATACAGAGAATTGTTAAAATGTGGCCTAAAACGTTCAATTAATTTATTGATTAGCCACAGATCCCACGTACATGAACACATTATAGATTGTCCCGTTTTACCTAGGGTTTTATAAATGTGAGTTTGGATTTAAAAAATACAAAAAGCTTGAATTGAATAAATGAAATTGATTAATTATTTGTAGTTTTCCTTTAAGCTCTTCAAAATAGCTAATTTCTCTCAAAGCAATTTTTCAACTCTGTAATATTTTTGTAAAACCTGTAGTTCCCTTCACCGGTTTCTGTAGTTCCAGTTTCAGTAATTAGATTGATTTTGCAGTGCTCCTTTCCACCCCCTACTAAAAACATTCTGCTGTTTTATCACAAGGTCACTTCTAGATCTAAAATGCTGTCCTGTATCAAACAATATTGATGTTGTATAAAGCACTTTTTTCCTGCAGTCAGCAAAAGTCCAGAGAGCTTTTTTCCTTTGGCCCTCTCCTGTTTGCTGCTTCCTATGTGTGTCTTTGATCTCCATGCTGTGGGTTTAACTGACTATCTGCAGTCCGGCAGCCTTGAGTAAGTTTTCAGAATGATGACCTGCTGCGGACCTCTGACTAAGTATGTGACTCGTTTCACTCACATGTAGAATAATAGAATACATTTTAGTTCTGGATGCTCTGGACCATTCTGCTTACTCACAGGTTAAAGGACCACTCCAGGCACCCAGACCACTTCAGCTTAATGAAGTGGTCTGGCTGCCAGGTCCAGCTAGGGTTAACTCATTTTTTTAATAAACATAGCAGTTTCAGAGAAACTGCTATGTTTATAAATGGGTTAAGCCTTCCCCCAAAGCCTCTAGCGGCTGTCTCATTGACAGCCGCTAGAGGCGCTTGCGTGATTCTCACTAAGAAAAATCAGTGAGAGCATGCAAGCGTCCATAGGAAAGCATTGATAATGCTTTCCTATGCGACCGGCTGAATTGCGCGCGCAGCTCTTGCTGCGCGTGCGCATTCAGCCAACGGGGAGGAACGGAGGAGGATCGGAAAAGGAGAGCTCCCCGCCTAGCGCTGGAAAAAGGTAAGTTTTACCACTTTTCCCCTTTCCAGAGCCGGGCGGGAGGGGGTCCCTGAGGACGAGTATGTTTTCCTGGCACTATAGTGGTCCTTTAAAGCTTTTGGAATTGAATGGATTAATCAAATGATTCTATGGCATTAACACACATAGTGGTTCATAATGGAGAAACTTTGAAGACGTTGTGTGCTCTTCAGCTTTGTGTTTCATTGAGTGAAACATAGAACTAAGACAAATACATTGTTGTAAGTTATTTATCAAAAAATAAAGAAAGAAAAACAAAAACAAAGCTAATAGTATTATGTGTATTATATACAAATAATAATAGTGTCCCAGTGTTTTGTAATAACCATTTTTTAATTTTATTTTTGTCTAATGGGATTTTGGAACAATTTTTTAGATACATTTTCCTTTACCAGGTCAAAAGCACTTTTAAACAAAATGACTCAAGTCCCAACTGAGCTGTGTTACAGGGGTTAAAGCAACAACCACAGAAATAAAGCGCAGGTATATTGAAGGTTGTAGAACAAAAGGAAAATAATGCACAGACGGGTTATTCACAACCTGTGAATTATTAGTGAATTTTAGGTCAAAATAGATGATCTGGAAAATTCTCCAAGTCAGCTATCTTTTTACGTTCAGCTATATTGGCTGAATATCCTGAATGATCAGGAATTCCAAGTGAATTTCAGATTCTAATCTGAAATTCCTGATAATTCATAGTTTAGTAAAAAACACAACCAGACATAACTCATCTGGAGAATAGTAAATAATAGTAAATAATGTGATCTTGAGTAGAAGACTGAAGAATAAAAGTTACTGAAAGAGACGCTAGGTGTGAGCACATAGTGTTTATAAAAGAAGGAGAGATATAAATGACGCTAGGTGTGAGCACATAGTTAGTGGTAGGGTTTATAAAAGGGGGAGAGATATAAATGACGCTAGGTGTGAGCACATAGTGTTTATAAAAGTAAGAGATATAAATAGGACGCTAGGTGTGAGCACATAGTGTTTATAAAAGAGGGAGAGATATAAATGACGCTAGGTGTGAGCACATAGTGTTTATAAAAGGGGGAGAGATATAAATGACGCTGTGTGTGAGCACATAGTGTTTATAAAAGGGGGAGAGATATAAATGACGCTGGGTGTGAGCACATAGTGTTTATAAAAGGGGGAGAGATATAAATGACGCTGGGTGTGAGCACATAGTGTTTATAAAAGGGGGAGAGATATAAATGACGCTGGGTGTGAGCACATAGTGTTTATAAAAGGGGGAGAGATATAAATGACGCTGGGTGTGAGCACATAGTGTTTATAAAAGGGGGAGAGATATAAATGACGCTGGGTGTGAGCACATAGTGTTTATAAAAGGGGAAGAGATATAAATGACGCTGGGTGTGAGCACATAGTGTTTATAAAAGGGGGAGAGATATAAATGACGCTGGGTGTGAGCACATAGTGTTTATAAAAGGGGGAGAGATATAAATGACGCTGGGTGTGAGCACATAGTGTTTATAAAAGGGGGAGAGATATAAATGACGCTAGGTGTGAGCACATAGTTCGTGGTAGAGTGTTTAAAAGTAGTAGAGATATAAATGTTGATAGGTGTGAGCACATATGTTCACCAATTCTGCTGTTATTGTACATTCAGATTGCATAGAGACGAGATGAGATGAATCTCTAAATAATAATGAGTGTTTTTTACTTTCTGCTTAATATTGCCTAATAAAAGCTAGCCTGACACGTGGAGACAACTCAAGGGAAATTATGAAATCTGTACAGGAAAATAATGAACAAACAGTAGATAGTCCTTGATTGCCACATTTGCAAATGTTTTGCCTATAAATCAAAAGGGCACCTTCTTTTCTATCAGAAAATAGCCACATGAATATGAAAGTTGGATTGGCAGTAAAAGGGTTGAATGTCTAATTTGCCAACAACATACAGGGCATCAAACATTAATGAAGCGACCCCAAGGTCATTGATGAGGTGGATGTGGATGGGGCGCCGGCCCAAATGTCCAATTAATTTGTGCATTTTAAGATTGCAGCTGACAGCAATTGTTACCAGCTGGTCAAACTATGCCCTGCACCCCCTCCGTGGGATTTGAAGTGCTGTGTTTACCACGTCGATACCAACATTCAGAGAATTGAGCACATAGCTCATGTATTACAGAATCCCACAACTAATACTCTTTTCCATTATAATTCAGTAACGCGGTATTCTCTAGCATAATATACAGCCCATGTGTTACAAAATACCACAACTACTGTGTGTCAAGATGAAAGAGTGTGTTAGATTGATTATTAGCATTCAAAGCATCAGTGTGAGTTATACTATCCCCATGCAATTATATTTTATTTTACTCCACATTGGAGTATTATATGTGCACCCTCCTGAGGGCAACATGTGCTAAGTGAACAGGGAAAATGTTGGCAGAAGAATTCTCAGTAGTTGTGGATGGAAAAAAAGTGACAAGAATTTTCTGTGATTACAAGAGGTAAAGATAGGACGGTCTGTCATCATAGGAGCTGACAGTAAAGTTCCACTGAGTGTCAGATTGTTTTTAACCCTGTTCTGAAATACAGTACTGCAATAAATATTGTAAAGGTTGAATATAATAATTAGCCTCCTACCTTAAATACTTCACTAAACACAATCACTCATTTCACAAAAAAATTATGTGGACATGCGCACTGTGCCTTACCCTAGTGCAGGGGTAGGCAGCCTTCGGCACTCCAGATGTTGTGAACTACATCTCCCACAGTGGTCTTACAACTATAATGCTGGAAAAGCATCATGGGAGGTGTAGTCCAAAACATCTGCAGTGCCGAAGGTTGCGTATCCCTGCACTAGTGTATAAATAAATTAGGGATTTAGTAACTCTGCGTTACCGTAGAGTGATTGCTCATCTGGCATATCTAATAAGATGGAAAAGGATTTGCTGTAAAAAAATATCCACAATATGGATCCAAAATTAGAGTAAAACATATGGGGAATGAACTGCAGCAATAATAGCCAACCCCCATTATTCTTGCCATTTATTATAATAATTATAGCTCGTCAGATATTGATTTGAATACAAAAAGATAATCCTGCACTCACTCCCATCACTCCTGGGCGGCAGCAACGACGACAGTACACATCAGCCCCAACATATAGTAAAAACCAAAGGGAAAAAAAAGTTACCTGCGCTCTGTCCTTAATCCCTATGTGTATTTATACAAATGGAGGTCATTTAGTTACTACAATGGCCATTGGAGGGAATGCCTGCCTGCCAACGTCAAGGCAGAACCCCCTAAGTGGGTCCATCACTGACCCTTCACCTTGCTTCTGGCAAAGATATCTCTACTGAGACAGAGAGGGGTATTTTTTATATACACCCCTATATGCTTTTTAACCCTTAATAGGGAACACATGGGATGGGCGGCATCATGTGTACTGTGGTCGTTGCTGTTTGAGTATTCAGCACAATCCACAAATTGTTGCAAGTCTCTGTCCAGAATGTCAACCTTTCACACATATTATGTGGTATAACAGTAGATAGCAATATGCAAGATCTACACAAATGTTCCCGTTTTCTCACTTCAAAAAGGATGATTTAAAACCCTGATTGGTACCTGTCTTGTTAAAGATCCCTTGTTCCTTAACCCCTTAAGGACACATGACATGTGTGACATGTCATAATTCCCTTTTATTCCAGAAGTTTGGTCCTTAAGGGGTTAAAGCCCTGCACCACATTTTCTCTGAGTTAATGCATGGGACAGCTCATTCACTTCACAACATGAATTGAAGGAACACAAGTGTATCTATATTTAACAATGCATGCTAGTTAGGCAAGTCCATTTGCAAAATAAAAAACAAAAGACAACAAACAAGTAAATAAAACATGCAGGCATTTATTTAGTTAACTCTTACATTGCTGTCAGTTTTATTGATCAGGAGCTGCATGACACTCACACCAAATATTATAAGCTTTTTAGAAAAGCAGATCCCCAGGACAGGAAATTAAGTCTCACAGGATTCTGTCCATCCAAAAAGGGCCATTTTTAAGTCCTGGAACTTGTCGTATGCGTTCAGTGTGGCTATTTCAGCCTTAAATTTGGAATTCACTTTGAATTCCTGGCAATTCACATTGTAGTGAGTAAGTATGTTACTGATTAACCCTGTGGGTTGAAAACATAATTGCATTACCAGGGCTGAATTCTAGAATAAAATCTGAAAAATGTTTCCAAAGCATTACTTTTAGAGATGGGCGATAAAGCCGGGAAATCTTTGAAATTCTGGTGTTAAATGATTTGTTTAAAGTAAATTTTAAATATTCCACGACTGGGATTAATCATTCTAGTGCTTTATTAGGCCATCCCTTCAACTAGATTTGGAGATGATGACGCGTAAATACCAAAAGTAGCCTTTTCTTGTAACAGATTCTATGTGATGTTCTTTTGAGAACACAGTACAGTGTTACACTATTTCCTCTGCAAGACTCAAGGGGGTTTTGCGTTTAATTGGCTGCTGTCCTCAGGAGGGTTTGGAAATGGCATATTCAGCCAATAATAACCATTGCTTGACTCTGCTGTACCCACATGAGGGTATCCTGGAAACCTGAACTGTTAAACATCCCTCGGGATTAGGGCTGAAATCTCCTGCCATATGGGAAGTGGGAGCAACTAAATAATGCATATATTACATGCTCCACATACTTTCCACGTGTCTTCCATTAGATTTTATATATAGCATGTGTGACTATGTTGCAAGCACAGACTACACTTTAGCGTTTACAATTAATATATTTGGTCCCGGTGTGTGAGGAATTAAAGTTATGTATACAAAATTGGGGGTGAGCATGGTAACCTGTCTAGGATGATTGTCATTTTAAAATATGTAGTGAAAATACGACCAAAGTGCTGTCCTCCATATAATCTAAATATAGTGTCATATATAAAATAGCAGCAACTGAAAAAAATCTTTGAAAAGTTAAGGATCTTTGATTGACTGATTATTTAATTAGTCACAATAATAAATGATCAGGCTATGTTTTTCTTATTTGTCCTTTCACAGTCAGATAGCAATGATGAAAAATGATGCTGTGATTAATAGTGACAAAAATGTACAGGGAAAATATCACATGCAAGAAATAGTTTGTTAAAAGAACACGTTTTAGTGTGTGTTTAATGTGAGTTTAGCCAACTTGCTAACATAGCTTTACTTTATGCTTATATTAGTACATTGGGGTTGCCGTGTTAGTTCATGTAATTCAAATGCCAAAATAAGAAGGGTGTTGCAATATGCGGTCATACTTATTTTTTTTAACAGACTGACAATAACGCATTTCCTTGTTTCCTTGTTTTAAGCTCTTCGTTAAGATACACACACATTCATATACACACAGTTAATACTCCCATATAGCAAAAATAGAGATGCACATTCAATTTTAAATGATTACATGGAAAATATACACACGATTAGTACAAAGAAACTCCCATTATCTGATCTGTGAAAATGCACAGATAATTAGTACAAAGTTACACGCTCATTATCTGATGTGCGACATGCAGGTAGGCTGTCTCACATAAAGCTGATGTTAGTTTTTTGTCTTCTAAACTTGTTTGCATGCATCTACACTTTGCACTTATTCGTTATCAGTGAACTGTTGTGAATTGATGTGTAAAATAGGTATTTTCCAAACCCACCATTTTGCACTAAATTGTGTCATTTGCTTTGTCGATGCATCACAATTCGCTGTTTAGTAAACTATCTTAAAATTATCACTTGTCTTTACAAATGTCCTATGCATAACATTACGACACAGTGTATTCCGGTTTTTGGCAACAAATTAATTTAAAACAAAACACAGGCTAAAACACTTTCACTATATCGATTAGCTTATTGTAAATAGTTTCTATATTACTTTGTGTAATAATATAAGTTTAATAAAATAGTTTTATGTCCTATATGTCTTTTTCCTTTTTTTTTTTTTTTAAAAGAAATCCCTTTTTATTTTCTGAATGTTCTGACACATTTAGCAAATCATTTAGCTCCAGACCTCTTCCTGTCTAAGTTTATATATATATATATATGTGTGTGTGTATAGATATAGATAGTTCACTGTACACATACAGCCCATGGTGTAAATGCAGCCCACTGCTGCAGGCTGCGGTATTGCCAGGGTTTCCAGGGTTACTCATGGTTGGCCTCTTGTGTCTCTGCAGGAACCAGGACAATAGGATAACTGAATTGTCCTTTAAAGAGACAGTGCATCTTATTTGTATATTAACTCTTTATGAGCATTCCGGCATGAATTGCTATAAATAGAATACTTACTCATGTACAACACTAAGTATTTTATTGTTTTTATGTTCATAATTTTGTTGTGTTTTATTTTTTACTTTTTGATTATATTTTTTTAATTGATACATAGAAAGCTCAAAACCCCAAGGGATGTATGTAAACTACATAATGTTGGGTTAATTCATCCAGTAAACTCCTGACATAGAATGGATTTTCTTTATTAAAGATGACCCACTGTAATTAACTCTTTCCTTGCTGGAACCCATCTCTGGATCATAGATTTGTGTCATACTGAGGTAAAACAATTGTGCTTCCATACTTATTTTTTATTCAAACTCCGGTGTTTTTTTGTTGTTTTTTTTTTTTAATCCAAGCAGGGAAATTTCCTGAAAATGTGCATATATTAACCATTTGATGTATACTGCAGAGTTACATGCAGCAAAGTATTCATTATTTCAAACTAAAGCTTTGATTTATTTCCAGCTGATCACGTTTATCAACAGTTTACAGCTCCCGATAAGCCATTTAATGGTTCAGATCAGTTTAATTCCGGCCATTACAGACTTATTGTTAGCCTATACATATTTGTTCATATTTCAAAACTGAAGCCTAAATTTCTTATTGAAAATATCTGCTTCTGCGACTTAATTCCATTTACGGGGCGCATAACATTTCAAAAATTGCCTCTTCAAATTTGACAACTAAAAGATGTCAATAAATACTTTTTTGCACTACCAGCCAGCAGGCAAATAGTAAAAAAATGCCTTTGGGGATTTAACACCGCTGGTAGGGGTATGTCTACTAAATAGTAGTAAAAAAAACAGACTGGCAACAGGGCAGATATTGATGCCCAATTGATAGTTATGTACCCCATGGGCCCTGTCAGAATTGGGTTAGAGCTATTAATTAAAATACATGGAGGTGGTGATAGCAGGTGGGGGTTATAGGAAAATATAAAAGAGGGTGGACATGCCATTGTCCACCCCACCCCCCAGATTGTGGCAACATTAAACCCCCTTGGTGGTTAAGCATCCCCAAGCCCCTAGCCAGCCACTCAAAAACAATAAAAGTAAGCAGCCTACACCATCACCCTAATTACAGAGGGGAGGACATCAGATGTCTTCTTTCTTCTTCAATCTTCTCGTCTTCAGCTCCCAAAAAGGGTCTAATAAAAATCCATTAATTCTACTTTAAAAGACCTTTGGAGCACTATAACAACATCATTAGAATTAACTTGTTAAAGGAACATAATAGTGACATAAATACACACATGTATTTAGGCCCCGGACCCGTCTGTCAGCAAAGTAAAAAGGTGCCATACTCACCTGCCCTGCTCTGCCTCCTTGGTTGAAATCATCAAAGTTGACAATCTCAGCCAATCCAATGCTTTCCCATAGAGAAGCATTGGGAGGCTATTGCGCATGCGTGGCAAATCGCAGCACTGCACCCATCAGAATCTCCTCATAGAGTTAAATTGAATAAATCCGTCTCTATGAGGAATGTTACAGAGCGTGGATACGCTGGACGTCAGTCCTGCTTGCAATGCAGTACTGACCCAGGAAGCATCTCAGGTGGCCGTCTGAAGGAGTGGCTATTAGAGGCATTACCTGGGAGCAATGTCAACTCTACCTTTTCTCTGAACAAAGCCTGCAAGGACAGGGTATACTCAACAAAACAACTACATTAAGCTGTAGTAGTTCTGGTGACTATAGTTTCTCTTAAAGGTACCATGAGAACCCTGGCACCGTTTTACGTATTAGCAAACAGTTTAACCACAAAGTGTTGAATCCAGTGCTAATTTGCTCTGATGCTCTCCTTCTGCTTTTTTCTGAGGCTTGAACCGGTTAGCAGGCTAGGGAAATAAGAAACTAATTGCACTCTGAATATTGCCATTTCTTTGATTTAAGTGGTGTCTAAGAGTAATAGTGCTTATTAAGATAATGGCTTTAACAACTACCATTGCAACATTGTATAAAAAAAAAAATCATTAACATACAATCAACATGGCAGTCCTGATTTTTCACACCTGTCCAGTTGTCCTGTTGCTGAAGACATTAATGAAAAGTCTCCTTAAAAGTACAGGAATAGCACATCTTGCTTGCAGCTGCAGTGCCCTGCTTATCTACCTGGGCTGCATTTACAATGTGATAGCATGCCCTATGTTTGCTTCACTGCAGTGCTAACACTCCCAGCCACCCCTATCCAACTCTTCATACTTCTTTTGTGTCGAGTGTATACTTCACAATGCTCTCTAAATGATGTAATGTTATAAAGAGATGTGCTCCTCACACACAAAATGTATAATTTTTTTTTTTTTAAATATGCAGTTTTGATTATTTTGCACAAAAATGTGCATCCAAGCATATCTGCAGATAGGATACTATTTTCAATGTGAGTCTCCTCCTCAGATAAAATTATTAATTGATTCCATTGTATCATGCATCTTTCACACATTCCTTGCATGACTGTTAGATGCTAATTGTCTTGCATGTTTGTAGAAGCAGTTATTTTGATATATTATTTCCTCACAACCCCAGTTTTAGCAATGCAGAGTATCTTCCTGTTGTGGTGTAGGGGCTTGAGTTCACTGTAACTGCAACATACATAAATCTATATGACGCTCACGTACACAACCTACGTATGCTCATTTCAGTAAACAAACAGCATCAGTAGGAGGACTGAGTAGGGTGAGACTGGACGCTGACAGACTGACTGTAGGAGAGTGCAAATTAATCTTACTTGTCAAATCATGATGGGTTCTGAGCGAATGGAAGCATTTATGCAGCTGTGGCCAAAAACTCTCATCATGGCCAGTAAGCCAGTGGTGAAATATCTAGCTACATCATGTATTGATAAATGGTATCTGTATGGGTGCTCAAAATGTCGGCCATCCTTTAACCCTTTAAGGACACATGACATGTGTGACGTCATGATTCCCTTTAATTCCAGAAGTTTGGTCCTTAAGGGGTTAAAGGGAATCTATATTCACCAGAACAACTACAGCTTAATATAGTTGTTCTGGTGAGTATAATAGCTCCCTCCAGGCATTTTTTTGCAAATACTGCCTTCAGAGAAAAGGCAGTGTTTACATTGCCCCTAGGGACACCTCCAAGTGGCCACTCCTCAGATGGCCACTGGAGGTGCTTCCTGGCTCAGTGCTGCACAGTAAGCAGCCCTGCCGTTCAGCGTCCCCACGCTCTGCATGGGGACGCTGAATTTTCCTCATAGAGATGCATTGATTCAATGCATCTCTATGAGGAGATGCGGATTGGCCCTTGCCAATTTTACCCAATCCAATACTTTCCCATGGCACCTCGGTAATGTCCGTACATTCATAAGAAAGAAGAGTGCATGTGGCCAGGTCATGATGTCATTTTTATTGTTATTGCTACAGTATGGGTTGCTTAGGGTTAGGGAGGGGTTAGTTGGAGTCTGCACTCGATTGGCTGTGGATTATAACACCCATCAATGGCCATATGACAGCTCTCCGGCCTCCATGTAAGTAGAGTCAGTAGTTTATATCATGGTTCCAGATTTTAACACCATTTATGCTTTGCTAATTTTGTTACCTTCAGCTGTAGCCAGAATATAATCATACCTATGTTGACATAGCCACTTGCAGTTAGAGCATTCCCCCCACCTATTATACAATCCAGCCCTGAAGTTACACAGCTACATAACTGCCTAGTAATAAAGTCCATGAAGTTGAATTTTTTACTCAACTCTGTGTCTGCCGGTGATCTGAAAGAATTTGTGTTTGAAGCAATTTCCAGTTGTGCCTCAAAAAATAGGAAAACAAAATGTGTTCTTCCCTCCAAATTGGTGGTAAGATTTCTCCTTGGGGATCAGGAAGCTTGAACCAGCCTTATTATCTACAGGTCTCCAAACCATCCCGATATCGGCAGGATAGTCCTCATTTTCACATCCTGTACCACCGACCTGACTTAGTTATCCTGCTATTGGGGACACCATGGAAATATTCCTAACATACATAGCGTAAGATATCATTAGACATGCTCGGGCTATGTTCATCGCACTGGGGCCCTATATATAGCACAAAAACTGTACTCCCTTAATGGTTTGCCCTCTATGGGCTGGCTTTACATGACTGGCAGGCAGCCTGATGTGCATTCATGCCAGGAGGTCCTGCCACTAATTTGGGAGGGCCCGCCCCTTTCTTATTGAATAACAGAGTTAGACTCGGTTAGTCAATCAGATGATTCTCATAGAGTGCTTTTGATGGGGGCAAGTTGTGTCTCCTACAGGGAAGCACTGGATTGGCTGAAATCATCAAGATTGGCGTGGGGCGCTAACGGCAAGATCAGTACACTGTGGGATATCAGGTAAGTAAAACGTTCCTCTTAATCCCTCACAGGGGGGCGGATACCTAAATAGGTAGAGTAACACTATGTTGTTAGCAATACATGTTTGTATTTCTAACTCTATAGTGTTCCTTTAATTTATTATTATTATTATTATTATTATTACTATAGTGTTCCTTTTAGAAGGATACCTTTACATTATTAAATAATTTTAGTAAATAGCCCTATTAGAGTGCACAAATGAGCTGAGATATATGTAAGCTTATGTGCAGAGTAATCAAGAAGATTGTTTTCCTTCAATATTTTCTCTCAGCTGGTATAACATCAATTACAATGTAAGTAGCACAAATTTCCAGTAATATAAATCATTTTTACTCCCATCAAGAGGAAAAACCAATACTTGCGACAAAAATCAATGCGACATGCAAAGACTATTTTTCCTGACTCATTTCGAATTTATTTTATGGGATGAATATATGTAGCATGTCTACTGTTCATACGAGAAAAATAGATCAGTTACACTTCTTCGCTATAGGATGCTCAGGGTTGGGATACTGACGGAGGTGTAAATACATAGAGAATAATTGGAAGAAATGGTCATGCTTATCAATTCTTCCAATTTTTCTTAAAAATATTTACAACATTCTTCTGTGACTGCTCCAATGAGCTGAAACTTGCATGAGATTCTTCCAAGTACATACAATACTACACTCTTTATAGCTCATCGTATCCAGAAAATCCAAGAGAAAGTACAGTTATCAGTGTGTATGCATTTTTCCACGAGATTAGGTTTCAGGCAAATATGGGGCACCAAGGATGGCTGATCTAGGACATGTGTAGCCAACTGGTTGTTTATTGACATTTGTTTCTACAGATTCCAGGACTCTTAACCAGATTATTCTCTGCCCAGTGCTTGCTCAGTATAATAAGATTTATGGTTTTGGAACAGGTGGAACACAATGTTTTAGCAAGGCTGCCAGCAGATATCTCAGGTACCCCTACTAACCCAGTTTGCCAACCCCCCTCCAGCAAACACTCTCAGACAGATACAAACTTAAAGAAACACATGTATACATACACTCTGCTTCCCACACACAGATATACATTCCCAGATACACAGAAACACACATTTGCAGACACAAATTCACACGCAAATACACAATACTAGAAACACACAAAGATTTACACACATATATACAATGCTAAACACACACATTGACAGATAAACACTGTTACACACAGATGCACAAAATGACATACACAAATGCACACTCATTGCCACACACACATGCATACACTGCCACGCACATACAGAAAGTTAAATACACTTTTGCCAGCCTTCTACTGTCGCACCTTTTTGGTGGTTTCTTTGAGGTCTAGTGAGGTGTGAGCTAAACAGGATCTTGGCTTTTGTCTCTCCTGCACGGTATCACATGTGTGCTGGTAATTGACAATACAAGGCTATTCCAGTCTGGTTGGAGGACCTCTCTACTGCAACTGATAAGTCTCGTCTAGTGTGAGATATTTCTACCTCCCAAACTGGAGCACATTGGGGGTAGTGTAGGAACATTATCACATTAATTTTCATTTTTGTGCCAGTTTCTTATATATAAAATTGTTACTCCATATTTATACCACCTGCCACTTTTTTTGCCATATATATATTTTTTGTGATCGATTACATGAACAAAGTACTGTAAGGAGGAGGGGGGCTTTTTTATTAGCATCAGTTTTAAATTCTTTAACAGAGTTTAATTATTAAATTGGGATATCCTGTTTTTGCTCAGACCGGAAATATAGTCTTAAGAAAACCCTAAAAAAAATCAGTTTAAAAATAACCTGTTTGGTTTTCACAGAAGCTTTAGGTTATTTTTAGCTGTTCAGCTAGAATTCCGAAAACACAGTAGGTACATTTCCTGTAACAAGTCATTTTCCCACTGAACAGGGCCTGTCTGTATCAGTCTTACACTGTGCTACAGTCACTCAACAGTTTAATCACTAACCACAAAATCGCACTGGATTGATAACTGGATTGCAAAATATAGGCAAAAATTGCTGATTTCATAAAAAAACTTATCCACCAGATTGTAATTTGGTTTTTAATTCACTGTAATTTTGAGTTCAATGAATTATCATGTGTGACATATCTTAAACATAATTAACTAAACTGTGAAATGTCAGTAATTGACAACCAAATACAGTGGGACCTCGGTTTACAAACACCTCGGTTAACATAATTTACGGTTTACAAATGAAAATCCATTGAAAATAATGACTCGTTTACAATTTTATTTCGCAATATAAAGCAAGTTTTCCCAGGATGCATTGCACCTGGGAGGTTTATAGCACCGCCCCCTGCATGCTGCAGCCTGTGGGTAGCACGTGGCATCGAGTGTGGAGGTGTTGGAGCGGCTTTTGCATTGAGTTTTGGAGCCATTCTGGAAATTGTTTGCAGTTGTTTTGGGACTTTTTGGTGCATTTCTCAAGCTGTGGAAAAGTAGGGAGCTGAGCTTCGTCGTTTGCATACCTTTTATTGTGTGTTCTGCATTGTGGGTTGGTTTCCATGCCAGCTCATTTTGACTTTTTTCTGACCTCCAGAACGGATTAATTGGTTTTCAATGCATTCCTTTGGGAAACTGTGTTTCGGTTTACAAATTTTTCGCAATAAGAAATGTCCCGGAGAACGCATTAAATTCGTAAACCGAGGTCCCACTTTATTTAGGCAAAATTAGCTGCTTTAGAAAAATTTTTTTTGTTTAATTACCAAAAGTTAAAGGGAAACTATAGTGCTAGGTAAAGAAAATAGTTTTCCTGGCACTATAGTGACCTACAATGCCCCTTTCCCTTGAGCTCCCCTTTACCCCCCGTGGGCTTAAAAACCCTTCTGTCACTTACCTTATTCCAGTGCAGATGTCCCTCAGAATTAGTTCAGGCTCAACCTTCGCTGATTCTCGCTGGCGGGGGGACCTAATGCGCATGTGTGGCAAGTGTTGCACTCACATTAGGACTACCCCATAGGAAAGCACTGCTCAATGCTTTCCTATGAGGTTTTAAATGACGCTGGATGTCCTCATGCAGAGTGTGAGGACATCCAGCATCATTTAGGTGACCAAAAGTTTCCTAACCACCAGTAAGTGCCTCTTGTGGCTGTCTGGTAGGCAGCCACTAGAAGTGGAGTTAACCCTCAAAGGTAATTATTGCAGTTTATCAATAACTGTAATAATTAGAACTACAGAGTTAAACTGACAGGGTCACTGCATTCAGACCACTTCAATGAGCTGAAGTGGTCTGGGTGCCTATAGTGTCCCTTTAATCACTTTAATTAATAAATATGATTGTTTAGGAGAGATACTCTTATCAATGGCGCTTATTGACTAAATAGTAATTTTTAGGAAGTTGGAATCAAAAAGGAAAACTGATACCAAAACAGCCAAGCTGTGCATACAGTTGGGTTGGAGAATTTTTTCCAAATGTGTCCTTTTTGCATACTTTTTCAAGTCTGTTTACAATAGTTTGTTTAGTGACCACTATGTGACATTATTAGCACTGTAAAAGATATTAAAAGGATACTGAAGGCACCATAACCACTACACAGCGCTCTCGGCCAATTAATAATGCCTCTACTTGGTATGAGTAGGTATGATAATGTCATACCTCTGAACATTGGAGGGTATGCAATAGGGATGGGGGAGCGGTCCTAAAGGGTTATACAAATGATGCCACTTGCAACCCTGGTGATAGAGTCCTGTCTGAAAAGGGGGCTGGCTGCCCCATCAGTGATATGTCAGTCTGATAGAACTGGAGGGTGGCATGTAATATGTAAATGTGTGCTTGTGCTTTACCATACCAGCTCAGACTCGAAGGCTGGCGGGCGCCTGATGGAGACCAGTAAGTGGCTAGTGTCAAACGGTTTGACAACTTGCCATTGGGCTGTGCCAGGATACTGTGTAGTGTAGTGGTTTTGATGCTTACGGTGTCCCTTTATTAAAATATATAAACATGTTTAATCTAAAAAATAGAGGGAACGTAGACAGGGACACCTGTAGGGAAAATAAGAAGGAAAAGTGGAAAAAAGCAGGCAGAAAAAAGGGACATATTTTAACCAATTAGGGACCAGTGATGATATGTCATTGTGACAACCCCGTCTTTAACCCCTTAAGGACCAAACTTCTGGAATAAAAGGGAATCATGACATGTCACACATGTCATGTGTCCTTAAGGGGTTAAAGGACATGTATTCCTGACCCTAGAGTGCTAAACCCATCATTTAGGTGGCTTGCCCCCGTCCCCTTGGCCCCTTAAAAGTTAATAAAACTCACATTATTTCCATGGCATTATTTCTAGCGCAGGCCCTGCCCCCTTGGTGACATCTTTAGAATTGCCAATTTTTAGCCAATCCAATGCTTTCCCATGGGGAAAAAATCGGAAGGGGCTGGGCCAAATGGTATGTTGGCCTATCAGCACCTCCTCATAGAGATGCATTGACTCAATGCATCTCTATGAGGAAAATTCAGCCTCCCAATGCAGAGCATAGGGACCCTGAACGAGTGGCCACTGAGGAGTGGCCACTTGGAGGTGTCCCTAGGGGCAATGTAAACACTGCCTTTTCTCAGAAAATGCAGTGTTTGCATGAAAATGCCTGAAGGTAGCTATTATACTCACCAGAACAACTACATTAAGCTGTAATTGTTCTGGTGACTATAGCATCCCTTTAAGGATGCTGTTTCAAGATAGAGTATCCCACTAATGTAAGAAGAGCAGAGACATATTGATAGGAACAGCAGAGCCATATAAAGCTGAGGATTCTTAATAAATCGAATGATTTTCAATGATGTCATGAGGTCTTTAAGAACCAGATGTCTGTGTAATTGCAGCACAGCAAAATGCATGTTGTGTTTAAGGGGTTAAAATTAACCATTAATTACATTGCTTCTTTTGATAAGAATATCTTAATGTTGGTCTTTAGGAAGGAGACTATAGTACTGCCATCTCCGAGATTATTTAGCATGAACACAAATTATTCTGTCTGGAACACTGAAAAGCCACTCATTTTCTGGCAAAGCATGATGGGAATTGTAGTCCTTAAAAGGTATAAAGAAAAAAATGCTTTACTTTTTATCTTTGCAAAACACAGGATTGTTAGACTTGTCTGTGTACTGTGTGTGAGTTACCTTGGTAACTCCTATCATTTAAAGGAACACTCCCAACCCTACAACAACACAAGCTCATTAAAGTTGTCATGGTGGCAGGAGTGACCAGGCAACATCATACTATTAGGAGTTATATCATTCTGTGACTATTTAACTCAGAAGTTGGGGCTCCAGCATCTATTCTCTGCCACCCAGTTTAATTCCTGTCTACACGTACTATATGTATCTATATGAGCTGCCATTGATCCTCTCAGTCCATCACAGGCTGCCTGGATAAGCTATCCTCATATTATGGAGCTGGGGAGGAGTGATGTTGGATGCCACTTCCTAAACTTTGGGGTTAAGCCATTGCAAAATGGGTTAACCTCTGAAGGTAAGCTGTTTTGGAGGGAGACATGCTTGACCTCATACCAACTTCAATGACCTGAATTTGTTACAGGGTGGGAGTGTTCGTTTAAATCCTATCTTTATATCTGGATTAGAATGTTTGCACATACTCACTGCAGTTCCACTTCTATACACTATAAGGAAGTGAGAACATTTCCATTCTCTCGGTACCTCACTACAATCATACATGTACCTACAGCTTGCTGAATGCGTAGACCAGGTTGGTTTCTTATGATGTATTATTACATCATTGGTCCTTAAAGGGACACTATAGTCGCCAGAACAACTACAGCTTATTGAATTTGTTCTGATGAGTAGAATCATTCCCTTCAGGCTCTTTGCAGTAAACGCTGTCTTTTCAGAGAAAATGCAGTGTTTACATTACAGCCTAGGGATACTTCCACTGGTCACTCCTCATATGGCATCTAGAGGTGCTTCCTGGGTGCTGCAAAGTGTGCAGCACTCACCGTCAGTGTCTCCACCGTCTGCATGGATTCATTGATTCAATGTATCTCTATGAGGAGTTGCTGATTGGCCAGGACTGTGTTTGGCTTGTGCTGGCTCTGTCCCAATCTGATCCTTTGACAAGCTCAGCCAATCCAATGCCTTTCTATGGGAAAGCATTGTGATTGGCTGAGATCACCACTTCTTGTCAAATACTTTTTATTGAAAGGTTTTCATTTTTAACAATAATAATACATATAAATCAAACAAACAAAAAAAAATAGGGGTACAAATATCTGTCCATTATAAAGTTGACTAACTAAAAAATAAATAGCATGTGCGCTCCACAAATAATTAGAGGAAACAAACGTTCCTATAAAAGATATATATACCTTTAATAAAAAATACCAGCTAAAACTATGAAAAATAATTACCCTAGATATATAACTCTTAGGTGGGACATATAACACAATAAATTAACGATGTATCCAATTCTAACATTGGTTCATAACATATACTTCCCAAAAACTGCAACAGTTTCAATGAATACAGAAGCAGCATGTTACAGTCCAAAGGGAAAGTAAATGTGAACACAGAGGGGGTTGAGCAACTAAATGTTGCAAACCTAGGTGAAAAACCCTTTATAGCATTGCATGTAAATTGTATAAAAACTGTAGGTAATGTAAGATACTGGATAAATAGCCCTCTCTAAGAGAAACAATATCAAATAAATATACAAAAACAGTAATAATATTTGTATTGAAATGTATAAAAAAATGTAATAAAAACGTGCAAAACAATATAAAAAATACAAAAGTTCAAAAGGTAACTGCTGATATAACAGATGTAAAAGTACCTGACCTCAGGGGGGCCCCCCAAAAAATCAAGGTGACGATCCAGATGATTCATAGAATCATAGAATAGAAACAGCAGTTCTAAGATCAAAAATGTGGTTATAAAAAACTGCTTGACTTGATGAATGGTAGAACACATAGGATCTCAATGAAGGCAGTCACACAGGCAGTAAACCATAGATATACTTAATGGATATCAGCACGCCAGACAATCAAAATAAACAGATAACAGAGAGGAGAAAGGCACTGCGTCTACGTGCGTTTCGTTCTGTTCACAGAACGTTTGTCACCTTTTTTCGGGGTCCCCCTTCAGGTACTTTTTACATCTGTTATATCAGCAGTTACCTTTTGAACTTTTGGATTTTTTATATTTTTTGCACGTTTTTATTAATTTTTTTTATTTTTTTAGTACAAATATTATTGTTGTTTTTGTATATTTATTTGATTTTTTTTTTTCTCTTAGAGAGGGGTATTTATCCAGTATCTTACATTACCTACAGTTTTTATACAATTTACATGCAATGCTACAAAAGGGTCAAGAATCAAGAGTCAAGAATCAAGTTAATGATTCTGTTGTGTTTGATGGCAATCTGAGGTGCATGTCATGGCACTTATTCTCTAAGGTTAATGTTAATGTTGAGTTCCCCACTTCTGATGATGTCACCAAGCAGGCAGATTAGGGGCAGAGCCAGCAGCAGCAGACTGGAATAAAGGTAATATTTTTCTATATTTATGGGGCAGGGGGGATAGGTGGTGTTTTTAACACTATAGGGTCATGAATACATGTTTAACTTAACTTAAAATGTTCCTCAGTTAGAGTTCCACATAGCTATATTTGTTAGTGTTAATTTAAATATTAGAATTAACTAAATAGCAATCGTCATTGCATATCAGTAGACAATACAATAATTCCATATTTTGAAGTATGTAATATTTGTAAATGTGAATGTTTAATGGTTAAAAATGTACACTTTCAGTTATACACTGTATCAGACATGATGCTGTTCACTTAGAATGTATTATTTATCAGATCTCTGTAAAAAGATTATATAACTGTAATAGTTATGAATAATACATAAAATGGGAAATGGGATGAGATGAGGCTGTTTTTCTTTTCATCCTACCTTACTTTAGAAATGGTGCTTGAGGGCATATTCTCAAAGTGCATCTGTCATTCCTAATATGATTAACATAACTTTTTTACACATTTGGGGTTATGTATAAAATGTGTGGTGTTCACTTTTTATTTTCTCTGGTTTCTGGCACATATTTTGAGTCTATTTATTATGTTATTTCCACCAAAATATTTATTACTGTGCCTCTACCAACATTTTATTTTTCCTATTACATTTTGTTTCACATACACACATATATATATATATATATATATATATATATATATATATATATATATATATATACACACACACACACACACACACACACAAAAAGAGTGCAGAGGTGTGCCTTTTCATTCTGACTAATGTTTCCACTGAGGTCAGATAGGTAACTTTTCTGTGACAGGTAAGTAGCTTTTATGGTTTTTTTGGTGTTGGTTTTTTTAAGCCAAAAATATCCTTCAAATTGCAAGTATACATTTATCTTAGTTCATGACCGTAATAAATGGTAATGGCCATCGTAATCATCACGAAAAAAAAAAGCAGCAAAATATTCGTAAGAGAAATACAAAGTGTTGGAAAATACGGGTTATTTGTGCATGCTACACAGAAGGTGGAAAAAAGTGAACGTGACACTTTTAATATGTAACTCCAAAAGGTTGTTTTTTTGTTTGTTTTTTTGCTGCGCTTTATTACCATGTTTAGTGTTGGCATAGCAAGCTAAGCCATAAATGACCTGTATAACATAGCACAATGAATGGAGCACACATCATTTAGGAGACATTTTCTTCTGCAACAGAACAGACGGGCCTTCTAGGCGCGTGTCATGAGCCAGCACAAACTTACCTTACTCCCAAGTTTCCCCCTTAAGGGGGGACGGCGATCTAAAGATTTCTTTAATTCTTTTCTGTCCTGATTTCTTATAATTAAGAAAATAAAACATAGATTTACAGCAATAAAACTGACAGCAATATGTGTAATAAGCCTGGTAAATTGTGAAGATATTGCAGAACTGCATCAGACTCTAGGAGGAAAGGTGAACGATCATGAGTCACTCAAACAAGCTTCCTTTGCATCACACCAGGAAAGAACCGCATGGCAGGATTAAGTTATTTATAATAATTCATGGACACTGATAACCAAGGTCTGTGGGTGTATATGCAAGAGCCTTCTCACAATCATCGAAAACCATGAATTACATTTTTAAATCCAATTCACACCCTAAAAAATGGAATTTCATTTTATATGTGAATTAATGCCATCTAGTGACTAATATAAAGAACTGCAGTCAATGCATTTCTTGAAGAATTAAAACTTACCTTATATATTTGCCTAAAATAGTGGGTTTTAAAGAGTGTCTAAAGGACTGACATTCCATAAAACAGGCGTAGTTCTAGCAAAGTCCAGGGTGTAATCGAAAATGAGGATAGACATGTCATTGGTATAGGCATGGTACTTACTTTCAGATTAACTTGATTGTATAGATTACACAGTAATAGTGAAGCATCCATGTGATCGCTAGGAATTCAAATGTAATTCTTCCATGCAGAAGATACCAGTTTAAGTTTGCTAAAGGGCAAGGAGAGGAAAGTGTGAGATTAGATGATACAAGATGATCCGAGCAGAAGCATTTGTTATGGTTTAAAAAGGGATGATCTGAACATTAAGAGCAATTGATAGGAGGATGCTCTACTTTCAAAGAGGCAAATATGAACTGTATTTAAACAGGCACACGTATCTAGTACCAGCTGGGCATGATATTAAAGGACCACTATAGTGCCAGGAAATCATACTCGTTTTCCTGGCACTATAGTGCCCTGAGGGTGCCCCCACCCTCAGGGTCTGCCTCCCGTCCGGCTCTGGAAGGGGGAAAGGGGTAAAAACTTACCTTTTTCCAGCGCTGGGCGGGGAGCTCTCTTCCTCCGATCCTCCTCTTCTCCTCCCCGTTGGCTGAATGCGCATGCGCGGCAAGAGCTGCGTGCGCATTCAGCCGGTCACATAGGAAAGCATTTACAATGCTTTCCTATGGACGCTGGTGTGCTCTCACTGTGAAAATCACAGTGAGAAGCACGCAAGCGCCTCTAGCGGCTGTCAGTGAGACAGCCGCTAGAGGAAATAGGGGAAGGCTTAACCCATTCATAAACATAGCAGTTTCTCTGAAACTGCTATGTTTATGAAAAAATGGGTTAACCCTAGCTGGACCTGGCACCCAGACCACTTCATTAAGCTGAAGTGGTCTGGGTGCCTAGAGTGGTCCTTTAACAAAGTACTGTAAACAATTATATATGTTTTGGTTTATGATGACTTTAATGCATCACACAGTTCCTGCAGATATTTAATGTTGCACAACATTTCTGTTTCACCCATCCCAAAGGTGCTCTATTAGATTAAGATCTGGGGACTGTGCAGGTCACTTTCAAGTTTAAACGGAGGTCTTTATTATGTTTTCTAAATTAACTCTTGCTCTGATGTGTGCTTTGTAACATGGAATAGAGTTTGGGATGGGTAGACAGTGGTCATAAAGATATTCAGAAGACATACCACCCAAATGCCCTGGAATTAATGGGACATTTTTGGCGTGTTTACTGCTGGCATTTTCTGGGAACACCAGGGAAACATTTTTATTTGATGAATTTCAAGGGTACCATTCAATGCACTTATGTTTAGTTTTTTTGCTAACTCAGGGCGTCTCTGCCCATACAAGGACACTTTAACAGTGTGATGTGCATGGGAAACTACAAGGGGGTGGCCAGAGTACCTGGTGATCTTCAACTTCCTCTCCCTCACATTGCTGTTTCTCACAACTTCTCCCAATCGCAGGATGGTTTTGTTTATCATACAGTTCTCTGTAAACACTGGATTTTAACTCTTAAATCAGCATCCAAAAGTATGTCCACATGGTGTTTCAACTGGGTCAAGTTGGTATAGAAATAAGGGGAGATTTATCAAAGTATTCTGTTCTAAATAATGGTGCAAAACTGTAACAGGATGAGTCACAAATGCAATGTGCCTGTTGGTTACACTGGTTTCCATGGTGATTGCACCACATTAAGTACTTTAGCACAGAACACGTTGATAAAGTTCACCAATTCTATTGGTGAGGCCCAGATAAAGTACTTAGAATATTTATGGAGGAGGTTTTAAAACATGAACATATGTCTAAAGTTCGATTTTGCTGAATGGAAAGAAAGGGGTGAATGTGCATATTATAACGAAGGGAAAACATTTTTTCAAAAAAAGAACACGTTGAAAGCTCTTCTGAGAACTTTGACCGTTCCGCACACCTTGACTTAGAACGCCAATTCTCAAGCCAGATTACGCAATTCTGTTCCAATGGGGGTATCACTAAAAACCAGAACTGTTACTGATCTCGGGGGTCTCATTATAGATACTAACGCAGCAGCTACAGGCAAGCCTCGCATTTTGGAATTATTGCTTCTTTGAAAATGTTGTCTTTTAGCTTCCAGCTGTCTCTTTGGCTATATCCTAGACCTGTATGTAACAGAATATAGTACTATCTCGTAGGGGAATTCACAACTGTGTAAATGTATTTTATATAGGCAAATGAAAATTATATAGCTTAGTATTGATGGGAGGAAGCTATAATTATGTTCAGATGTCAAAAATGTATGTGTACTGATAGAATATTTTGTGCACTTAGCTCCCAGCATTTAGCCCCGATGAAATATGTTTCTTCTTGGGGTTGGTGGGTAATATTGAACCTTTTATATCACATAATAATTTACCAAAAACCAAGTACATGGTACATAAAATAGATCGGAACAGTACCAAAATATTTATTTTACACAAGTCAATTTATTTATTTTTATTTGACAATTTTTATTGACAAACCACTAAATTACAACCCATTGTGTCTCAATATGTATCAGTTTAGCATGACAAATCAGAATGATACATACCGGTACACAGATCATATATTAATGTGCCTGTGTTCTCGGTGAGACAAACATTTTTCATACATAAGGAACAAAATTAACAAAATGAAAGTAACAGGAAAGAAAAATTTATTCTGCATCGTGCGAACTCACATTATCCACTGGGTGACCCCCCCGTGACCACTTCCCTCTCTCAGCCCCCAACCCTCACAGTCTATCCAAGTTTGCCAGTATGAAATCGTTTTCTCTCTTTGGGCGTGTGGGATCATATAGGAAATAGTATGATGTGTGTTGCCGGCACTTTATGTTCCCATGCTATAAGATCCAGCAGAAGTAGCATGGTTTTTAGGGTGTAGGAGTATCGTAATCCCTGCTACTTTGGATATGAGAGATTGAACCTCGTCCCACATTCCCACCAGGCGTTGGCATGTCCACCATAAGTGGATCATAAACCCCCCTCGTTCCCCGCATCTCCAGCATAGTGGCGGATACCCAGGGAATATGCGCGCCAGTCTATCCGGGACCATGTACTAGTGTAGGATGATCTTCTTGTGGAGCTCAAGATGTGATGCCCAATGTGATATCCCCTTGAGGGCCGTGAAAATTTATCTCTACCTTTTTTCGGGAATGTCCTCCCTCGCATATGAGCAGAGTGAGAAGGGTTCATGTGTACATATCGATAGATTTTTCCTACCAAGAAGAGCTCCCAAGCACATCTTTTCAAAGTTTGACATTGGTCTCCCAGGCCCGTGCTGCTCGTGTTAGATGCTAGGAGATGTTGTATTTGGATGTGGGCATAATATAGCACTCTATGTTGTTTATCAATTAGTTGTTGGAAGGTGAGTTGGACTCCCTTATCATATAGGTCTAACAGGTAATGGATTCCCGCTCACTTCCACTGAGTGATATTGAATTGAGATATTAGGTAAAGTAATGCTGTGATTGGCAAGGCCCTGGATAGTTGGATGGATCTAGGTGGTTATCCCTGTATCTGTCCCAACAGCTTAGCATAGCCTTAGTTGTTGGTAGTAATTGTATATGTGGTATGTCTGCTGGTGTTCTCGGTCTCTGTGCCGTGACACAAGTTAATTTCAAAAGATATTTGCTGTGCCTTTAAGACATGTTGGTGGGACTTTAACTGATATAGATTTATTGGCATATTTCTACTTATGATGTGTTTCCTTGTTTTCAAATTATGTTCACATACATGATGACTTACACTATCTTTCGCTATATATTTATACACTCACACAGACACACACATGCCATATTCCGTTTCATATGTTAAATAATGCCTGTAAAAGGAACTTCATCATCCTGAAAGCTTGCAATCACCACTCTCAGCTAATCAATGCAAGTATCCCTCTTGCATATTTTTTGTGAATTTTACATATGATTCACACACACAAATGTAAATTTCTGTGCTCCTAAAAATGGTTATATGTTTGGCAAAGGAAGGGTCCCTGTATCTAAAAGTACAAAAGGAACACTCTAACATTACAAATACATGTATTTATTTTTACTGTTAGTGTTCTTTTAGTAGAAATGCAAACACAACATTTGGGTAATGAGCAGTTTGGCTAGTGAATTCTTCTAGTTGGCAATAATTGCTAGATATGTAGATGTGTAATACTACAGTGTGGGTATTATGGTAGTATTATTATTTAATGTCTTCTTCTGTCTATTCCTTTCAGATGCAGCGATTGTGGATTGTCCCTGTCACATCGATACTATGAGAAGGATGGGAGACTGTTCTGTAAGAAGCACTATTGGGCACGGTTTGGGGGTATGTGCCATGGGTGTTCCGAGCACATTACCAAGGGGCTGGTTATGGTAAGTATAGGGTAGTAGACAATGGTGAGACTTACATACAGAGGGCCCTGGTGCAAGAATATGTTTCCTCCTCCTATTGCAAGGGTGGCCGAAGGTAGAGATCCCCATCTGTCATACGTCTCCGACAATGCTCTGACAGCTGGAGATCTTCCATTTTCTCATGCTTGCAGGGTTGTATTTAGCACCGAGCAGTGTTTGTTTGTGTGTTTGAATGTAGTATGCTTTTATATGGAGCGTTTGTGAATCTAGGGGTGTGTTTGTTTGCAGTCTTGGCGTTCGAATGTAAGCATTAATTTGTGTGTAGTCTTGGTTTTAAATGCAGTGGTGTTTTTATATATACTTTTGGTGTTTAATACAGAGGTGTGTTTGTATGCAGTGTTGATGTTTGAATGCAGGAGTGTGTTTGTATGTAGTGTTGATGTTTGAATGCAGAGGTGTATTTGTGTGCAGTGTTGGCATTTGAATACTGACATGCATGCATATATACATATAAACTGCCACACACACTGTGATGCACATACACACACTGACATACAAGCAGATACACATATACACACACTGACACACAGATATACACACATTTACACACGGATACACATTGAGATGCACAAACACACATACTGACAGCGCAGATACACACTGACACACACACACATACAAACATACAGATACACATAGACAACACTAACACACAAACAGATACATACATAGCACACATACAAATACACACAAGCTAAGCTAGTTGGGAGTTAGGGGCTGGCTCTCCCAGTACACCCTCCCCTCCTTTCTGTCTACTCATCCTGCTCTGCCATGCAGCTCCCTGCTCTCTGCTCCCTCTGCATGTCTCCATCTATTTGGGAGGAAATAACCAGCTGTCACTTCTTCTCAGCCGTCTGCAATAAGAAAGAGGCCCGGTCACCCTATTAAAGCACCACAGAGTCCAACCGGACTCCTGCTGGCAAGTGCCCACTGGGTGGCCCTAAGTACATGGGCCATTTGGTGGGCCCCCTTCAGTGTGCGGACCCAGGTGCAGGAGCACTGGCTGCACCAGCCATAGTTCCACCACTGGTAGTAGGTACCTGGCTCATTATAAAATAATTTTAGTTAAACGTGAATCTGTCACATACTTTATAATTTGCTATTTTTACAAAACTATACAGGTAAAATAAATTATCCTATTTTCTAGTTACTGAGGGCTATTTTTGCATTTTTTTCTTTTTTTGTGTGCATTGTTCTGTATGTACAGATGTGCATAGAGTCTATAAAAATACATATCATGATCCTAAAGAACCTTACTGTTTTAAAAACAGGGACTTTGCTAGAGGGGTTGACGGGTGGATCATCTGTAATACTGAGAGAGAAATAACACCTCTAATTACATAATTTGTGATAGTTCAACTTTAAAGCACCGTATTTGGAGTTAATTATACAGCACGGTGTAGGGTATTGATGTGGATGTCAATATATGTGGTAGGGGCCGTAATATTCACCCTTGAGCTGAAGAAACTGGTGTTTTTGCCACCTAGCAATGTGTCTGCCTAACAAACCAGCTCCTATATCTCAATACAGTATAATGCATGCTTGTTTGATGGTGGCAAGATGGGCATAGATTATTTTTGGGACCAGATTGTAATAATGACGTTTATTATCATTGAGTTGATGTTTGAAATGCTATTAGTTTCCTCAACATTTTAGTGGAGGACAGGTTTTAGAAATGTTAAGGCCCTATAACGGTGACTTATAAATACATGGTATGGATTTTGTTTCCAAATTCTTTTTTTTTTTTTGTCTTTTTGTCACAGTGATGTCTTTTTTTTTTGTCTTTTTTTTAGGTAGCAGGAGAACACAAATATCACCCAGAGTGTTTCCTGTGCTCCCGCTGTGCAGCTTTTATAGGAGATGGAGAAACGTATGCTCTGGTGGAGAGGTCCAAGCTGTATTGGTAAGCAAAAGATATAATATTTACATCCCTGACCAATCCAGGAGGGATAAGCCAAATGGCAAATGATTTAGGTAAACTAGAAAAATGGTCAGAATTGTGGCAACTGACATTTAATGTGTATAAGTGCAAGATAATGCATCTTGGACGTAAAAACCCAAGGGCAGAGTACAGAATATTTGATTGAGTCCTAACCTCAACATATGAGGAAAGGGATTTAGGGGTGATTATTTCTGATGACTTAAAGGTAGGCAGACAATGTAATAGAGCAGCAGGAAATGTTAGCAGAATGCTTGGTTGTACAGCGAGAGGTATTAGCAGTAGAAAGAGGGAAGTGCTCATGCCATTGTACAGAACACTGGTGAGACCTCACTTGGAGTATTGTACACAGTACTGGAGACCGTATCTTCAGAAAGATATTGATACCTTAGAGAGGGTTCAGAGTAGGGCTACTAAACTGGTTCATGGATTGCGGGATAAAACTTACCAGGAAAGGTTAAAGGATCTTAACATGTATAGCTTGGAGGAAAGACGAGACAGGGGGGATATGATAGAAACATTTAAATACATAAAGGGAATCAACAAAGTAAAGGAGGAGACTATATTTAAAAGAAGAAAAACTACCACAACGAGAGGACATAGTCTTATATTAGAGGGACAAAGGTTTAAAAATAATATCAGGAAATATTACTTTACTGAGAGGGTAGTGGATGCATGGAATAGCCTTCCAGCTGAAGTGGTAGAGGTTAACACAAAGAAGGAGTTTAAGCATGCGTGGGATAGGGATAAGGCTAGGGACTAATGAAAGCATTTAGAAAATTGGGCAGACTAGATGGGCCGAATGGTTCTTATCTGCCGTCACATTCTATGTTTCTAATGTTACACTGCATTCCGCACATTCTATGTAGGACACATGTCACCATCAATTCACCAGTGCTGTGTCACCTCCCTATACAGGGAGAACCTTGTATATATAATCATTATAAATTCTGATATGCTATGCCTTCTAAACCCATTGCATTTCACTTCGGTGGCAGCATTATATGGTTTAGATATCATCCAATACAATATGTATTCAGATATAAAGATCTCTGCACTTCAGAACGTGCAGTTATTCCGTACACTTCCTTTCCATGTCCCAGAAGCCCTTCACCATCGTGAGCATCTTTTTAAATAGTAGCAAAATAATCTTAGATGAAATAAACATGAATTGCAGGCTGAATCGTACACAATTGAATTTTACAAGTTGTTTAGTTGTGTGTAACTCTAAATTGATTGATTGTAAAGGCTGACTAATTTGTATATACACAAAATGATTTAATCTCTTGAGGTACCTAAATTACTTGTGTAACCAAGATAGCCACATTTTTTAAAAAGAGAAAAAATCTCCAAATCAGCCATGTTTTCAGTTACGATATTTTGACCTAAAATTTGAAATCAATTTGAAATTCACTTTGAATTCCCGGCAAGTCACACTTTAGGTTAGGGAATAATCCTGCGTGTGACCTAGCCAACGTTTGACCCATCCCATGATTAAGATAACCATAGCTGATAAAATGTATCTTCTGGGTTTATTTTACTTAGATTGTATGGAAATGGCTCTTAGTTTCTTGGAATGAATTCCTGTTGTCTACCAGAGCTCTCTGATTCTTAAGTCCTACATAACACTCACCCAACAAAAGTATTCAAAATTAATCCTCGTTACGTTCATTCCATTTAGGTAATTAGAGGAGATTTAAAACATCTGCAGAGACAGCAGCTGCCATTATTAATCAACAGTACTCGGAGAAGAACGGAATTCATCAATACAATGATTCCAAAAGTTATCAGCATATATTGCATGAATGCAGGATGTTCACCCAGTAAATAGTCAATATTTGCTTTACCTCTTTCTCTTTTCTGTTTCCCTCAGTGGGCCATGTTATTACCAGCATGCCGTGACCCCGTCAATCGATTCACCAACGTCACGAACACCCCACACAGTCACCCTGGTTTCTCTCCCTGCTTCAGATGGCAAACGCGGTCTGTCTGTTTCCATTACGCCATCCTGTGCTGAGCACTCTCATACTGTGCGGGTTCGCGAGTGAGTATTTCTTCAGATTAATAACGCGCATGGCCTGCACTAAATTGACAAATTGACTTGCAAAGCACCAGCAGATCTATAGCTATTATACTGCATATCAACAGTAATATATTCAAAACATCCATAGCTGTCTAATAGCATTCCGCAAGTGTAAAACTCTCTAGATAAAATAACATGTGGAAAGTGGAAAGGCTTTAATCTAAAATATCTACATCACACTGACATATGGAGCTGCAAAGGTGAAACATGTCATATGATCTTTAACCCTATTTTCTACATCCAGATGTATGTGTCCAAAATATCTCTTTTACCAGTTTTTAAACAATGTGGGAAGCAATATGATGGGAATGATTAGGTCTGATCACTTCTCGCCAAGGAATGGCGAGGAATGCAAGGCAATTTTACAGGTTCACGTACACCCTAGCTCTAAATGCAGGCTTAGCTTAGCTCTTCACATTCCTGTACTCCAGAATGATAATATATCCATGCATATTACAAAATAAATTCAAGTGCTTTCATGAACACTAATAAAGGCATATGATTTTTACTGTCTCCACCATCAACAAAACTGAACATAATTGAAATGTATTGAAAAGTTCTGCAGTGCACAGTGTAAAATAGAATTTCATAGTCTGACAATGCACTCACCATAAAATCCACTAGGTGGCACTCATATTCAAAAATATATGTGCACAATATAGATAGCGGAACCAAGAGTCAAAAACATTTAGCACTTATCTATATTAAAAGCACTTACATGGGAAATGTCTGCCACTTTGAGATTGATCTAAAAAGAATGCAAAACTGAAAAAAATCATAAAAATAAGATGATTCTTTTTTTTTTTTTTTTTTTAAACCTGTAGAAGGTACTCGTTTTATCAAATGCTTTACAATCAATGTTTTCATGATTAATCTCCTTTAGAAACTTCTTGTTTGCTGTCTCGTTATCTACTGCATGGATTCTCGTTGCTTTTTTTTTATTATTATTATATCAAACATCGTTTGATATAATTAATTTCCCCTATTTTTGAATTCTCTGTTTTACAAGTTTCTATGTAAATCTACCTAAAATATCCTGTGCAAGTTGCAGCAACAGAAGATGTCCGAAAGATACGTTTCATGACAATATTTCAAAGCTTTTCTTATTAAATGTGGGTTTTTTAGTTTAATTTTACGTATCTGTTACTGGCAGCCAACCATGTCTACATGTTTGCAGTTATTAAGGATGGAGTCACCAGTTTGTTGGGTCCAATATTTACATTGTGTTTTGTACACGCCAGGCTCTTAGAAGAATGGAGGTGTATAGAGATGTAATGTCACAATACACAAGTCAGTAGAGCTCAGAATTATATAGTAGTTAATCCATCTATCGACACTGTACACTCAACCATACTACAGCAGAAACACATAGGGATACGATGTTATATTCCTGTGGACTGTGTGTATATTGCAGTGTATGCAGAGAAGGAGCAGGGTCAGGGTGCTAATGTGTGTGCAGACACCCTAGAAGTCAGTGGGACAGTTTTAGCTACAACCGGACCCCTGAAAATTGCGTATTATGTTACTATGACTTTTACACACCGTGGCACCCAAATGTCTTGATTCGTGTAGCAATTGCTGTGTTTTTGTGACAGCTGTATTAGCAAGGCCTTCTCTGGTGTTGCATATAGGGATCCTAAAGTATTTTTATGCGTTTTATTTAGTGCTTTTCTTCAGGTGTATTTTTCTTTTCCCATGGATCCACAACTGCTTCTGCAAACACACTTTAACATGCCCTGTGTATTTTCTCTATTAACCCTTTCTTTCCCTTACAGGCTTGATGCTGACTGTCTGAGTCCAGATATCCATGGCTCCATCCACGTTGGAGACCGCATACTGGAGATTAATGGCACTCCTATCCGCAGCGTACCCTTGGATGAGGTAGTCACATTGCTTATCTTTTGCCTGATTTCTCTTGCCTGTGTTTTGGATCAATGCTGACCTCTCTGGTTTTGCTTTTCAGATCGATCTCTTGATACAGGAAACAGGCCGGCTCTTGCAACTGACTATTGAACATGACCCTCACGAGGCTTCCATACTGCCTACCAGCTGCACAGAGACTGCCGTTAGACGACAGAGACCTGTGACGTAAGTAGCCAGCTGACTCTACGGTTTGCCTTTTGCCCATTTGCTAGGAGAATGGTCTGTACCACATGGGAATATGAACTTTTATAAGAATTGTAGGACTTTCTAAAAATGTTATTAGAACAACTTTAAATGTGAAATGGGCATTTATTAACTAAATGAACAAATAAAAATATATAACTCAGTAGCTTTCCTTTTGGTTATTCCCTGTACTGGTATCAAATGAGTTTTTGATTACCTGTGCCATTACCTAGATAACCATTTACATAACAAGCTGATGCTATCCATATATCAATTCCTTTTATGTGTTGAATTTCCTAAATTTCCAGTGGTTCCATTAATGTGTCAGTAAATCTTTTAATTGCTTATGTTTGACTGTTTAACTTACGCTACAGGCCAATTTTTTCCCAGAGCTTGTAAAAGCAAGTGGTGAGTGTTGTTGAAAAGTATCAGAACGATAAGATTTTGATCAATTCAACAGTTATCACAGCTCACTGGCATACGTGAATATATGTTGATAAATATCAAGCAATACATTGTCATCTATCTGATCTAACTATAACTAAACATTCATAGTGGCTCATTTATCCTCTAAGAGATAGGGATCAGGCATGGTTGGTAAAAAATAGTAAGGTAATTTGATAAATATGTTATGTCTGTGTTTATGTTCTAACTGCAAAGTTGCTTCCAAATCAGTACATCATGCACAATGAGAGCGTGCAATCTGCTGATTAGAACTATTCAGTCTGGCAATTAAAATCAAAACTTTCACTCTGTCATTGAAGGGTTAAAAGAGACTAACATGTAAATTGCAAAAAAAACTTCTTGCGTCTCATCTTCCCCAAATCAAAGGTTTATTGGTCTTTATTTGTTTCCATTAAATCCTGTTTGATGATTTAGAAATCCAAGCACATGCTGTGACGTCTGTTGCATCCATTCAAAGAATGAAAAGCTGTTCAATCAAGAGAAGTGAATGAAAGTTTCACTTGCATCAATGACTTTCATTCATGTTTTTCTAATGAATGAAATCACAGTGAAGGCAGCTCACTATCTACTCTCCCCATTCAAGAAAATGGAATGCCGTGGTATGGCTGAGAGAGTCCAGGCAGTTTTAATATAAGTAATGGGCAAAAGAGGAATCTCAGGTGCCAGGGAAAAAGAAGAACATAAATAAGGTTATTTTTCCTTTTCAATTATTTCATAAAGTCATTTTTTTTAATTATGTATTAAATAGGTATTCCTGAAGTCTTCCTTTAAATGAGTTACAGTGAAATGAAGAACAATGTCTGTAATTAAACAACATTCACCTGCAGTATACATAGACCAGGGTGGCCAATAGGCAGACCCTAACTACTATATTACTACAACACCCCATGATACCTTAAAAGCACCCTGTTGTAGGCTTTTGGTAGATTGTTTTAGGGGATAGTCTGCTTGTTGTAAATGTAAACTCATTTTGTGCAGAACACTGGTATGATGGAGTGTGTGCCTGTACTACACATGTCAGAACTTAGGTATCATATGATTAATTATATAATCTTAATGTTTTTATAGATAGTATTATTATTTATTGCATCGCTGCTAATGGGGACAATAACATGTATGTGCTTTGTAATGGATTATGTGCCGTCCTATAAAAAACATTGACTAATTAATACTTCAGTTTCTTGCTGCACAGTCGTCTCATTACAATAACAATGAGAAGCACATTACTCACTGTAAAATGTACTTTGCTGCTCTGTGGAATGGGGGGCTCATAATCAAAGAGATAATATTCCTTAGATGTACTATGAAGATTACGTACCTACAAGAACACAGTGCAGTCCTGGAAATGTATTTCAGTGTCTGGAAACCTCAGAATATGCCATTGCATTAGTCACATATCTAACAATATAGGATTCAAAACCTTACTGATTTTGGACATACTTTTGATAGGTGGAATATATACAATATTTACCAACTGATTTTATATTGGACATACTGTACCCTTGGTATAGAGTTTTCAGATATATCATTTATGAGTCTGTCTCCCTTTTTAATTACTTTGTCCCCTGACCCATTGGTCAGAATGTTCCGTATTACCTCATGGAATCTCAAACATACAAAATAATTGAGTGCATCAATGTCTGTTATCATTGGCCATTTTTACATCATTATTTATGAAATAAAATGTCTACATTCCATAAACCATATCAGGGCACTTTAGGCATGACGTAGCCTATCTACACTGTGTTTGGATATATCCCCTGGTCTCTGGCCATTACTTCAAATACCTCCACAATACTAAGTAAGCTCCCGAGTTATCTTGCTTAGTATAGGAGTACTGTATCTGCTTAGACTGCAAGCTCACAGGGCAGGGTCCTCTTCTCCTTTTGTATCTGTACGTGTTTATTATTTGTCGGAATTCCCTCTAGTTTACAACGCTGCAGAATATATTGGCACTATATGGATACCTAATAGCGATATCCATCATAAACTCGGGGACCATTCAAACCCATCAACATATTCCGTTGGACTTGGAGCTTTAGAGTTGGACTAATCCCTGCAGTGTGGCTGCTTGGAAGTCATGTGTTCTCTTTTTGAATATAAAGATTTGTTACTGTAGATACTGCTTAAACTTGACGGCTGCAGGGAATCCTCCATAGACCTCAATGCTGTACTCTCGCACATGCGCAAGAACACAGCAGTGACATTGACTCCAAAGAGAACCCACTTGATCAAGATTCAGCTAACCTTTACCTGCCCCCCTGGCTCCCGGACCCCAAGCAGCAATGAAATTTGTAAAATTCTGCAAAGCCCCCTGACGGTGACAGTGCCACTTTAATGTGAACCGTAAGAGGGGTGAGAGGTGAAAGGGGCCTTACTCACTCAAACTTTCATTCTAGAGGAAGAATAATGTCCGTATAAAAGATGTGAACTGCAATGCATCTATAAAATTGGTTGCTGTACAATAGAAAAAACTAAATAAACCAGAGACTGAGGTAAATTAATGTAGGTGAGACTGGGGTAAATTAATGTAGGTGTGACTGAGGTAAATTAGTGTAGGTGAGACTGGGGTAAATTAGTGTAGGTGAGACTGGGGTAAATTAGTGTAGGTGAGACTGGGGTAAATTAGTGTAGGTGAGACTGAGGTAAATTAGTGTAGGTGTGACTGAGGTAAATTAGTGTAGGTGAGACTGAGGTAAATTAGTGTAGGTGAGACTGAGGTAAATTAATGTAGGTGAGACTGAGGTAAATTAGTGTAGGTGAGACTGGGGTAAATTAGTGTAGGTGAGACTGAGGTAAATTAGTGTAGGTGAGACTGAGGTAAATTAGTGTAGGTGAGACTGAGGTAAATTAGTGTAGGTGAGACTGGGGTGTAGGTGAGACTTAGTGTAGGGAGAGAAATATCATGTAATAATAAATCCTTACCCTAAAAAAAGCAATTTTTATGATAGAAGAATGTAATTTCCATTGTGTAATAACCTTGGTTGACTAATTGTTAGATTGATTATGTTTATGGTTTTCATAAATCTTATGTTTGTTTCCGTAGACGTAGTTGCAGTATTGACCGGTCCCCTGGATCCAGTTGCGTGGGGTCGCCTGCCTGCTCTCGCAGGGACATGTCCCGTTCTGAGTCAGTCCGTGGTGCTACAGGTTCACATCGAATATTCCGATCTTCTGACCTTATTCCTGGAGAGGTCCTGGGGAGGGGCTGCTTTGGACAGGCAATAAAGGTGAGTAATATTCCATTTTTGCAGACCAAAACCATTCAAAATAAAGTGATTTATAATCATGTAATTGAGAGCAATATTGTACACATGGTTAGCACCTTTGCTTCTCCTTAGGGAGAGGTATTAGCAGTAGAAAGAGGGAAGTGCTCATGCCATTGTACAGAACACTGGTGAGACCTCACTTGGAGTATTGTACACAGTACTGGAGACCGTATCTTCAGAAGGATATTGATACCTTAGAGAGGGTTCAGAGAAGGGCTACTAAACTGGTTCATGGATTGCGGGATAAAACTTACCAGGAAAGGTTAAAGGATCTTAACATGTATAGCTTGGAGGAAAGACGAGACAGGGGGGATATGATAGAAACATTTAAATATATAAAGGGAATCAACACAGTAAAGGAGGAGACTATATTTAAAAGAAGAAAACTACCACAACAAGAGGACATAGTCTTAAATTAGAGGGACAAAGGTTTAAAAATAATATCAGGAAGTATTACTTTACTGAGAGGGTAGTGGATGCATGGAATAGCCTTACAGCTGAAGTGGTAGAGGTTAACACAGTAAAGGAGTTTAAGCATGCGTGGGATAGGCATAAGGCTATCCTAACTATAAGATAAGGCTAGGGACTAATGAAAGTATTTAGAAAATTGGGCAGACTAGATGGGCCGAATGGTTCTTATCTGCCGTCACATTCTATGTTTCTATGTTTCTATGTTTCCTTCATTATTATAGCCTGAATTACCACCAGTCAGAGCTCCTATTGTTTATTTCAGTGTTACATGCAATGAACCGCTATTATTTACCTCTGTGGTTATATCCAGTCACCTGCCTATTTCTGTATGGGCATTCCTTTTAGTTACATTTTAGGTAACTGATGAGCAGGAATACAGGTTAAACAACTCTTAATAGCTTTGTTATCTTACCATGGCTGACAATAAAATCTACCAATTCAGCTCTTGGTCTCTAGTTACTAATACACTCAATGCTTGCAGGTTACCCATCGCGTGACTGGAGAGGTTATGGTGATGAAGGAGCTTATTAGATTTGACGAAGAAACTCAAATAACGTTTCTCAGAGAGGTGAGTGTGAATGTTAAGATGTATCACTTTGAGAGTATGTTAGAGAGATAGTAAATATGTATGGCTTGCGCAGTTTACTTAAGAAAGTATAATTAGTGTGAAGCAAGTTATGATTTTCTAATAGGCATGCAACCCGGTCAGTAATACTGGAACTGTTTGCATTTCCTTGCAATTCCTCTCCGAATGTATCGTACTGTCGTACTTATCGTTTTACATTTGGCCAGTGATGATTGCAATTTTTATTGGGGATGAGATTTAATTATATGTCCTTACTGGGCTATTTCTCCCACTTTCATTGCAATAGTTTTTGCAATATTTCCTTGCCAACAAAAAATTAATAATGGCTGACGACTCAAAATGTAAAATCTACACTTCTAGGCAGGACTAAAAGTTATTTGTTAGCTGATATGAGTGCAATCAATCTGTGATTATTGTCACATAAAAATTGTCTTTCTGACTGATGCACCAACTTAGCCCAATATAGTCTTTTGCTACATGTGACTCAGAGAAACTCCACTGGTAACTGCCTCAAAACTTTAGCTTCCCTAAGCACTTTCTGTAAAGAGCGATTCAATTAACAGAGCAAGAGATAACGTCTTATAAAGTAAACACACTGTGCTGTAAGATCTCATTGAAATGAAAAACATTTCATGTAGGCTGTGTGAGTTCCAGCCAGGGGATGTGTGTCTAGGGCGGCATAAACACAAACAAAAGAATTTAACTCCTAAGTGGTGGAGAATATAGAAGTGAGACGGGAGGAGCATGATATATACACTAAAACTGCTTCCAAGCTAAAGTTGTTTTGGTGCTCAGAGTTTCCCTTTAATATACAATAATACCATGCCCTTTCAGGATATTTGAACGTATAACTTTTAACTGGTCAACTTTTCCCATGTGAAATAACTGGACTAAATGCTTACTACATTGTGCTGAAACTCCTAGTTCTACCAAGTCTAGGGAGTGAATCAGAAGCTTAGAAAAACTGTTAACTTATGCTTTATAAGGCTGATTTTTTGCGTAAATGTATTTAATTATGTTATGATGGCTCTGAAACAGGTTATAATTGCAGCGCAAAGTTACTTTTATTTCAGCGCTTTGTCTATGTCTGTTTTCTAGGTGAAGGTGATGCGAGGTCTGGAACATCCGAATGTACTAAGGTTTATTGGAGTGCTTTATAAAGACAAACGGTTGAACTTTATCACTGAGTACATTTCGGGAGGCACCCTGCGTACTGTCATAAAGAACATGGTTAGTTTATGAATTTGTCTTCTGAATATTTACATAGGTTGTTACTGCTGAATCATTGACAAAATTGGGTACTTTATCATTCATTACTTTTCCTAGATGATAAGCATCTTTTTTTTTAGAATAACTGGCTCGCTCTACGACCATTGTTAGCACCTTTATATTTTTTGGGGGTTATAGCATTTGTCTATTTCTTTGCGTTCTGAATAAAAGAAATAGAAAAATGCTATAACCCCCAAAGTCGGATTTTTCCTTATAGGAAAACATTTATTCTAATTATAGTGGATTTCCACCACATGATGATTACTCTATTAAAGGCAGTAATCTTCCCCGTGTTGGTGAATAAAGGGTTAAAAACCCTTAATTTACTTACCTTAACCCAGCGCCCGCCTCCCTCGTCGCTGGGTAGCAGCTCCGCCTTCTCCCCCGTCCCACGATGGACGTTAATGCGAATGTGACCTCCCCATAGGAAATCATTGAATAAATGTTTTCCTATAAGGAAAAATCCGACTCTGGATGTCCTCATGCAAAGTGTGAGGACATCCAGCATCAATTATCGGACCAAAGGTCCGTTTGGATGCAGGAGGCACCTCCAGTGGAGACACTGGAGGCAGACATAGTGCTGCAATGTAAACATTGCATTTTCTCTGGTACTGCAATGTTTTAACATTGCAGCATTAAATGCAATAGGGACACAGCACCCAGACTACTTCAATGAACTGAAGTGGTCTGGGTGCCTATAGTGTCCCTTTAAATCTTCTTTAGGTGTCAAACTCCTGTGGCCCTTTTTCTACCCCACTGTTTCTCTCTATCTTTGTGATCTATGAATGTTTAGTGTACAAATGTGAATCACAGAGCTCTGCAATGTGCACTTAATATTACAGTAAATATTTTACAGTAATTTTTTTGTGTAAATCTTTAAATGTAATATTCCTGATCATATAATTCATACATTTCACAAACTTTTATAAAATATGCTTTTAGTTCAGTTACCAATATTGGCTTAAATTGCTAGTCATATTTCAGAAAACCCACTGTTGTCCAAGAAAGTAGACAAAATACAAAACTGACCCACAAATCTCAAAGTTATTTAGAAAACACCTTTATGATACTGAAAATCAGACTGATTGGGATTCCATCATTTCTTGTTATATATGGATGAATACACTGACCCATATCACTTACTTCCGGATTGCTCAACCTTTTGAAAGTCAGGGACCATGTTGAAAGTTTAGTACATGACACAGGCTACACAATAGACATCTTTTCTATACAATACAATAGCAATGAAAGATGCAGTGACGGAGAACACTGGTTCTGCTTATTATTTTACTAATCATTCATTGTTAGGAACTATTTCTGTGGTATCTAATCAGAGGCAGTGCTCCAGATGACAATCAATCATTTTTGTCCTCGATTTTAACTTTAAGTGCTTCCTTCTGCAAAACTTTTGTTCGCATATATATATTTCTGCCCCGTGCATTGTAAAATGCATGCTGCAGGACAAGAGGTGTCCTTGTTGGGGATGTGGGAGGTATTTACATAAACCCTTAGAAGGGCTTCTCCGTATATATTGGGGGCCAGCTCGAGGTGTAACTTTCTGGGATTTGGATTACGCACCGCAACTGACTGATTATATTTTAGTCTCTAAAACGAATTTAGTTAATGTTACAACCAAGCTATTAATATATATTAGATGGTTGGTTTCACAGGCAACATTGCGTTGGTTTTTGTCAAACCATTGCAAAACAGCTTCACAAAGAAATTGGGGATGGGTGCTGTAGTTTGTGGATATGTTTTTTTAGAAGAAAGACCTAATTTTTTGCTTCCTCATTTTATTTTACAGGATCTTGAACATCCGTGGAACCAGAGGGTTCGTTTTGCCAAAGATATCGCTGCTGGAATGGTGAGATAGGAAAATTATTGTGTGTTCTTGTGTTTGCGTCATGAAACATATAATCTAAGATACCAAAGAAGTATGGGCACCCACAGGTCTTGTTTGCAATTAAGTATTTAAAGGAACACTAGGGGGTCAGGAACACAAACACGTATTCCTAATTCTATAGTATTAGCCCCCCCAATGCATTTCTATGAGGATCAGTGTCTCCATGCAGAAAGTGGAGACACTGAATGTCACAGCACTGCCCCAGGAAGCACCTCTAGGGGAAGCACCTCTGAGGAGTGGCCACTGGAGGTATCCCTACACTGTAATGTAACACTGCATTTTCTCTGAAAAGACCGTGTTTACTGGAAAAAGCCTGAGGGAATAATTATACCAGAACAAATACAATAAGCTGTAGTTGTTATTGTGACTATAATGTCCCTTTAAATGTTTATGCCATATCAATACCAATCAGGCATATCACTGTCTAGACCACAATGTACATTATATATAATATTAACAATCAAAGTAACAACGTAAAAACAAAAAATTATTTACTTACTCTACACTTCCAAGCTCCCCAGAACACAAAAGATCGGAACTGGAAGAGCATAGATTCACTAGTGAACACAACTAACTCAAATTATATACAGTAAAAACCAAAGACAAAAAGTTACCTGCGCTCTTCCCAAATCCCTATGTATAGTTAAACAAATGGAGGTCATTTAGTTACTCCAATGGCCATGAGAAGGAATGCCCACCTGCCATCGTCAAGGCAGGCCCCCCTCGACGGGTCCTACTCTGACCCTTTACCTTGCTTCCTTGAGCTTCTGGCAAAGATATCTCTAATGAGACAGAGAGGGGTATATTTGTATAAACCCCTACATGCTTATTAACTCTTAATAGGGAACACATGGGACATCCCATGTGTTCCCTATAAAAAGTTAGTAAGCATTAGAGATATCTTTGCCAGAAGCTCAAGGAAGCAAGTAGTCAGAGTAGGACCCGTCTAGGGGGGTCTGCCTTGACTTTGGCAGGCGGGCATTCCCTCTCATGGCCATTGGAGTAACTAAATAACCTCCATTTGTTAACTATACATAGGGATTTGGGAAGAGCGCAGGTAACTTATTTTCTTTAGAACAAAACAAGCTAGTAAATTAGGTGGACAGCGCTAAGAATTATTATAATAAAATCATACATACAAAGTTGGCAGCAGATTTCGCAATTATGTTTCTTACTCTAAAAAGGAAATAAAAGCACAATGATAGTCCAGTATGTTATGAATAATATGGTGATAAAGATATATTCCAAAGGGGCACTCACATTTTCCAGAGCTTAAAAAGCACTATTTTAGGAGCCTTGATGGAACAATCCCTGTCTAAGGATTTCTTTTTGCTGGTATCAGATTCCCAAGGTAGTGCGGTTCATCATATGAAAAAAAATAAGGATGTATACCGATGGTACAGTACGTATGTAAAGGATAATTAAATAATATTAGACCTACTTACATTTCCTAGAGCAATGACCTGCTCTAGTGTATGGAGCTTAAGGTGGAACAATCCCCGCCTAGGGATATATGTAGATCCGGAACAGCAGAGTGATGGTGAGAGTATAAGGAGCTCGAGAGTGACTGGGTATTAAAACAGAAGCGCGGAAGCCCTCTAGCGGCTGTCAATGAGACAGCCACTAGAGGCTGGATTAACCCTAATAAAAACATATTTCTCTGAAACTGCTATGTTTATAGAAAAAAGGGTTAACCCTAGCTGGACCAAACACCCAGACCACTTCATTAAGCTGAAGTTGTCTGGGTGCCTATAGTGGTCCTTTAACTTCTTTTCTTTGTGTTCACTGTATGTATTGGGGCTGATGTGCACTATGGTCGCTGCTGCTGCTGCCGCCCAAGAGTAGTTGGAGTTTGAGCGCAGGACTTGTTTTTTTGTATTTGTATTAACTCAAATTAGAGTTTCACTGCTATGTATCTTTTATATTACATGATAGTGTAAGGTTTGTGTAAGCATTACAAAAAAAGCTTTTTTGTAGCATAGGGGTTAATGTGCAGTTTGTTACCTAGGGGTTTATAGGTAGTGTAGTGCAGGGTGCAGGAGTCAAGTCCCAGTTCTGCCAAAGATTACAACCACCAGACTGCAGAAAGGTGACCCTTGCATTATTAGCCGTTCATTATGGGGAATAATAAAATCACAGAATTAGTGCTGATTAGATAGTGAAGTAGTGCTGGTTTTTGTTGGGGTATGTTACTTGCTCTGAGTTAAACCATTGGCTCATTTTACAGTTATAACAAACTTGTAATCAATTTCAGGCATATCTTCATTCGGTGCGAATAATCCATCGGGATTTGAACTCTCACAACTGTCTCGTACGAGAGGTAAGAGTAATCATAATGACTTCCCATTACTCAGATTTAGAATACTGGCACATCTGAAATTCAGTGTATTATTGTCTGAACACTCCAATTTCTGGAAAAATAATAATGGAATTGGAAGACTGATAGCACGAACCCCTTTCAGAATAAAACTATGTCTGGCATATGACTGTAATATTGCAGCAGAAGGAATCTTTGTTGTTTTATATGGAACATTAGGTCTGATACACTAGCTTCCCTTAAGATTTATGGCTCAATTTAAAATGTTGGTGCTTGCTTACAAATCTCTACCTAACGCTGCTCCTACCTATCCTCACTCTTACACAAGTATAAGTATGTCCGTCCAGGCCCTTACGCTCTGCTGAAGACTTGAACCTATCCTCTGTTCATACTTGCACCTCTGACTCCCACCATAAAGACTCCCCTAGGGCTATGCTCTTCCTATGGAACTCTCCCCTGCTTTGTTAGACTCTCATCCTGTCTCTGTTCCCTCAAAAGATCATTAAAAACTCACTTCTTTAGGAAAGCAAATCAATTAAACTGTTAATAGCTTTCCCTCCCCACACCTTGGTAACCCACCTTGCTGCCTCTCCTGTGTCATCCAAAAAACTAATCCTTCATTGTAAACTATTCTAGCAGCTTACTTTTTCCCGTGCATGAAATACATCCTACCCTTACCTCTTGTGTCACTATACCCCACTGCCATAGAATGTAAGCTTATATGAGCAAGGCCCTGTGTGTCTGACTTGTCTTGCTGCAAATATTTGTCTGTTAGCCCACCTATTGTACAGCGCTGCAGAATTTTTTGGTGCTTTATAAATAATAATATGAACATTTATCACATCTCTTTATTGGAAAATAGCCATGTGATATCTTTCTTCACCCTTATGGCTGATTAGTCTCGCATTATAGTTCTAGAGTCCTTTTCAGATTACACTCTACAACTGCCACTGTGGGCACAGTCAGCCTGGCAGTCTTAATCGGCTAGTGAATGTCTTTGTGCTCGTCCCACAGGATGGGAGCGTGGTGGTAGCAGATTTTGGACTGGCACGACTGGTTAAGGAAGAGTCTCGTGACCTGCGTAAGGACAAAAGGAAACGTTACACTGTTGTAGGAAACCCATATTGGATGGCTCCTGAGATGATAAATGGTGAGAAGTCATTTCTAAAAGACTGGAGGAAAATCTATCTTTGCTTTGGGATTGTTTGGGAACACGTTCTCTGGAAGTTAGTTATGACAGAATGCATAGTACAGATGGCTTTCTTTTTGTTTATTTTTCTTTATTTATCAAATGTCTTTACAAAAGTGAATAAAGTGATAAACTGTTACTGGTCGGGGCACACAGGTTCAGAATAATAAAAAAATGTTATTAAATGATTTGTAACTGTAGGCACTTAATATCCCTAACTAAAATACACTCTGAGTTCTACAATATGTTGGTTAAAGTCAGCCGTAAAGCACATTTACTATGACATTTAGTCAGAAAGGAATCTACAGTTCGAATTCCGGAGGGGCTCTGCAGTATTTTGTGTTTTAGATTTTATGTTTAGAAAATGAACACTTATATTTGGGCAAACACATATACACACACTACAAACATATATACAGTGACAAATACATACATCTAGAGCCACACATACACATATTTCATACATGTGACCAAAGGCAAATATCTACATACACATACAGACAGAAACATAGACATATACAACAGAGATACAGATATACATATACTTATATACTATATGGCTATATGCATTTGATGGGGGTGGTTATTCATCCCCTCTTGCAGGTCACACATAAATGCTTATGCCTTTTTGGGGGAGGTGGGACATTTGCCCTAGTGCCACCCTCCCATCACCCACCCCTCCATGACCCACCAATCTTTCCATAGAGCAGAAACTGTGACAGATTCTGAGTAAAAGTCACTTTTATCAAATTCTTTTTTGTTATGCTTTCACAGGGAGAATTTACGATGAGTCTGTGGATGTCTTCTCCTTTGGGATTATGCTGTGTGAGGTATTGCTCATTTAAAACTTTGCTTGTAGTCCAAGTTTAAAAGGGAGTTTTCTTTAAAACAAAAAACATTCTGGTTGTTAAAATGATATAATTAGCATCCCAATTAGGCCAACTAAACCACTGTAGATTGATCATCCAAAACAGCCACTGAAATTGCAGTTCTGGCAAGTTAATGGCATCTGATAGACAGCTCATTCCCTCCTGTGTACATGCACTCTGCTCTGCTCACATACAAAGTTTAGTATTACCTGCACATTGCAGCCCACTGTAAATCACCCCAATCTTAAAAAAAAAATCCTGTTCTTTCTGCCAACCTTATACAACTTTCTGAGAAAAAACTTTGTAAACCCAAAGTAGAGCTTGCATTGACTTCCACTTTAATTAACTGCCATTCTCTTTTTCAGATAATTGGGTGTGTGAGTGCTGATCCTGATTACCTCCCGCGCACCATGGATTTTGGGCTGAATGTCCGTGCTTTCCTGGATAGATATTGTCCCCCAACATGCCCCCGTGGATTTTTTCCTTGTGCTGTCACATGCTGTGACCTGGATCCTGAGAAACGGTACAGATTTTATTGTCTGCTTTTCTGAATGTAACCTCCTTCATTCAACTAATGCCAAAGGTTATGATGGATAATTTAACATTACAGTTAGCTCCTAGGCATAACTGATATTTCAAACTGATTTTGTAATAAAGCCATCTAATCTTCAGGGAGAGGTTTTATCTGACAGCATCATTGTAACACCAGCTGTATTACCCTACAGCTCTAGAACTATCATATACACGTTTTCTATCACCACTTATTCAGTGCTGATCGTTCCCCAGTACATTTGCCAATATTAAATACAAAGTTATGATAAACTCTGTATGGATCTACTTACTGTTCTTAACTCACCTGGGTCCTTTATCTTCTTGGACACAGCTGGTTAGTACAAATGAACCGGCATTTTGGGGGAATCTTTGTTACATTGTCGCCATCCATCTAAAGGCTGGGGGATTAATTGGAGTAAATTTTTTTGGTTAGATTGTGCCTATACATCTCAATGTTCTTTGGGTCATATTGTCTCTATATATGTTAAGGTTGTGGGTCTTTGGGTTATGATGTTTCTATCTAAAGGTTTGTAGGCTGATTGGGTTACACTAACTCTTTGGGTTATACATTCTCAAGGTTGGGGGCTCTTTTGTGGGCTACAGTATCTATAGGCATTCTGTGGTGAGGAGGGAAACAGGAAAAAAGAAAAGTGTATCGGAAACATCTTTATATATTTTATAATGTAAACTGTATGTTCTGTAAAGAGATTTTCCAAATTGTTTTATCTATTCCGTCTTTAAAATATGCTTTTTAATTGGCTACATTTACTTCCGCAGGTCAAGAAAAGCATGTGGATTTAACACTTTGACTTCTCTTGTTGTAGGCTTATTGTATACATTTATTAATTAATAAGGTAGTATTTCTCTGCGGATTCATTACTGAAATGTGCATGCTTGTCTCGTTCCTATAGAGAAAAAAATATTCAAGATACCTAGATCCCCATTATAACTCAGTTCTTCGTTTTCGTCTTTTGCAGACCAACTTTCTCACAATTGCAGCTGTGGCTGGAGTCTCTCCTTGGACACTTAAACATAAAAACGCCTCTCAATTCACATCTTGTGCAGATGGACGAGGACTTCTGGGAAATTTACAGGAGAGGGGATAGCACCCTGCATGTGCACCCAGAAATCCCAGAATAAACTCAAAGAGGAAGCATTCCTAAATGATTTACAAGCCATTCCCCAATTTGTGTGCTAATGGGGGCTCATATGCTTACCTTGCACAGAGTGGGATTAAACTCCACCTCCACGTTACGCAAAGAGACCTGTTGTGTCAGTGCTCTAGTGATCATAGAGGATGCTGGGAAGTTTTTACGGCATTCCAGAATATACACTGTTCTAGTACCTTAGGGTGCCTACTCTGTTCTGTCAGTTTGTTAAGGTTCTTTCTGGTCCAATGGCTTTGATGAAGTAGGCTCTGTTTTCAAAGATGCTTAAAAACCAAGAAACAATTGTGCGTTCTGGAAAGGCGTCATTACATCACCCCCCCCTCCCTGCATGGCGCCTCATTCAATTGACTGTTCGTGCAAAGGAGCGTTCTGCACCTTGTGTAAATACATGTATGTATATTTAGACTGTGCATAGCTTTCTGTACATAGCCTCACGTATGTCTCTCTGTGCCGTCCTTGTTCTTATTGCCAAGAAGGGCTTCAGCTTTTCCCAACCTGTTCAGTGCACTGTGGTTTTTCAGGATCATATCTGATGGGACCACAATGCACTGGGGCATAGAACTCAAACGAAGCTGAGCAGAATGTTTGTCTTACTTGTAGACACATTATATACAATATCACCATTACATCCTGGGTTTTACCTCCGTAACGCTCCGTATGTGCTGTCAGTTTAATTCCCACATTCATAGCACTTATAGCTTGTCAGCTTTCTTACTACCACCAGCATTGATATACCTAAATCATTGTCAAAGTTATTTGTTACCTGTCTAAATTCTAAAGGGGAACATCTTAGCTTAGCTAAAGCTACATATGACAACAAAAATATTAATTAATTCTATCTCTCTTCCATTTATTCTCAAACAATGGCACCAAATTGTCAAGAAAAGTCTAAACACAACTTTGGAATTTAGTCATTTTGACTAGACAAATCCAAAGTTGTTCCCAGCCAATAGACAGTCTGAGCTCCTCTCTCTCCACAACCCCCATTGAAATCTGGCTTACATAAATTACTACACTGTTGATAGTATCTGTAATGGGTTTATCATTTTATATAGCTATCATTCTCCTAAGTCTGATTTAATTTTTTAATTTATTTATTTGAAATATCACTTTTTAATTCTTGCTGTATTAAGAATATACTATTTTACCTTATGAGACTTCTTTCCCATATCAGTTGAAGGCTGTGTCAGTATGTGAATTGACTTTGTCACAATTTACTAAGTGTAACTTGAGTGACAGCTGTGTTCTGCCGTCATTCCAGAGCAGAGTAGCCATTTGACAAGCTGAAAGTGCTTCCACAATGCAACGTGCATAATTAGAAATAGTCCTTACATTTACATAACTATAAACTGAGATATTAGGGGGGGGCGGGAAACTCAACATACACAAGAAGTAGATGATTTTTACTATGCGATAATCATTACCAGAGTTAAATGATTAATTGTGCTTCACTATTATAGTACAGTAACTGATATTACTACCAAGTTTCATACAATGGTACTTTATTAAGAATGTTGAAATTGCAGTGTTACATTAATTGGTCTGAATGTCCTCAAACCACCTGTTATTCATTTTTTTAAATGAACTATATCTTCATGACGGGGAACATTTCAATTTGTACATGCTGGTACGATGGATTTTTTTTTTTTTTTTAATGATAAATCCATTAATTCTTCCAATATAGATGCAGTTAATTACCTTTAAATTACGGCATGTTCCTTTTAGATTAGCTGCAAGTAAAATCGAACTAATGCCCCAAACAGGGCCTAGATTCAACCAAAATGTATACCAGCACACACCCAGGTGAGGAGCAAGTGAAATCCAAGTGCAAACAGTAAAATAAACATCAGTTACTAAACATACTCTGTGAAAGCAAAACATCAAGCTCAACTTTTGAACCACGTGTGATTTTAGCTTCATTAGGATATAAAATCATTCATTTTACTGGACTCCTCAGATTAACTTCTAAATTCTCTCTACAAATTAATTTGAACACATTTTAAACTAGTGAGCTTATTTTTCATTTCTTTCAGCTTACTATGTTCCATTTCATTTTGTCCTGATTTATGTTGTTAAGTGAATGTTTTGTCAGATTTATTAGTTTCATTATTTTACAACACAGAATTTCACTTGACCCTCACATGGGAAACGCCACAGCAATGTCGAGGTTGGCAAAATTGGCACGGAGCTAGATTTATTCCCACACCCAGCCGTGTCTTGAAACAGGTATTATTCTGCTCCTTTTTAGGCTACCTGATTGTAGGGTGAAAATATATATATATTTAATTTTTTTCTGCTTGGGATCTCCGATTCCATAGGAAATGGAAGCCATCAGGTCTTCAGTGTTCTGAAGAATATATATTAAATAGTGGCCTTGATTTAATATTTTTGGATGACATTTTCAAATTATTTAATATTTCTGAATAAAGGTTTCAAATTTATTTTATTTTTTTGTAAGAAATAATCACCCTCTTACAAGGTTATTCTTTAGGGAATGTGGACAAATAAAACACAGACAAAATATATATATTTTTAAATTAGGCTACTGTTACAGTTTTGTCATAAGTGTAAACATAAAAACATTTTATGAACACATAGGCCTTAATCACAAAATAATACATTAAGATTTTCATTATTTATGTATATGTGGCTTGGTTCCCTCTGTCCTCAATGCTGGTTAAACAACTGACTCCACTTGCATGGCCAGTTGAAAAGGAAATAGTCTATTTGGGTCTGTTAGCTCTTACACCCAGATATACCAGAAATCTCTGGAAGAAATGACCAGTTAGGTTAGATTCCTTAGTTATGAAGACAGGTTGGCTTGGGAAATCAAAAAATTGCCTTGTTTTACCTAGACAAAGGGTGCCCAAAAGGAAGATCCCCAGATGTTTTAAAACTACAAATTCCATTATGCTTTGTCATTCTAAAAGCATTCTACAGACATGCAATGTATCATGGGTGTTGTAGTTCTTCAACATTTAGAGATCTACCTTTTGGGCACCCGTGACCTAGATTTTAGTTACTCTGGCCCAAAATTGAATTCCACCATTTTTATGAACTTAACTGATAATTTGATCTCCGGATACTATGTTTGGAAAACTGGTCAGTAGGAAGACTGCTTGAGGGATGAAATATACAGTTTTTTTATACAGATGCTGTAGAATGCAACTGGTAGTTTTCATAATTAGCACATTGTTCTCAGGTAGATGATCCCAATCTGTGCAACCAGTCACATGCACAGTAAGTTATACAATATTTCAGCGTCTTTCGTATCAATTTCGTACAATACCAAAACATTTTTCAAAATATAAATTCATTTCAAAAGTTGATCCAAAAACATTACATTATTTGAAATGCTTATCCGGAAATATCAATTTGAGGCCATTGATAGCTAATAAATAGTTAGCAACTAAAAACATAATTTATTCATCATTGAGATCAAATACCATTTTATAGAAAAACTTAGGCAAGTCCAGTATTCACAAGATTCAAAGGTTGTTATAATATATAAGGACCTAAAGCATGAGGAGTCCTTGTAGCGAATATAAAGAATACACAAAACAAAATAAGTCAAATAGGATGAATTAAAAAATGGGAAATGGGGGAGAACTCTGCTTAGATTCCCAATAAGGAAACACTGATCTCTCCATATAAATGGAAAGAGACACAGCTTCTTAGTTGATGGGAAAAAAACAGAACATTTGCCAACATTTTCAATTCGATCAGATTATATTCAAATTTAGCAGTATAGGAAGAGATAATGGGAATATAAAAATATAGTTATGGTGGGGAAAATACCCATTAGAAGTTCATCCGGCATGGTATACAATTAAACCCGATTTAAAAAGATGTTTCTGACAGCTAAGATCATTTTGGATATTTAGAGGGTTCAGTACATCAACCATGGGGGGCTCTCTATGTTAGTTGTAAAACAAACTTTAAAAAAAGCAAATCACAATGTGGGAATGTTTATTTTACTGAAAAAGGAAATAACTTGTTGGAAAATTCCTGTTTTTAATGTATTTTTAGCATTCTGCTGAAGATGGGTTAATGTCTACGTGTGTCACAAATGTCATGTTTTTCTAGAATTTTGAATTGTAAAAGTGCACTTCTTAATTCCAGTTTGCCTACAGCAGCAACTGTGGAAGTCCATATTCTAATGAAATCCCGGAGCGCCAAATGGGTTATCAATGCAGTGCCAAGTGTGGCTCAACCCTTTGGCACTCGTGGGAGTTAACACAACTAAGGTTTGCGCCTTATTTTTCTCCACATGTTTCTGAGAATGGTTTATCTCTCAATTCCTGCAATTTGCCTTATATTGCCTTATGTAATGTAAGAGAACATAAGTTTAGGATAACGTTTTTAAAATTCTGTGAACGTATGAATTTTTCTCCCATATCAAATGTTGCTATTTTTCTTTGTTATGAAAAGCATTTTTCTTATTTTTTTTGTTTTGTGTTGTTTGTTAAAAAGTATGTTTATATATCCTTTGACCTTGAATGCTACAAATTTGCTGAATCAAATCAAATCTTGGAACCCATTCGATTTTACTGAGCTATCATTACAAAGTGTGTGGGAAGATTTTGTGCTATTAAATTCCAGTTCTAGCCAGCAGTCAAACACAGACACACTGTCGGTGCACAAGAACACATCACACGTAGACAAAAGGCAGACGGAAATGAAATCTGTATCTCCTGCTGGACCAGTCATATTTCTTTCCTGTAGTAATGTGAATTTGTCTTTGTAAGGAAGACGAGTTCCTGTGTGCATTTACAAAGAACTTTTCTCTTCAACTGGTAGAGCATTTATTGCAAAACAAATTCTGTGGCTTGCTTAATAGTCTTAGATATAGTATTGGATTGCTATAAAGTCAACAGTCCTACACACAGTTTTCTTAAAACGTAATGTTCATCTCATACTGATCAATGAACGGTTTCATTGCTACACTATCAGAAGTGCAGTGTTTAATTGACCACTAGGGTAATGTGCACCTTTACACCCCAGGAAGCTATATACATTGTCTAAAGTGTCTGCTTTCCTTAATGCAAGATGATCTACTTGTTACAGTAAAACATTTAGTCTTTAATTATATTAGGCTCTCTTTGTTACGAAATGTGTTGCTCTGCTGTTCGAAAGTGAAATTGGGACACACAGTTCAGTCTAGCTGCTACAACAATGTTGTGTGTAAAATTAAAGCCAATGTGTGTGTTGTATACATGCTGGCAAAAATTAAACGTCAATGTACAAGGCTTATTATCTATGAAAACACGTGCCCACCGAAGGCAGTAGCTTGTCCTCCCGCACTGATCATTTATCAGTTTATATTTCTCTTCTTGATAGTTCTCTGTAAATTGGTTAATAAGCCTGATGTTAGAAATTCTCTAATACATTAACCCCTTAAGGACCAAACTTCTGGAATAAAATGGAATCATGACATGTCACACATGTCATGTGTCCTTAAGGTGTTAAAGATTAGCTGTTTCTGTTAGTGTTGCATTTAGCCAGACAATATGACCATTAAAAAATATAGATTTACCACTGAGAGGTTTGTGCAAGATTTAACTAGGAAAATTAAAATGAATATTCAGCAAATGGCGTGCACCTTGGATGCGCATAAGAGATGATAATTATTTTTTTTATGTAGTTGCACACAGATGCCAGCCTGCTGCCATTTTGTGTGGGATAGCAAACAGGTACTATTTGGCCTGAAATACAAAAATGAGTGATCTGTTGCATTTGACACAAAACAAATTGATCTGAATGAAATATATTGAGTTGTCCCATTACCCTCCGTTTTTGTGTTTTTATTATATTGGATTGTTGGATTTGACTTTGCACGGATGAATATAGTTGTGATGTGTAAAATCAACAATGGATTAATACGCAATGTTAAATTTAACATTTAAAATGCAAAAGGGGCCAACTACACACTGACTCCCAAGTTTCCAGATTTATGAAAAATACGCTCTATTTAAGGGCCAGAACCCCTCTGTCCCTTTTTTTCCATCTTAATGTCCCTCGTTTGTAGGAGCTTAGTATTCTTGGTGTGTCTGAATGTGTCTGAATTTATACCATTGCTACATAGCAACAATACTCACCCTAATGCGACTTTAAACTGCAATAAATGTGTTTAGGAATGATTCTGTTTACATACATACCTCTATTTAGTTGGACGGTCCCTATTTTGGCCCCAAATTTCTCCATCTTTTTGATCATAATGTCCCTCTTTTACAGGAGCTCCATGTTGTTGGTATGTCTGAGATCCAGGGGTTAGATCCCTGCTGGTACCAAGGAACTACATCTAGCTTTACAGACTGGAGTGCTATGAGCTGTGCTCAAAGTGATATTAAAAATTAATTCGACAGCCCCCCCCCCAGACTGGCACTGTCCTCCTGACCCTGTGTCAGGGAGACCCCTAGGGTCTGAAAATATCTGGTGAGGTTTCCCTTCTTGCCCCCTGCTCAGTGATCGGTGCTACTCTGCCAGCTGCCCAGCACCTATCTCTGAGTGCTGCAGTATGAGAGTGAGCTCTCGCATTCTGCTATCACATAGGAATTTCCTCTACTAATGTCAATACCTGGACACTATCCCAAATCTCTATGCACATTTAAATAAAAAAAAGGTTTTTAGTATCACTTAAATGGCCATTAAGGTCACCTGCATTAAATTTATAAAAACGATGATAATATGAGTGAAAGTTCAGTTTATGCGTGAAAAATGCAAAAAAAAAAGTATAAAAACTGAATTTGGCCAGGATTTGTGACAAAGTGGCTACTAAAAAATACTGAACATAGCCCTACTCAGGGCGGCCATCAGAAATTTTGGGGCCCCTAACACTGCTCAGGGTCTGGGCCCCTGGCGTCTACTGCCAAGCTCGCCCACAGTGCCAGTCCCCGAATCTGCCCACAAAGATGCAATGTGTGTGTGTGTGTGTAGAGTGGATGCAGAGTGTGTGTGTGCAGAGACTACAGTGTGTTTGTGTAGTGGATGCAGTGGATGTGTTTATGTAGAGCAATGGTCTCCAAAAGGTAGATCCCTAGATAGTATAGAACTACAACTCCTTTGATGCTTTGCATGCCTTTAGAATGACAAAGCATCATGGAAGATGTAGCTTTAAAACATCTACCTTTTTGTCATCCAAACATACACACCAAAATACATGCAAATACACAGATACACACACTGACACATACACAGATATACACACACACTGGTACATACACACATAGACAGACAGATACACACACACACTGGTACATACACACACTGACAGACATACATACACAGATACACACAGAGACATCGTTGGGTAAGTGTGATAGGGTTTGGGGAGTAGGTGTGAGGGTGGATGAACATGCCACAGTTAGGGAGTGAGCATGACAGGGTTGGGGGGACGAGGTGAGTGTGAGTGTTGTGGGTGGGTAAGTGACTGGGAGGGTGTTGATGTGACAGGGTTAGTGTGGCATGTTAGGGTGACAAGATAAGAGGGTTTAGGGTGACAGGGTAAAGGGGGTTACGGTGACAGGGTTAGGGGGGTTAGTGTGACAGGATTAGAGGGGGTTACTGTGACAGGGTTAGGGGGGTTAGTGAGACAGTTTTAGAGGGGTTAGTGCGACATGGTATGGGGGTAGTGTGAAGGGTTAGAAGGGGTTAGTGTGACAGTTATAGGGAGTTAGTGTGACAGGGGTGGGGGGTTAGTGTGAAGGGTTAGAGGGGGTTAGAGTGACAGGGTTGGGGGGTGTTAGTGTGAAGGGATAGAGGGGGTTAGTTTGGCAGGGTTAGTGTGACAGGGTTAGGAGAATGTTATAGGGTGTGTGGCAGAAAGGGGGGGGTGAGTGACTAAGTGGAGAGGATGACAGTATGTGGGGAGGCTGAGTTAAACACAGTCTCCCCACACTGACTAAAACTGAAGTTTTAGTGTATATATATTTGCTCCTGCTTACCTCCTGTGCAGGCAGTGGGGCAATAATTCATTCCATGGTGGCTCAGTGGGTCATGGTGGTCCAGTGGGCTGCTGGTGGGCTCTCTGGTGGTCCAGTGTGTTGTTAGAGCCGCTGCACGCCCTCGTGGTTCCAGCGTTCTGCGATGACACAGGAACCTGGCACCTGTGCTATGACACTCACAGTGTGCTGGAACCGCAAGGGAGTACAGCTGCTCTAACAACACACTGGACCACCAGCAGCCCACTGGACCACCAGGGAGTCCACCAGCAGACCACCAAACCACCAGGGAGTCCATATCTAAGAGCAGGAAATCAAAAGGGGGCCTGAAATCTAGTAGAACACCAGTGTTCCATCGGATTTCCCTACGGGTTAGGACATTTTACAGGGTAGGAAAATCCCCCTCCTCCCCCATTCGTTTCTCGCGGCTACTCCTTTCGGCTATTGATGGATTTGGTGCAGCAAGGGATCAATGCTCCCTTGCTTCGCCAAATCCGCTGATAGCTTGAATTAATAGAGAAGTGTGGGGCCCGGTCCCCCCAGGACCGCCGGGCCCATGACAACCATCATGGTTGTCCCCCCCCGATGGCGGCCCTGTGTCTACTATTACAGATAGTATGTCATGATGGCGATAATTATCATTATTGGGCTGCCATACTATTTCAAAAGCAACATGGGCCCAACAAATCAATCTGGCAAATGTCAATGTGTAAAAACTGAAATGGTTAAGTCCTGTTTTATCCAGTAACTTTCCAAAACACCATGAAACCTGTATAAGGGGAAGCATTGTTGTACTTGTGGGACATCACGTGTTTTTTATTGTGCTAAAAATATTATGATATTCACAGTTAAATTGCCATGTAGAACATGGAAAATAACATTTCTTAATTTCTCATACTTTCTTAGATTTTATTCATATTAAATTGTGTTCCATATATAAAAAGTCAATGTTATGTAATGAAAACCCTATTTTGTCCTGAACAAAATGATATATAAGTGTGGGTACACTTTATATGAAAGCGGTAAATTATGGTTGAACAGACATATAGCTCAGGTCCAGCTTTTGTTTTAGTTCAGAACTTGGACAATTGTGTCTGTCTGTCCTAAAGGGGGTAAACTTCACCAGCCTCCACTGGGGTTGGACAGTTTTCAGATACAGCTAATAGATACAAAAAAGCTAATGAACAAAAATCTTTTTTAAAAAAAAGCCTGTTGAGCCATCACTGGGTCATTCACACTATATCTGATCAGAAGACATGAGTGTACCCCACATGCAAGTCAGCAACTCCATAGTACTCATTCACAGGGAACATCCTGCATAAAAGCAATATCAAGAATGAACTCAGACAAGCAGACAAGGAACAAGTCAGATAAGCAGACAAGGAACATGTGTTTGTAACGCATGTCTTGTATAAAATAAGTCAAATTCTTGGAAGTATTAACCCCTTAAGGACCAAACTTCTGGAACAGGGCTCGAGTCCTGCAGGAACGCATGGGAACGGCGTTCCTGCACTTTTTCCATAGCAGGAACGCCGTTCCCGTTACCTGTCCTGCAGGACCGGCCCTGCTACATGCACAGAGGGGCCATCACACGCTGTGTTCCCTCTCCAGCTATAACTCTCGCGAGACCCGCGGCTGTTACCATGGCAACGCTCCGCACAGGCGAGTCTCGCGAGAGTTAGAGCTGGAGAGGGAACACTGCGTGATGGCCCCTCCAGCATACCACCGGACCACCAGGCAATCTCCCCCCTCCCTGACAAGGTAAGAAGCAGGGAGGGGGGAATAAAATAAAAAAAAATATAAAGTTAAAAAAAATCCTCCCCCCCCCCACACACATCATCCAGCACTCACACAAACACCCATCATCCAGCACTCACACAAACACCCATCATCCAGCACTCACACAAACACCCATCATCCAGCACTCACACAAACACCCATAATCCAGCACTCACACAAACACCCATCATCCAGCACACACACACACACATCATCCCACACACACAACACCCATCATCCAGCACACACACACACATCCACATCATCCAGCACACACACCCATCATCCAGCACACACACCCATCATCCAGCACACACACACCCATCATCCATCACTCACACACCCATCATCCAGCACACACCCATCATCCAGCACACACACACAAATCATCCATCACTCACACACCCATCATCCATCACTCACACACCCATCATCCAGCACTCACACACACATCATCCAGCACTCACACACCCATCATCCAGCACTCACACACCCATCATCCAGCATACACACAACCACATCATCCAGCACTCACACACATCATCCAGCACTCACACACCCATCATCCAGCACTCACACACCCATCATCCAGCACACACACACAATCATCCAGCACTCACACACCCATCATCCAGCACACACACATCATCCAACACTCACACATCATCCAGCACTCACACACACATCATCCAGCACTCCACACACACACACACATCATCCAGCACACACACACACACACACACACACACACATCATCCAGCACACACACCCATCATCCAGCACTCACACAAACACCCATCATCCAGCACTCCACACAAACACCATCATCCAGCACACACACCCATCATCCAGCACTCACACACATCATCCAGCACTCACACACCCATCATCCAGCACACACACACCCATCATCCAGCACACACACACACACATCATCCAGCACTCCTACATCCATCATCCAGCACACACACACACATCCACATCATCCAGCACTCACTCACACATCATCCAGCACTCACACACACATCATCCAGCACTCACACACACATCATCCAGCACTCACACACACATCATCCAGCACACGCAGTCACACACACCTCATCCAGCACACACACACACATCATCCAGCACTCACACACACATCATCCAGCACTCACACACCGTCATCCAAGCGGCGCTGCGCTTTTACACTGCATTCATTATACTTTACCTCTTCACTCACTACAAACACACTACATTCACACTATACACCCTCT